ACAGTGGCTCGACGAGCAGCAGAAACCTCGAGCAGAGCACCCACCAGCCGTTCGAGCGCAAAGATTACCTGCGGCAGTCCATCGACCGCGTCTACGCGAGGATCCAGTCGCGGCAGACGCAGCTGCAGAGCGACCTGGGCACCAGCACTCTCGACAGGAACTCGAGCCTCTTCCTGAGCCAGAGGGCTGCGAGCCGGCTGCCGGGCTACGGGACGGATTCCGACGCCTGGAAGCGACACAGCTACGCCGGGGAGCATCCTGAGAGCAGCTCTTTCCTGAGGAGCAGGGCACTCTTTGAGAACAAGGATCAGGGCAGCAATTCCACCCTGAACCGAGACCCCTCAAGGTACAGGAGCACGTACATGCAAGACGTGGAGAGGGCGGCGAACAACGCGCCGCGACGGACCTCCTTATTCACCTCGGGCTCTCGCGGGAGCTCCACGGCAGAGGGGGAATTTGCGGGGACGCGGGATCGGGAATACAGCAGGATATTCGGGGACGGGTACGTGGACAAGTTCAGCAAGTTGTCGACTCTGTCCAGGGAGGTGCGGCAGGGCTCGCAGTTTCCGAACAATCAGAGCAACCTCGAGAAAGTCTCGAGCCAGCCGTACGCGTGCGAGACTTCTCCCACGCAAACGAACTTCCGTGAGCAGGACTACCTAGGCCGGCGGCCCAGCACGGAGCACGTGGATTCGAAAGACGCGGACAACGAAGCCCCCGAGTGGAACAACGATCACGGTAAATCCAAGGACACGCTGCGCCGGTTAAGGATAAACTCTTACCTGGACGAGAAGGGAAACATCCAGGAGGACGCTCGCAGCGTAGCTAGGGCTGTGAACGCGAACAGGGATGAGGGATCGCTGAGCAGGAGAAACTCTCTGGACACGAGCATCAGAGACCCCACGGTGCAGGCCACGACGACAACCGCCACGGACGAGGCTCCGCGTGAAAACTCGGATGGCGAAACGAAGTCGGTGTTCATGCGGAATTCGCGGTTTCACTCCACGCTGCCCACCAACACGCTGTACAAAAGCAAGTCTCTGCTCGACAAAGACGTCGCCGTGCCCAACAGCGACAATGCCGAGAGCAAGCTGGTCAAGAGCTCCTCGAAGTTTTTGAACAAGCAGAGCAGCAACCAGTCGCTGAACACGGCCGGGAACTCGGATGACGAATACGAAACATTAGCTTCGAAGCGGCAATCGTTTTTATCGAGGCTGAGGCCAAATTTGAAGCTTGGCGAGAAGGGAAAGGAACGTGGGTCCTCCCAGTCGCTAAACAAAGCAAACAGTCAAGAGCCGCTCGATAAGGACCTCGGGCAAGCAGCCTCCACGAGCAACCTCAAGGGCAACGAAAAGCCGAGCGTGCGCAGCCTGAAGGAACGCTACGAAAGCACGTCCAACCACGAGGTGCTGCAGTCGGCGAGCCGCGAGAAAGAGCCGAGCGCGCCCCCGACGCCGACGGTGCCGCCCCGCCGCACCGTGTCCGTGCCCTCGATAGTGGACGACAAGACGCAGGAGCTCGCTCAGGGCGGCTTCAAGAAGAAGGGCGCCGGAGCGGACGAAGGCAAGAAGGAGGACAGTCCGCTGGACAAGCTGAAAAAATCTCTCAAGTTCCGGACGATCTTTCCGTTCGCACCCGACAAGAAGGAAGAGGCGCAGGCGTTGCAAGAGGGCGCGCAGAAGGCCGTCGAGCCAGTTTCACAAACCAAAAATCAGGTGGAAAAAGACAACTCGTTCGCGAAGCCAGTGCAGCAGGTGCAGCAGCAGCAGCAGCGCCGAGATAGCACGTCGGCAAGCGCATACACGTCGGCGACGAGTGAGAAAGCCCCGCTCCCGGAGGCCACGTCCGCCCTCCGGAGCAACTCGGCTTCCCCCCGGAGGGACAGTCTCACCGGCAGCAACAGCAGCAGCAACCACCTGGTGAAGCAACCGGACGCGCCCGCCGAAACCTCCGTGGCGCTCGGTCGCAGGCTGAGCAACAGCAGCCACGTCTCCACTACGTCCGTCTCCAGCGTGGTGTCCACCGGCAGCCAGGGCGCGGCCGGCGGAGACACGGCGAGCCAGGCGGGGGCCGAGGACGGCGACGACAAGTCGGATGTGCTGCTTAAGAGGATAGACAGCATGCGCAAGGAAAAGCGCGTCTACAGCCGCTTCGAGGTGTTCTGCAAGGGCGACAAGGAGGCCGGCGCGGAGAGGCCCGCGTCGACAGCGACGCCGTACGTGTCGGCGACCTCGTCCGCGTCGACTCCCATGCGCTCCATTTTCCAGCCGAGGTACGACTCGTCGAGCCTGGGCAGGAACGCCATGCAGAGCCAGACCTCCTCCTACTACAACTCGGGGTTGGGCCGGCACTCGCAGTACTCGGGCATCGGCAGTGGTGGCGGGAGCGGCAGTGGTTATTACAGCGGGGGCAGCGGTAACAGCGGCGACCGCTACACCACGCCGCAGCTGCTGCAGCAGCGCCACGTTCCCGATCAGAGCAAGAACGAGAAGCGGCTGCCCAAGTTCATGCAGCGGTTCGTGGTCACGCTGAAACCGAAGAACAAGTGAAGGCGTCTCTCTCGCACAGGGGCCGTTGGGTGCGGGGAATCGTTTTTTTTGTTAATTAGGCCACGTCGGTCAAACGTGGCCCCGCGATGCTATACCGCAACGATGGTTTAACGCTAGCCGCTAAGCACTGATACTTTGTATTGCTGTAATATTACGATTTGGGGGGCAAGGAGGAGGGGGAGTACTGTGTACAATGTTAACTGAATACGGCTTGAAATGTGTGTGCATTTATTACAAATGCATTAGGATATTTTATAAATTGTAAGGTTTAAGCTTACTCATGAAATGTTAGGTGGAGGAGTTTAGTTTTTTTTGTCGTGTCTGTATTAAAGTTAAGTTTCGGCGCATGCTGTGCACATTATGAACGCTGCCTTGGGAATGGGATTCCAATAGATGGGATGGAACCACACTGTAGGCCATAGAGGGTTAGATGTAGTGTATTTGGAGGGCTGAACATACGATTTCAGGGTGAAGCCAAACTGAACGTTGCAATTCTCTCAAAAACAATGTAAGCAGCTAGGGAAGAGAGTCGTTCGGTAACGTGTTGTGCCTTTTTCAAAACGAACGTGCGATGCCACTCACGCTAGATTTAATCTCGCCAAATCTGGTTTCAAGAGCGTTTGAAACGTTGCTCTAATGGTTGTTGCCCGTGATCACCGTGCCAGATTTGTGACGTTGGCCTGGCCACATTGGTTTGCAGTATCGTCAGGCGGGAGAGGTAATTACAGACCAGTCGATTCGTCACTTAAACTAAACTTATGTTTTACAGGGTAAGGCCAACTAAGGGATAGAGCTCTTGTTCAGAAAGTGACCTGGCCACAAATGATAGCGCAAGGAAGTGGCTTATCATGTGGAAATTTACAGCAGACAAAAACGCATGTTTAGAGAAAGGTGGAGGGGAAAAAAACGGAGGACCCGGAGAAAAATCCACGCGACCATGGGGAGAACATGCAAATTTTAAATATACAGGCGTCGGGGTCGAACCCATGACTCCTGCATACCAGGCGAGGTGGTAAACATCTCGCCACCGCGCCCTTGGGGAAATTCAACAAATGGGAGAAACACAGGTGTGATGGGGGGGACCGTGATGGTTCTCACGACCACCATCACCAATTTGAGTCTTGATAAATATATATTGGTCACTGACTGCACGTTTTAACTACCTATTTGAGGTTTTAGTGTAATAGTCTAATATTGTTAATTATGCACTCACGGAGCACCTCGTGAAGGTTGAATATACTTAACCTTAAGGTGCTCAATGTCTCAAACTGTGTAAAGCTTTAGATCAAGGGATGAAGGGCTTTCCCATAATCGAGAAAAAGTTATTCTGATTAAAACAGTTCTCGTTAAAAAATGCTGTTTTCTGTTGAGCTGCAAAGTATAGGGCAATGCTGCAGTGTCTGGGTGTGAACACAATCAAGCCATTCATTCATTTTATATATTTTTACACAAACATATCAAATTACGAGTGCATGCCAACTCTCCCGCCATTTTTTGTTGTTGTTATGGAACCCAAGCCAAGCAATAGGCGCCCTACCGGGCTCATTCAAGATTTGCCCTACCTGGTTCACCCAGCAGACGAGTGGGGTAAATAACCAACAAGGCATGCCAAAAGATGCGCTCCAACAACACATCACCAAAACACATCGCTAACACCCAAACAGAGTTTTTTAATAGCAGGGACAAAAATTTCCGCCCTTTGTTTATTTTGTAATTGAAAACGTGCTTTCGAAAAGTTCCAACTCCACGCTTCGACACAGTTTGACGCTGTCGGGAGGCACTACTCGACAGCAGATCCGTCTCTGTATTTTATTGTTTTAACCTTTTTTTTGCAAATTTTTACAAAACAAAATAAAATTTGTCGAAGCAGCCACCGTGGCCGGCAGTCCAGCCTCGTATTTTACACTCGGACACGTGCCAAGGGCTTTTGCCAAAAGCCACTATAGAACTCGCAAGGGAAGAGAAAACATGGTCATGTAAAAACACCCAGGAGGCAGGCAACACTTCGAGAAGAACTGTGTCGACTTCAACCACGGCGCACACGATACCGATTTCCTTAAATTGACGAGTCGTTGAGGTTACTGTGTGCTCGGCCAGTGATGGGCCAGGGTCAGGATCGTGCTGGAGATGTCCTGGTGATGCTAAAGAATAGGCATTCGGTCACAATCGGTGTCCAGGGCCAAAGTGAGTCGGCAAATGCTGAAGGCTGGGTAGAGGTCAGGTGTGTCCTTGACAAGTACAACTCCACTGGCTTACCGGTAAGCATACTTGCACACACACACACACGTTACCGATTCGCTTGAGTCAACGCATCGCTGAGACGCTACCGGTTCGTTCGGAGAGGTGGGCCCAGGTGGACTGTTTAGGGTTAAGTTGCGTGTGCTGCTGTCAGGAGCACATCCCTGAAACACCATTCCACTTCGGGTTCAGGTAGAGGTCTCAACAGGAGTCTGGGTTGGGTGAGTTCACGATAACACAGCATCTATCCTGGGCACTGGCTTGTCCGGCAAGCAATGAAAATCTTGGTCGTGGGTCAAGTGGCCCCTTCGTCGTACGAGCTGAGCAGCTCGGCGAGCGCCTCCGTGCGTGCGACCTCCTGCAGGGCGGCCACCATGTGGTCCAGGGCCTCCCCGCCTTCCAGGAAGGCGGCAACGCCATGCACAGTGCGGCCAATGCGGTGGTCCGTGATCCGGTCCTGCATGAAGTTGTACGTCCGGATCTTCTCCGAGCGGCCTCGGGATCCAACCTGGACAACGGGGCAAGGGAGCGGAGCAGGGGTTCAGACGGATTTCAGGAAAGCGCGCGTGCACACACACGCACCCGGGCCAGACCTCCCGCTGTCCTCCCGTATACAATGGAATGCGCTTCCTTGGCCCTCGCCTTTCCCAACAGACTGCAGAACTTCCGCAGGAAAGGACAATGTTTACACTGGACTTGGGAACCGAAACTGAGACAATTTTTCCTTAAATTGCAGTTGAATTTCAAATATTTGTACTACCACGAGATGGCCGGGTGGCTCAGGTGGCTAACGTTGTGTTAAGAGCAATGATCTCGCACCGATGAGATCATGGGCTTGAGTCCGGGCAGCCATCCGACCTTAAATTTGGTTCTCAAGTTTAGCAAGAACAAAAAAAAAAACTTGGTAAACCTCATTTATCCACTTGATTAAACATTGCACATCGGTGAATTAATTATTTGGTTCGTTTATCATGCGACGATTATTCTACGCAAGGCACTGAAAAGGTGTACTACTTAGTATACTATACATAATATACGCAACTGAGCGACTCTGGAAGTAGTGCTGTGGGAAGCGATGATCTCACAGAGCTTGTGAGATCACCGATTAGCATGGTTGGCTACGTACGGTGCAAAAGAAGTTCAACATACATACATCAGCCCAACATCACGTATCCAACTTGCTGGTGACTGAGAAAGTGACCATCTAAAAAAAATGTACAGTAATACCATGCGCAAACTGCTTTAAACAAGGAGCTTCAGTAGAAAGCGAATGTGTGTAAGTTAAATAATACATCAGTGTGTGAAAAGGTCGGAATTAGGAACACCTATTCCGTCTCCACGCGGCGACACAAGTGGCGAAAGAGCGTCAGCGGCGGAAGGCAACTGGAAGAATTGTTTCAAGCGGCGAGGCGAGCCGTGGGCCGGTGGCAACCGCGGACCTGAAGTTTGCGCGCCGTCTGCTGCTTGCTCAGCCGCTCTTCAAGCTGCAAGTCGTAGAGCTTGGCTCGGAGAATCGTCATCGCCTGCTTGAGGTTCTGGATCTGCGAGCGTTCCTTCTGGCACTCGGACACCACGCCTGCGGCCAAAACGCTCGGTCAATTCTCACAAACTTGGACAAGTTTCAAGCTTCAAGTTTACTTTGTTTTGGCCAGGTGAGGACTCGTGGAGGGGCTAGGATGGTCTCATTTGCAGGAGTGACCCGGGTTTCCAAAATTACAAAAGCAAAAATAGATAAAATAACAAATATAAATCAAAAAACATCTGTGTGTCAATGAGAATGTTAGGGCTGGTTCTGAAAGCTATGCCGTATTATACACACGTATATCACATAGCACTCAAGGACATGTTGGTGCCTGCACCACATCCGGCCACTTCTGTCTGCCTGACTGATATTGGATCCTCTGTGTTGGCAGTGGAGAAAAAGCAAAGTAAAAAAAAATCTGCCACCTTCGCATGCATACGTACGTACGTACGTAAATACATTCATGTTATTTACAAGCAGGTGACGAGCCCATCGAGGAAACAAGATGCTTGTGCAGAGGAGAACCTTTTCATTAATTTATTTTTAGGTTAAAGCCACTGCCAAAAGTATTAAAAAATATATAGATGATTGTGCTTTGATTTTGTAGGAAAGTCTGGAAAGCTGAAATTACGCACAAATATAGCAAAGGCCATATTTTTTTTTAAACAAGAATGTTTGAATATGTACATCAAAATTTAGAGACCATTTCCACTCAAACAGCAAGTTTAGCTTAAATTTCTAATTTGTGTGAAATCATATGCTAATTACGAACAAAAATATACCCATCATCAGTGAACAAAGACACATCCCGCCCATGAATTTGCGATGCTAAAACCCGGAACGGTTTGTCACGGTCTCAGCGCAATGGAAATAAGTATAACCCGTAAAAACAAAGTTTTTCACTCTAAATCCTTTATATGCGTGGCGGCTAGAGTCCTCTCGTCCTCTAGCTTGAGATGGCTGCCACCTATGGGTCAGATTATTGTCTGCCAGTATTAAGCAATTGGTAATTAAATATTTAATTTGTTTTCCCTAAACAGTGTAAAATTTTGGAAAAAAAAATTCACGAACATTAATTGTCTCGCACAACGAGTCTGTGTGCAAAATGTCAGCTCGATTGGATCACGGGAAGTGGGTTAAAAAACGACCGAAAGGTTTGCACGGTCGTAAGCAAGCAAGCACGCAAGCGAACTTAATATAAAGGATTTTAAAAAAGTACGTACGTGTGCACGCAGGAACGGCCCAGTAAGAGGGAGAGAGAATGGGCCAGGGTGAGTGTCCACACCTGTGGGGAGGTGAGTGATGCGCACGGAGCTGTCCGTGGTGTTGACACTCTGGCCCCCTGCCCCGCTCGCCCGCTTCGTCTCAATGCGGAGCTCCTTCGGGCTGATGTTCAGCTCAATCTGAGTGTAAAAATTATTCAGAGACATCGCGGAATCAGACTCTTCATTTATCCTGGAGCAATCCGATTAGCCACGAAGCTCTTTTTGTCACAGATGTCCAGCAGGAGGCGGGTCAGAAAGTTACAACAACAAACACAACAAAAAACAATCGGAGTGCAAAGTATAGAAACGGGAAGGGACCGGAGCTAGCTAGAGCCTACGCAGTGCATGAGCCAACAACTGTTCACTGCACTCCAAACAATTAGTAATCCAAATGCAGTTTGTTTTCATCGTTGGGCTGCGTGTTGAGCATTTCATTCCTCCAGCTTTGCCCCTCTCTCATCTTACCTGCCTCGCCAGCATATTGTCTACGCTCCAGCAATAAAGGCATCCTTCTTACAAAGCTCACTGTCAACCGTCGTTCAATGGGCGGTTGCTCTCTCTCGGGTTCTGCTCCTGTTGTATGGAATTCTCTTCCACTTGATTTTTGTGCAGTTGAGACTCTGTCCTTGTTCAAGTCAACACTGATGACCAATTCCTTTGATGTTGCATGCAACTAATTTTTCATGTTATGATAATTGGTTTTTTAACCTTTCATCTGGAAACAAAACTGCCAGATAAAAGGGTAAAAAAAACAATTATCATTTTGTTACTGGCAAATGAGGTTCCAATGGTGTTTGCCATGTTATTTTCTTCCCCCTGTTTAAGTGTCTGGAGATGCAGCTGCATTTAGATGCTAGTATATAAATTCTGTTTTGTATTGAATTCCTGAAGACTCCTCGAACTTAGTGCGTGGCAAAAGGTTGAGAAATGCTCAGCGCCCCTTTGCCAAAGGTCTCCCCCTACGGCGGTGGCGGTTTTCTGCCATACTTCACCACATTAGTCACCACGGTCCAGAATCAAACTCAGGTTGTCAGCTTATAGCACATTGCACTAACCACTGCATTTCCCCTCCTAGGATGTAACTGAGGGTTTAACATATACAAGCATGTGTCGCATTGCACTACAGTATAATTATTGTCTGTATAGCCATGTAAATTGGATTTATACTTTAAACGTGACTGCATTTACAACCTTCACGTCATAAGCTGCTAAGCCTTCTGATTAATGAGCTAATCCGTGAATTACATAACTTATATTAATAATTTAAAATATAAATCCATTAAACAAACTGCAATACATCCAACTCACTTGACAAGGCAATATTTAACTTTACTGACAGGCTAAACGCAAAGTTATAATTTTCACTTTTAGCAGTGCGACTAAAAGATTGAAAAAAATTCCATTAACATGTTTGATTTACGGGGTGCAGTGACATCGCGAGGGCAAGCTTGCTGAACCTGCGTGACTCAAAACTGGAACCCCGCCGACTGTTTAACAATGTGAACTTGTTCAGATTAGGGACGCTCTGGGCATCGGGCCAGGACAATATCCGATTCCCTCCGTTGGTCGTGAATCTCAAGGGGTTCGCACGCAGCTGCCTACTCCGGGATATTGGTTCAATAGAAATAAAAAAACCCTGACATTAGCTGGGTTTTGTGTCACCCCGTAACCCCCCCTCACCCCTACTTTGGCAATGGTATATTGTTGTACAAAATGCTGCAATCGATTCTACAGTGGAAGTCTTTTGAAAGACACACCCTTGCAAACGTCTCATCGTACCGCGATCGATGCATTAAAACAGCCCCAATAAAACAATACGGTGTCATTCTGTTTATAACTCAAGAACCAAAAGTAGCATAAAGTATATTTAAAGATAGACCTTTGCAACGTCTCATCGTATCGCTATGGATGTAGTAAAAGTTTATTGCCATTCTCTTTACAACTCAAGAACCAAAAGCAGTATAAAGAATGAGCAATGTGCCATCAAAGTGTAGCACCTTTCCAAAATGCATTTTTGTTGTTGTTCAGGGTGTGATGTGATCTGGAGAACGGCCAAAAACGTTGAGTGGAGTGATTTCTTGGTTGCAGTTGCTCACTGGAGACACCTATGAGCTGATATCTGATTTATTAAATTTTCACAAAAAAATTATGCTAAAAACACTAATTTTGATTGTAAATTTTCGGGACAGCCATGTACAAAAAGATAACTTCCTGTGCACATGGCATGGGTGGCATAATGGCGCACGGGTGTTTTTAGCTAGTCTAACAACGTTATAACTCGTGCTTTAAGTTTGGAGAAGGTAAAATAATGCAAGGACCAAGAACCTCCTCTACACATGTGGCTGTGTGTTGCATGGGCGGCACGGGTATAATTTTTCATTAAAAGAATCGATATATGTGGAAAATATGGTTTCTTTACGGATGTATGTTGAACTTCTTTGACAACGCACTTAGCCAAACCGTGCTAATCAGAGGTGCGGGGAAAGGACAACGAACTAAACGAACTAAACTTATACACGAAATGGAACGCACGATGATCACCCATCCCCGTGTCACCTCGGAGGGCTGGCGCAGCACGGCGACGGTGATGGTGCTGGTGTGCACGCGCCCCTTCGACTCGGTGCGCGGGATTCGCTGCACACGGTGGACTCCGCCCTCGAAGCACAGCAGGCGGTACGCGCCCTCGCCCGTGATGCACGCCGTCGCGTGTCGCAGGCCCCCTGCACACATTAACAACAAAAATATACAAGGAAAAAAAAGGACGCGTATGGGTGGATTCTGTAACGGTCCTCGCGAGTGTTTAATTAGCGATCGCGTTATCGTGAATTTTCTAAACTTCAAGCGGTCATGACTTCGTGGGAGAGGCGAGCGTGTGCATGGCGTGGTGATGTCCAGCGGCTGGACTCGCCAACTTCACCGACCGGCGTGGTTAAGTATATGGTCACAATCGCCCCCGTCGCTCAATGTTGTGGGCAGGACCTCATCCAGCGGAGGATTGACAGAATTAATTTTAGTTAATGAATCGATCCATTATTATATTCCTAATGGACATGCCCGTCTTACCCGCCTTTCGATAGCCGTATGCGGCAATGAGAAATTTGGTGCTGTGCCCCGTCTGACTGAAGTTGATGTTGGCATTCATTTTCCACTGCTGCAATTTAATAAAAACACACAGCCGGCCAGCCACGCTTGTGATATTTGGCACCACGCCTGCAAGCTGCTCTAAAGAAAGTAAGTTACATTTTTCCTTTCAAGCTACATGCCGCGCTACCCTCTGGCAGACAGGACGCACCTGGCCTGGTGGTGGTGGTGTCTGCGAGTGTGTGTGTGTTGGGGGGGGAGCTATGGCGTAGTGGTTAGCGCACTGCGCTACAAACCCTAGCGACCCGAGTTTGATTTCCCGCCAAGACTAACACCAGTGGTTATTATCTGAACTGGTCCTGGGCTTCCCCTAGCTTGATTCAGCCTCAAACGGGTACCTGGTGCAGTGTGTAAATATCAGCACTGAGGAGATCAGAGATGGCCAGATGTGGTTCTAGCCACACCACCTCTGCGTGTACCATGCTGCTGGCTTTCATAGGTGCTCGTTAAACTGCACTTGCCCCAACGGTCTGCAGTGCTATAGAGGGAGCTTTGTTTTTTGTGTGCCTGTGGATTACGAGAATGCGTTTGCGGATAGCAAGAGCTGTGTAAGCCAGTGTTCTTCATTGCAAAGCCTGCGGGCCACTGGCGGCCCCTAGTGGCCATTCGTGCGACTTCTGATGTGCGATCCCCAACGATGCACAAATGTGAAAACACCCCCCATCATGCTGTCAAATTCTAATGGTTCCAAATGTGTGGCGGCCCTCACACTGATGATGTCCTATCAGCGAAAGTGCTCCCCTCCTCCCTCTGAAAATTAGTGAAGATCACTGGTATAAGGTGGCGCTCACCCATCTCGCTCCATTGGTACTGCAGCCTTTCGAAGCACCAGTTCTGATGCAGCGCGTAGTTCTCGTACATGTCGAACACCTCCGCCGTGAAGAGCATTGCCTCCTGGCCGCCCACGCCCGCGTACACCTCCAGCAGCAACTCCCCCTCGTCCTCCTCATCCCCCGGCAGCAGCAAGGCCAGCACCTGCGCCAGCAAGACCCGCCACCCCAGCCCCAACACACACACGCGCGCGCGCGTACAAAAAGCATCAGCATTAATGATGCTTTAGTATATTTAGTATTTGTGCAATTCGTATAGCACAGTGTTCTTCCCTAAATTTCAGAGTGAGGGACCCACTTTCACCGAAAAGACATAAATGTGTGGGCAGCCACACATATGAAACCAGTAGGTTTGACAGCATGATGGGGTGCTTTCACATTTGTGTATTGTCGGGGGCTGCACATCAGGAGCCGCACTAAAGGCCACCAGTGGCCCGTGGGACTTGCAATGAAGAACAATGGTATCGCAGCAGGCTTTCACGAAGGCACTGTGGTTCACAGACGGACACAGTCTGCCAGTAGGGGGAAGATGTTGCTAGGTGGTTTTGCACAATTAATTTGGGTGTAAATTTGACCAATTTTTGGCAAGTTTGCACCGTGAAGCCGGCATACATAGCCTAATCTAGAGAATGACATCACGGGATCTTTCACGTACAATATGAAGCTGACTAGCGTCAGCATCATATTCATCAGGGAAATGCCTGGGCTCAAACCGTTAACCTCTGCAAAAAGCTGCAAACGTGTTAACGATCAGTCATGTCACCACTCCCCGGACCTCTATGGTTACATGAATGCTTGATTGAGACATGTTATAGCACCGCCCTTTTCCGCTGTGCAACATCACGCGCAATTAAATATAAATTGTGACGTAACGTTTTATGACTCAATGACACCTAAATGGGGGGGGGGGGGGGCGGTGACACAATGTTTAGCTCATCGTACGATGAACCAGGCAACGCGAGCTCGTTTCTCGTGGCCATGGCTAACATCAGCGTTAAGTGATATTTCAAGCAGTCTTGGGATCTCACGTCACCAACCCCATCTGAGACGAGCATGGCAAAGTATGATAAACAGCCCCAATAAAACAATACGGTGTGGGAGGTCCTTCACCCAGCAGTGGCTTGACAAAGGACTGTACATTTTGAAAAACTGCAGCCCTGTGTCACTCTACTGCTGCATAAAGGTCTCCCCACACAATGCCACTCAAGGGGGTTGTTTGATCATAGAGCACCATGCTGCTCAGCGCAGGTTGGTGGTGAAGGGGAATAAGTGCCAGGATCAGTTCAGATATTTCTCGCCACTGATGTGAGCTGTGGCAGGGAATCGAACGGAGGTTGCCAAGTTTGCAGCGTAATGTGCAAACTACTGCACCACCACTGTCAGTCTGTTTTTTATATATACCTAAAGTGTCCTTACACTTTGCACTTACATGGGTAATTTACTTGGTTATGAAGTTATACAGATTCATGTATGTATGCATATAGTGTTTAGTAGTATGAACTAATATTTGCATGAATTATTTTTTTAATGATACCCAAGTATAATTATTGTTCATGGTACCCAAGGGACTTCAATGCCTAAGGAAAATAGGGTACCTTTTCCTGCAACTCGTGAATTTTTGCTTTGCAGATTTCATTTTCTTCCTCAGCTAGTTTTCTCATCTCTTCATCGCAATCTGCCCAAAAACACAGAAAGGTAAAAACTGATGAAACACGTTCGCTCAGAACTGGCCGTCTTGTTACATAATGTACAACAATCACACACACACACTGCTGTGAATAAAACATTAGCAAACATGATCGCATGAACTACAATTCAATTGTGAATTCAAAAAAATACCGAGTGTTTAATTATTCACGAACAAAGCACCACCATCTGGTCTGGTTGTTTTAATGCACCTCTCTCCCTGATTAAAATTCCACTCTGCAAGTTGACTCCGAATTCATGTTTAATGTCTGCCAGTATTATAATGCCCTTCAGTTATCCAGGTAAGCCTCACCGAGTACTAAGATAGATGTTTTTTTCAGGAGGGTACAGCACGAAGGGCATTTGGCGCATTTAATTCCCGTAATGTTCCAATGTAATTCTAACCTCCCATTTCTATGTTCCACACCTTTAACAAAACTGCACTGACCAGCTCGGTGAAGTGTGACCTGCTTACCGTTCCTGTACTGCGTATGTACGTTGAACTTCTTTCGCACCGTACGGAGCCATCCGTGCTAAACCTATCGGGGTGTTTGTATTGTCTGTTGATGTAACTTGCTGACCAGCCCCTACTGGATATGTGAAAAAACAGCTTAATAGCTCATCGGATTCCTCCAGTCCCCACACGATATGAGGGGACCCTCATCCACAAAATGGCTGTTGGATGCTGGTAAAAGGAGAGACGTATCATCGCACTACACAGCAAGCAGCTTATGGCCAATATCACTGATCTGGGCCATAAGCTTCCTGCTGGTATTATCAGTGTGTGGAGCAAGCAGATGCTGTCACCTCACATTACATCAGGCAATGATGGGTTAAACTCACATTTGAGCAGGGATGTGATTATACCATGTCTCAAGTGTACAGAAGTTAGTGCACTATGTAAGTGGCGAGATGTTAACTGCCTCGCCTGGTATACAGGAGGTCGTGGGTTCGATCCCGACCCTGACGCCTGAATACTTGGAGTTTGCGTGTCTCTCTCCCACGTGGTCGTGTCGATTTTTGTCTGTCCTCGGGTTTTTCCCTCCACATTTAGAAACGCGCGTTTTAGAGTATTTGGCTGCTATAACTTTACACGTGATAAGCCACTTCATTGGGCTATCATTTGTGGCCAGATCGCTTCTGAAAAAGAGCTGCGTAGGTTTAGTGGGCCTTACCTGGTAAAATAAAACGTCATTAAGCTTAATAGTTTAGTTTTAAGGGCGCAATGAGAAGTGATGTGGCACCTCACATATGCAGCTGAATTATGATTGCACCATGTAATTGTGCAGCAGGGAGTGACGTCACCTTGTAGTGTAGCAGGTAGTTGATGCACCATGTCATTGTGCAGCAGGAAGTGATGTCACCTTGTAGTGTAGCAGGGAGTTGATGCACCATGTCAATGTGCAGCAGGGAGTGACGTCACCTTGTAGTGCAGCAGGTAGTTGATGCACCATGTAATTGTGCAGCAGGGAGTGATGTCACCTTATAGTGCAGAAGGTAGTTGATGCACCATGTCATTGTGCAGCAGGTAATGATGTCACCTTACAGTGTAGCAGGTAGTTGATGCACTATGTAATTGTGCAGCAGGGAGTGACGTCACCTTGAAGTGTAGCAGGTAGTTGATGCACTATGTCATTGTGCAGCAGGTAGTGATGTCACCTTATAGTGCAGCAGGTGATGCACTATGTAATTGTGCAGCAGGGAGTGATGTCACCTTGTAGTGTAGCAGGAAGGTGATGCACTATGTAATTGTGCAGCATGAAGTGATGTCACCTTGTAGTGTAGCAGGTAGTTGATGCACTATGTAATTGTGCAGCAGGAAGTGATGTCACCTTGTAGTGTAGCAGGTAGGTGATGCACCATGTAATTGTGCAGCAGGGAGTGATGTCACCTTGTAGTGTAGCAGGTAGTTGATGCACTATGTAATTGTGCAGCAGGGAGTGATGTCACCTTGTAGTGTAGCAGGTAGGTGATGCACCATGTCATAGTGCAGCAGGGAGTGACGTCACCTTGTAGTGTAGCAGGTAGTTGATGCACCATGTCATTGTGCAGCAGGGAGTGAGGTCACCTTGTAGTGTAGCAGGTAGGTGATGCACCATGTAATAGTGCAGCAGGGAGTGATGTCACCTTGTAGTGTAGCAGGTAGTTGATGCACTATGTAATTGTGCAGCAGGGAGTGATGTCACCTTGTAGTGTAGCAGGTAGTTGATGCACCATGTAAATGTGCAGCAGGGAGTGATGTCACCTTGTAGTACAGCAGGTAGGTGATGCACCATGTAATTGTGCAGCAGGGAGTGATGTCACCTTGTAGTGTAGCAGGTAGGTGATGCACTATGTAATTGTGCAGCAGGTAGTGATGTCACCTTGTAGTGTAGCAGGTAGGTGATGCACCATGTAAATGTGCAGCAGGGAGTGATGTCACCTTGTAGTGTAGCAGGTAGTTGATGCACCATGTAATTGTGCAGCAGGGAGTGATGTCACCTTGTAGTGTAGCAGGAAGGTGATGCACTATGTCATTGTGCAGCAGGTAGTTGATGCACTATGTAATTGTACAGCAGGAAGTGATGTCACCCTGTAGTGTAGCAGGTAGTTGATGCACTATGTAAATGTGCAGCAGGGAGTGACGTCACCTTGTAGTGTAGCAGGTAGTTGATGCACAATGTCAATTTGCAGCAGGGAGTGATGTCACCTTGTAGTGTAGCAGGTAGGTGATGCACTATGTCATTGTGCAGCAGGGAGTGAGGTCACCTTGTAGTGTAGCAGGTAGGTGATGCACCATGTCATTGTGCAGCAGGTAATGATGTCACCTTACAGTGCAGCAGGTAGTTGATGCACTATGTCATTGTGCAGCAGGGAGTGATGTCACCTTGTAGTGTAGCAGGTAGGTGATGCACTATGTCATTGTGCAGCAGGGAGTGATGTCACCTTGTAGTGTAGCAGGTAGTTGATGCACTATGTCATTGTGCAGCAGGGAGTGAGGTCACCTTGTAGTGTAGCAGGTAGGTGATGCACCATGTCATTGTGCAGCAGGTAATGATGTCACCTTACAGTGCAGCAGGTAGTTGATGCACTATGTCATTGTGCAACAGGGAGTGATGTCAGCTTGTAGTGCAGCAGGTAGTTGATGCACTATGTCATTGTGCAGCAGGGAGTGATGTCACTTTGTAGTGTAGCAGGTTGTTGATGCACCATGTAATTGTGCATCAGGGATAAACCCCTTTCTCAATGTGCACCGTGTCATGGTGCAGCTGCACAGGGAATGTCCTCTCACCGTGTAGCAAGGAGTCGAGGTGCCGCATCTCTTCCCGCCTCGCCTGCAGCTGCTTCACGTGGGCAGCCACGGTCGCTTTCTTCCCGGGGCTCATACCAACCTCCTTCCCCCCCTCCATCATCACCACCTCACCATCATCACCCCCCATCTCCCGCGGCTCGGTCACTATCTTCTCCAGATACCTCTGCAGCCTGGGGTCCTGGAAGGTCGCCTCTGCCCAGCTCGCAGAGCTGTACAACCTGGACGAGGCTGCGGCAGAGGGGATGGAGAGACGCCGGCCCCAGCAGCGAGGTCCCCGTGGCCTCAGGGGACCCCGCGAGCCCAAGGTCCCCATTGCCCGCAGCAGCAGGCGACCCCCCTGCAGCCTCATGACGCGGCCGGGTTGGGCGCAACAAAGCCGGCAGGCTGAGCAGGAAAGGCGGAAGGCCTGCGGCCTATCGTCCTCGGTGTCTGGGTTCTGCTTTTCGAGATTTTTTTTTTGACGTTATAACTGAATCACTGTTATGTTTAAGAAGTTAGTGTTACCACGCCATAACAACGTTGTTGTACTATTCGTGCTTGCGCTGTTACGGTTGTGCAGCGTATGCACCGCAATAGTTTGAAGCGTTTCGCACCGTGCAATGTTGACCCTACCGGCAATGTCGTGCGTATGTTCAGCTTTAGATAATGTTTACTGTCAATTACAATAAGTGCCGCGCCTCAGTGTCGCACGGAGTGTAACGCACGTGCATTTTACGTTGTACATAGAGAAATTAAAGAACGTTTATAGCGATAAAATACCACGCATTGACATCAAGTTCATCGACACTTCGATGATCCAAAAGCCTCCTCATCGTCTCTCCTCGCCACCGACTATGTTATACATTTCCCCCCCACAAGGTTTAAAGGATCTTATTTCTTGTAAGTTCTAAATGTCCGCGTAAAGGCGACGCTGCACCCGCACTTGCAATGCACCGGCGCACAGTGGCCGCTACAGTGGCACACAAAGACAAAGGTCCCCCGTGTAGCCTGCAACAGACTTGGGGCAAGTGCTGTGAACGAGCGGCACCTATGAACGCCGGTGCGGCACACGAGGGGGTGGCCGGCACCACGCCCGACCGCCTTTGTCTCTCACCAGCGGTGACGTTCACTACGCACCAGGTTACTCGTTTGAGGCTGAGTCGACCTAGGGGGAGGCACAGGACCGGTTCAGATATTCGTCCACTCGCTAACCGCCACACAACTGCAAACAAAGACAAAGATCCCCGTGTAGCCTGTAACATTGTTGGGGCAAGTGCTGTTAGCGAGCAGCACCGATGAAGGCTGGTATTGTGGGACACGAGATTGTTATTAAATACTCAAATCGGAGACCCGTCTGACAATCTTATTACCGAAAGACCCCATCACGTATCATGTCCATCAATTTAGATTGGTATGTTATCTAAAGATAGCTTCAGCGACTGTTCTGCCATGTTATTAAGGATGTCATCAAAGTGTAGAAGTTGTCAGTCGATATTCTGAAGACCCCCATCGTATTGTGTTTTAGTCTGTTAGTCTTTTTGTCGAAAGATGCCATCATAGAATGGTTTCTCATTCTATGGTTTAAAGACTCCTTTAAAAACCAGACTGTCCATTTATTGTGCACAAATCCCACACAGACCAGATATTAATATACTGTATTATATATTTTTATGAAGACTTTCAGAGGTTGGAGTGTCAGTCTATTACCTAAGACCTTAATCAACATGCCTTGCAATAGGTATCTCTTTGGTGTTGGAAAATCTTCACATCTGTTTTATTGTCAGAAAGAGTAAAACCTCTTGTTCTTTTTTCAAAATTTTTTATCGTGGCAAAAAGGTCCATTAGATGGTTTAGTATACTATTGAACATGCCAATGACTTCATCATAAGGTACATCATTCTGCCTTTTCTCAGCACGGTCAGTCTCGTCTGTCCTATTGTCTAAAGATTCCCAGCACAAACTCGTCTTTTTAAATCCTTTATATTAAGTTCACTTGCTTACGACCGTGCAAAATTTTCGGTCGTTTTTTAACTCACTTCCCGTGATCCAATTGAGCTGTCATTTTGCACACAGACTCGTTGTGCGTGACAATGTATTTTCGTGAATTTTTTTTCCAACATTTTACACTTTTTAGGAAAAAATTAATTATATTTAATTAACAATTGCTTAATGGTGGCAGCCATTCATCTGACCCATAGGTGGCAGCCATCTCAAGCCAGAGGACGAGAGGACTCTAGCCGCCACGCATATAAAGGATTTATAGTGAAATACTTTGTTTTTACGGGTTAATTTTATCTTATGTCAAATGGCCACGTGATATTTTTTGTGTCAGTTAATCATCTCAAGACTCATAAGACACCATTCACATGTCTATCATTTACAGACCCAGACCACAGCATTGTATTTTGTCTATGGACTACACCATAGATCGGTTTGTTAGTCGACTGTGAAAAATTTCTTGTCAGCGACAGGTTTGTGCGTGTAATGCCTAAATGAATCTATGCAATTTTATTGTCGAAACTGTCAGGTGTGACCTGCTTAAAAGAGTCAGATTTGCTCCCGAGGGCGATTGCAATGTATTTATTTTATTACTTCCCGAATACAGTGTTGTTTTAAATAGCTCTACTGTTTGTTGTAGTACAGAGTTAGACTGATGGCCTTAATCTAAGTTGTCTTATGGTTGTTGTTGTTGTTGTTGTTTGACTTGCATCCCACTGGGATTTTTGCACACAGCGTTGGTGTACGGTGATTTTTTCTGCAATATTTTGCTGTCTTTTCTTGGATTTTCTGTTTGCACTTAGTCACATATTCACTTTAAGATGTTTTTTTGTTCATGTTTTTGTTTTTTGTTTGTTGCGGTTGCACCCGATTCAAGAGCCGAATGGCTCACAGGGCTATGCCTAATAAATTAACTTGAACTTGAGTTCAGTGTAGTCAGTCGTAATAATTTACATGATCAACGACTTGACTTCCATCACGAGTTTGCTCTTGTAGCAAACTAGTGAATGTACATCGGAGGACGGCTGCTTGCGTTGTGGCCGAAACGTCGTGAGAATTGTATTTTATAGTTTTATTTTAATTATTTTATGATTTCCCTTCTATGTGACTTTACCGAAAGAACCAAGAAGATACATCGGTATCGTCTGGAAAAGGTGTTTCAATCATTTGACTGTGTATATAATATTATTTGGGTCTTTCCGTAAAGTCACGTAGGTAGGTTCAAAGAAAATAGTAATCAACGATCTGTGCAATCCACACACCAATACTTCCTATCAATAGTTAAACATGGTCAAGGTGCAGCCCTGCAAGTGCTTGCTCACGCCACTGCTGGGAGAAGGGCCTCCACTAGAGGGAGCTCTACGAACCCCCTCCACTCGTCCACACACCTCAGAAGAGGTGGGAGTACACACAAAGACAAAGATCGCCAGGATAGCCTTAACAGACTGGAGGAGCAAGTGCTGCACCTACGAAGGCCGACACAGCACGAGGGGGTGAGTGGCCAGCACCCACGCCCGGCTACCTTTGGGGCCGTCCATAAATGACGTCACCCGATTTTGGACGATTTGACCCCCCCGACCTCGTCACACGGCGTCACAAAAAGTCAGACCCCCCCTCAAATATGACGTCACAAAGCTCTGCCCCCCCCCCTCCCTCCAAAAAAATTAAACATGCTTCAAATCGCTTTAAACTATTGTCATTGTAGTGCGTATTTAATGTGGCGCTGCACTCTGATGTAGGAGAAAACGTTTATTAAAAAGTCTATTTAATTAAGTAGAACGTGTTGTCTATATTTATTTAAAGTTGCGCATTTTGATGTGACGTCACATTTCTCAAACCCCCCCTCGTCACATGTATGACCCCCCTAGGTGCGTGACGTCATTTATGGATGGCCCCTTTGCCTGCCGAGTGGCAATGTTTACACACAGCACCAGGTACTCATTTGAGGCCGAGTCGACCTGGGGAAGGCCCAGGGCCGGTTCAGATACTCGTCATTGGTGTTGACCGTGAGCAGGAATCGAACCCAGATGGTCGTGTTCGTAGTGCAGCATGCTATCCGGCTGCACTACTGAACCCCACAATATAACGCATCATGCGCAAACTGCCCATTGAATGTGGTGTCCCCATTTAAACTGTTAGGTGGAGATGTTGTAGACGATTTAAGAAACCTTTCAATTATTTCCACTACTGCGCCGGGAGATCAAGCCGGCGACCTCTGCATTGCATGTCCAGCGTGGTAACCATTACACCATGGGTCCAATGTGGAGAGACCCAAATTGGTTTCATTCCAATGGCAGCAGCAGTGACCACTGCCAAAAACGCATCCAGAGCGGTGCTTGCGCTCGCAGTCTGTACGCATTTGAAATGTCAAACGAGGGCCTTTGGACTTTGTAAATCCACTGCACAACATGCAAATGTTACTGTGAAAGTTTGAAAAAAAAATTTGCACAATTATTATTCAGGTTTCCATTGCCCGTTTCAACTGTATATCGCAACAGAGTTTGTGAGTAGTGACCTTTGAAACCATCAGTGGTTTGGAATACAAACAATGACTTACATAAAGTTATTCAATTTCCAGCATGGTCTTACACAGTTTTTTAGTTTATTTTGTAGGGAATACAAACATTTTTCTGTCGTAATGTCTACAGACCAGAGTGTCTAATTAATTGTCTATACGAGATGTTAGTTTTCACAAGAGACACATTATACAGTGTTACATTACAGCTACCCTGCTAAAACATCAGGGAGACATTATAGAGACAACATTTTACGTTAAAAAACTTTAAATGTCTCTCTCAGAATCTCAATACCACTGATCCAATGATTTAACACTCGTCTGTAAAATATGGAATCATCGTCGCTTTCACAATATTCCGTCGGCTGTTGTGATGAAAAGTAAGAGGTTCATTAGAAATCAGTGGCGGGAGGGGGGGAATTTTTTATCAGATCACCCTGTATTTCTGGCAGACTGTTACAAGTTGCTCTCCGTGAAGGGGCCCAAAACAGCAATCGCCTCAATCTCCACCTTTCCGCCCTGAGGGTGAGAAACAGAACACGCGGTGTTAGCAGCCAACGCGGGCCATGGAGAGTGACCTGGCCGAGCAGTAGCATGTTTGCCACTTGTTGCAGAGGTGCGTGGTTCGAGCGCATTCGGGCTATACTGCGGCTGTATTCACAACAAAACAAATTAACCCATAAAAACAAAGTTTTTCACTATAAATCCTTTATATGCGTGACAGCTAGAGTCCTCTCGTCCTCTGGCTTGAGATGGCTGCCACCTATGGGTCAGATGATTGCCTGCCACCATTAAGCAATTGGAAAAAAAATTTCACGAAAATTAATTGTCACGCACGAGTCTGTGTGCAAAATGTCAGCTCGATTGGATCACGGGAAGTGGGTTAAAAAACGACCGAAAGATTTGCACGGTCGTAAGCGCGCAAGCAAGTGAACTTAATATAAAGGATTTAAAAATACGTGCCGTCGTCTTCTTCACAATGGGGGTTGGGAGGTGCCTTGCCCCCCCCCCTGGTGGCCAAAGCTACGAGTTGGGGCCCCTTTGACAACTACCGTGAGATAATTTTTCAAAAATGATATTGCAAAGAAGTATTTTGCGAAGACGGATCGCCCCAACAGCGTTAAATGTTCGAGACCGTGATCATAATGACGTGATCAGGCAAGAGGAGCCACAATATATAATAGCCTCGGTGCGACTGTGCGAGACAAATTAAATATTGGGGCCCCACCTGACTGATGGCCGCACCCCCTGAGCTGATAATTAGTTATGCCACTGCAGTGGATGTAAACAATTCGGTGATGTTATTCTGTGCTGACATAAGTCAAAATTTGCCGAATTTTAATGATTACTCGGACATTATATCCTTGAATGTGTAAAAAAAGCACATAGCAGCATCCCGACCGGCAAACTATAGCCCCATCTGTGAAACAAAGCGCCTTCGTGATAGCCACGTACTGTAAGAATTGCACGGATACGAAATGTATTAAAATTATTAACAAAAGCCCTCGGCCTTATCCAGACCACCAGTTGCAAAGACCTAAATGTGGGGTAATTTTGTCATTTAGACCACCAACTGGATAATGCGGAAACCTTATTGTACATGCAAAGCACACAATGCACAAAGGTGAAATATATTTGTTTCCAGCTGCTTTAATGTTTTTGCTGTGATGGGTTTACTCATCATTTACAGTTATAATTATTTTTCATATTCACACTCAACATTGCTGCCAATGTATAATAAAGCATGCACATGATTTTTCAATGCGCTTAATTTATATGATTTGTACACAGATGGTCCCGTTTAGCCAGTTGCCGTGGCTATGTTACAAGGGAGATCCGTGGTGCGTAAGCACAGCAACATCAAAGACAAAAACATCAATATTGCAGAGAATGAGTTACAGGGCCCTTTGGGACTTATGCACAAATATTGGACAGATTTCTGACCTTTGGAAGCGCGGCAACTTGGTATGCGGCACGGGCGGGGAAATTCTTGCTGAAAACTAAAAGAAAAAGTCAATATTAATATTAAAAAAATACATAATTGCTCACATAATGCACTATTGTACTGTTACACGGTGAACAGATAAACGCAACACGAAGCTGCAGATGTGCAGTTTTATCCACGAAAGTGCACACACACTTTACTCACATTCTTTGTACACCTCATTCACAGTTGCGAAGTCATCCATACTTGCAAGTAGAACCGTCGTCTTCACGACTAGACAAAGAAATAAAACTCTCTTTGATGATCGTACCAATATGAAACGTTTCATATTCTACCATATTGCTGAACACAGCGTGTTGATAGTGTAAGTGTATTAAAGAGATGAAGAGTTTGACAGATTTCAAGAGTGATTAATTACCATTATTGTAGTCACAGTTTGCTGCTTTTAGGATTTCACCCATGTTCACAAGAGCCTGCGAAACCAATGGACCAACAAATACACCAATACTTCCAGTGTCAGCAAGTGTTCATGGATAAGGTCTTACTCGGCAGCATTTCTGGAAAATTCCGGCACAACTTAAGTGAAAACTCTAGTAAACTTGAAACATCATGGAAATTACATTTTTTTTTTACCAACTTGAGTAATGGGAGAAATCAGGTCGATTCGAGAATACTCGAGTCAACTCGAGTTGACTGTCCACAGAAGATTACTGGGTTTAAAGTCAGCCAGGTCGGACTGTCGTGAGAACGCGGGCCGAGCCAGCGAATCCTGATCACGAAGCGAGCCGGCACACTTCCAGTGGCTGTGGAAACAAGGCCAAGAGGCAACGGTGGCCTCACCTGGCGTGCTTCGTTGGCAACGCCTCCTGCCACCAGCGAGCCCGACTGCGGCTCCATCCCCAGCTGTCCTGAGATGTACATGGTGCGATCCACAAGCACGGCCTGGCTGCAGAGGCAATACATAGGGAAGAGAGCGTGCGCTGCGAATGTCAGAGGATGAACAACGCAGGGCCAAAGATGAATTAATAGCATGGTGATCAAGTTAACCAGAGGGATTCATACTCTTAGTTATTTCGGTAAAGTCACGTAGGTAAAAAATGAAATAAAAATTAATAAAAATAAAACAATAAAAAATAAAAAATCACGACGTTTCGGAGGCAACATCAGGTGGGACCGTCACAACCAGATTTGATGCAGAAAATCTGGTTGTGACGGTCCCACCTGATGACGGAGACTTGTGTTGCCTCCGAAACGTCGTGATTTTTTATTTTTTATTGTTTTATTTTTATTAATTTTTATTTCATTTTTTACCTGCGTGACTTTACCGAAAGAACTAAGAGTATGAATCCTTGCAGTCACGAAAGCTTCAAATCTAGAATTAACCAGAGGGAACAGTGACACAGTGATTCAGTGACTCTGCTACATACCCAGCAAGCTGAGTTTGATTCCTGGCTACGGCTCACGTGAATGGCAAGTGATAATCTTAATGTGTATTTGGCTTCTGCCTCACCAACTCGCACTCGCCGACGTGGTGAAGTATGGCAAACCAAAAAAAAACCCCGTGACTTGCAAACCAATGAGAGTATTTTCATCTACGTGGTGGATCGATCAAGGGCGTGGATTGCAATTTTCTTTATCATAGTAACCGTTGGGCGCAAACGTTATTTGCCAGTAAGTGAATGAAGAAGCCTCGGGCAAGTTAAAATATAGTTGTGATATCATTCGGCTCTCGGTTGAGTTTTCATTGGGAATCGATTTGGTGGGCGAAATGACCTCTGCACAACAATTGAACCGGATCTCATGGTTGACCTCAACTTCCTCTGCAACCACCTCGTCAGGACACCCCTTCACACTTTGCATGCCATTTTGGGATACTTGATATGAAGTGCAATCCTGTAAATCAATCGGCGGTTTGGATGATCTGTGCGGAATGCGGTGGTCATATGTTAAATACTGCCATTCGACAGCTGCAGTTGCCGCTTTTAAATTAAGAAGGATGGGATTGCAGTGCCTGCACACCCCATACTACATCTAATAAAAACAAAACATAATAAAATAATATAATATTATGTTTTGTTTTTATTATTTTATTACTTCCCTTCTACGTGACTTTACCGAAAGAACCAAAAAGATGAATCCCTGCAGTCACGAAAGCTTTAAATCGAAACCCCATACTACACTTATAGCTATTATATACATGCTTTTTTATAGGTACACGCCGGATTCCCCACTCGTGCCACTCAATGGAATTGGCCAAGAATCCCAAAGCAGTGCAGCAGGCCCCTACTCTGCAAAGTTGTCTTGAGAAGCCAAGTCAGGCGTTCCATTGATATAATCGAACGGCATAATCATCATCATCATCGTCGTCGTCGTCATTAAACCCAACACAGTGGCAACTGAAGTGCTTGCCCATGGCACAGTTTTGCAATGCACGTCTACTGCCCCGATGCCCACCCACGTGTCCATCCCCGTACCTGTACGGCCCGATGGCACCGGGCGCCTTGGCGGTGCTGATGATTCTTCGCACAACGGAGGCCATTGCCGTCTAAGTAAGGGAGGAGATTTGTTTATTTAACTTTCCGTTTGCACGCAGACTTCAACTAAGCAGCGAGGGAGGAGGAAGAGGAGGAGGAAGAGGAGGAGGCCGCGTCGACTTGTGAACGACCAAAAAGCAAAGAAACGGAACAGCAGAGTGGTCTTTACGTGCGGCAGCCGTCAGCTGTTCTGGGGAAACGCCCCCCCCCCACCCCGCGGCCAACTTTAACCAATCGCAGCGTCGCACGCGGAGGGCGTTGCCGTGATTCTGCAACGCCATTGGCTGAGAGCGCGAGGGGGGCCTGGCTCGGAGGGCGTGGCCTCGGGGCCTGAGCAGCTCCGCCCGGTCTCAAGTTGCAGGCAACTTCGTGACTTTGTCCCAACACGTGTTGCTGTTGCTGCCATTGTGAACGTACTCGTGATGAGTTGTTTAGCAGCTGCTGATTCGGTGAAGTTATACAGAAATTAACAGGTTACATGGGAATAACAGGGTTTGTTTTATATTCTTGGTTCTTTCGGTAAAGTCACGTAGAAGGGAAATAATAAAATAATATAAATATAAAACAATACAAAATTCTCACGACGTTTCGACTGCAACACAAGCAATCGTCATCAGATGTGAACTCTACAGCAAGAAAATTTTCAAATTTTGAGAATTTTTATTGTTTTATATTTATATTATTAATTTTGAGAATTTTTATTGTTTTATATTTTATTATTTCCCTTCTACGTGACTTTACCGAAAGAACCAAGAATATGAATCCCTGCAGTCACGAACGTTTTAAATCAAAATTTAGGATTTGTTTTGCTTATTGTAATTGCTCAGTTGCAAGCAACTTTATGACTTCGTCCCAACACGTGTTGCTGTCACTGCCATTGTGAATGTGCTCGTGATGAGTAGTTAAGGAGCTGATTCGGTGAAGTTATACATACGTTAACAGGTTATATGATAATAACATGATTTTTTATTGTTAATTGCTCAGTTGAAAGCAACCTTATGACTTTGTCTCAACACGTGTTGCCGTCACTGCCATTGTGAATGTGCTCGTGATGAGTTAAGTGCATCGGCGGCTTTCGATTCGTGTATGTTGTATATAATTGGTTCACGCGACTCCTGACAGCCGCTAGAGGTCGTAGCTACGTCTATGGGAAATAAAACTACAAACGTGGAATACATCGCAACCCTTGGGGGGCGTCCATAAATGACGTCACGCGATTTTGGACGATTTTTGACCCCCCCCCCTTCGTCACACGGCGTCACAAAAAGTCAGACCCGCCCCCCTAAAATATGATGTCACAAAGCTCTGCCCCCCCCCCCCCCCAAAATACATGCTTCAAATCGCTTTAAACTATTGTCATTGTAGTATGTATTTAATGTGCCGCTGCACTCTGATGTTGTAGGAGAAAACAATTATTAAAAAGTCTATTTAATTAAGTAGAACGTGTTTGTCTATATTTAAAGTTGCGCATTTTGATGTGACGTTACATTTCTCACCCCCCCCCCCCGCAATCGTCACAAATGTCTTACCCCCCCCCCCTCGGTGCGTGACGTCATTTATGGACAGCCCCTTGTTCGTAACGATCAAATCGCTGCACCCATGTTATCTAAGCAATGCATTATTATAGTGAGAGTACTGCATTGTATTTTACGGGCGGGGAGCGGTGGCGCAGTGATGAGCGCACTGTGATCGAAGCCCCGGGAGGCTGGCCACGGCTACATCAGTGGCGAATGAAATCTGAAACAATCCTGGGCGCGCCATCCACTACACCAACTCGGACTGAGCAGCGTAGTCAAACTACCGCCCCCCCCCCCTGACTGACACGGAGTGGGGAGGCCATCATCCAGCAGTGGATTGAAAAATGGGCTGTTAATTATGTCAAATTTAACTTCTTTCGCACCGTACGTCGCCAACTGTGCTAATCGGAGGTGCGGGGGAAGGACAACAAACGAAGGATTGTCCGTCGGTTGTCCTTAAGCTTGTTGCAATGTACCGAAGCGTTTTGGTTTTAGCACGTGAATGTTACTAAACTCTTTGTCAAGATAATAGACCAGTTCCGTGCAACCGGTTGGACCAAAAGGTCTGAAAAGCGTCAACAACCACCCCGTATGAGGTGGATTACAATTTGTAACGTTTCGACGAATAATTTCGAATTGGTTTTACAAGAATTGTCGCGCCTAACCAGTTAATTTTCCTTCATGTGAAAAGTGATTCGAGTTTAGGGTCTTCGTTCAGCAGTGGGGTGAGAATGGCTGGTTGTTATGAGACAATGACTTGGTATCTTAGGTCCAACAATATATGTATCCAACACAAGACTAGAGCACATACTCTAGATATTGAAGTTGTATTCATTACCGTTTATCAACTGGTGTTCCCCGCCTTGCCACAAATGACAGTTTAATTGTGTGAAAATGTACAGCAGCCAAATACTCGCACGTTTCTAAATGTGGAAAACCAGAGGACCCGGAGAAAAATCCACCCGAGTACGGGGGAGAGAGAGAGAGTGAGAGACACGCAGACTCCAACTATACAGCAGACTCATCTTCTTGGTTCTTTCGGTAAAGTCACGTAGAACGGAAATAATAAAAGAATAAAAATAAAACATAATAAAATAATTTTCACGACGTTTCGGCCACAAAGCAAGCAGCCATCCTCAGGTGAAGATCAGGTCTGTCGGAAAGACAGCGTCCTCAGGTGAAGAACAGGTCTGTCGGAAAGACAGCGTTTGAGGCTGTCTTTCCGACAGACCTGTTCTTCACCTGAGGAAGGCTGCTTGCGTTGTGGCCGAAACGTCGTGAGAATTATTTTATTATGTTTTATTTTTATTCTTTTATTATTTCCCTTCTACGTGACTTTACCGAAAGAACCAAGAAGATGAATCCCTGCAGTCACGAAAGCTTTAAATCGAAAAATATACAGCAGACGGTCAAGGGTCGGGATCGAACCCGCGACCTCCTGCGTAACCGGCGAGGGAGTTAACATCTTTCCACCGCGGCTCCTACTGGACGCGATGTACAGAGATAACTCCTCACTTGGTCCTCATCAAAGGTTGCACGGGGACAAAAAAAACCACCACGCACGCGTGTGAGCTGGTAACCACTTTTTTGTATTTTTTTGTTTTACTGCAAGCAGGGTTGCCTTCGATACAAAAAGGAAATGTGTGCATGTAATGGGTTACACAGTATGTCGTAATGGATTACAGTAAAATTGCCGAGACAATCGGGAGCATGACAACTCAAGAAAAGCATAAACGGGGGAAAAAAATAAAAAAAATGTGTGTGGCTGCAGCAGCAGACGAGTGGGACATTTCGCAAGCTTTCCATCTCTGACACACTCTCTTTCTCTCTCACGCACGCACACACAGAGGTCATCCGCGTACAGACAACAAAGCCATGGAACAGTAGTAGTCTGGCCATAAATAATAGCAATTATGAAAAATTAAACAAACGAAATACTGTCAAATCAAAACGAAGCCATTTGAAACGAGCACAACAACGGGCAAGGCGAGAAATTAAATAAGCCGGGCTCACGCACGCTTTTCCTATACCTACAGTAGGCTACGGGAACAGACAGGGGGGACGACCTTTAAGAGACCTTCATACAACAATTACCACTGGAACCACCGCTCTACACGCCACCCACGTGGGTTTATAAGAGCGCCCGGACATCATCGGTACGTCTCCACGTTCGTTCACCACCATGCTGGCTGCTGATGCGCTGCGCGTTGATTCCTCGGCTCGGCAGTGACCTTTAACAGTGACCTTTAACACCAAAACCCCGCAGCCGCCGATGCGAAGAGGTGAAACGGGCAACGGCATGGTAACGAGCCCGTGTGGTTATCTGTGTTAACCAATTACTTGACAATCAGCCCAGCCATTACTCCAACCTCCACCCTCCCCTCCCCGGAATTCATATTATGGAAAATGTATCGGGCGTTATGAGCGATATTAACAAGCACTTGCATTTAACGTGGCCGATACGGGCTTGTCAGCATGCAAAAACTGCTCCCAGCGATTATATACTTGCTGCAAAATGCCATCATTATTTACCGTTGTATCACGGTGGGTTTTTTTTTATCACAGTGCTGGCAAGTCCTTGGTGTGAGTGCCACTGAGAAATGATCCGGTCTAGATCTTTTTGAGGCCAATTCCTTCCAGCAACCTTCTCAACGGTATGCGCTCTAGCCAGACCTTGCTGCATATAAGCCGTGCCTCTCTCTCTCTCTCTGCATTGTTCCTGACCCCGCCAACAAGAGAGGGCAATTCATGTTGCCCTGTACGCTGTTGTTTATAGAAATGTGCGTGTTCAGTGCACGTTACAATAAATATGCTCTCCTCGAATCCAATCTGCTGTGCTCTATGGTTGCTGCTCTATCGTTATTTATCCTGCCTGACAAGGTGCCCATCGCCTGTTGGAAATAATAATTATAATAATTTATGATGAAAATTAAATGTGCGCTGCCAGTGGATGTCCGGTGTCTTCAAAGCGACCGCTATTTTTCCCCCACGCACCACTTACACACGGACGAAAGCACACCCCTTCTCTGTATTTTGACGCATTTATTTTTATTTTGCCGTTAATGTTCGAACGTGCGCGTTCACGCTTTTTGCGGGAGCGCGGCCACGGTAAATTTTGAGTTAATTCTTACGCATTTTTACAATCGCCGTCGAGAAACCCAGACACAAGCTCCGACTGCGATTCGAGGGATGCGCCGTGAGCGTCGGACGTGAAAGGCAACCCAAAACAACTGAAGAGGTTTGACAACTTGCAAGGACGAGGCCCACGCAGATCGTGGCCAGAGTACACGTGCCCATCAAATGTTACTCCAAGACGACCTCTCTCCATAGCCTACTAACCCAACCAGACACTTAGCACTACCCCTAATTAACTAACCGTGATCTATAATTGATATCCCCCACATTTAACTAGGCAGCTAGCCATGACTACTAGCCCTTCCACTACCCCCCCCCCCTAACTCGTCACGAATGTTATCCCTACCGTTAACCAACTATCCTTAAAGCAAGCCTAGCGAACCAACCACGAGTACTCACCCCACCTCTCATGAGTTGTCAACTATTTATAATCCGTAGCCCTCACTAGCCAGGCACACATACTAAGCCCTGCCACAAAGCCCTAACCCTCGCCCCCCGCATACCACCTCTGTCACTAAACCAGGATCCCCTCTTCACTCTTTTGTTTTGCTTTTCAGTTTGTGTCTTCACGGCATCGTCGCCATGGAAACGCCTGACTTGCAGCCTATATCCTACTCAAGGGATATTTCCTATTTTTTTGCTGCACGGGGGACTTCACAAGCGCCTCATCATACACACACACACAACAACAACAGCAACAACAACATCTGCATCATCATCATCGTCAATATTCAGCTTATGCGCCAACGCATCGGCGTGCGTTTCGCAGTGACATCAAAATAAGTTACGCGTCAACGTGATCACTTTGATCACGCCGATTGACAGTTCTGTTCACGAGTCGATAAATAGCAAAGGTGCGCCTCTAGGCTGGAGCCTACGGGGTGGGAGGGGGGCATAAGGAAGGGCAGCTGCCCTCTATGAAAAAAAAGACTATCCTCGTCCTCTGCCCAGGCAGTCTTACCCCCTTATATTTTAAATACGCTCCCCTAAACTATTCTCCGCATGGCAGGCCCTTGCGTAAAAGGGCATTCAGTCGAAGCGGATAGCCCGCACGAGGGCAGCTTAACACTATTTTAGTCCACAATGCAGCGCGTACGAAGAACACGAGTCAGGGCCAGGGCCGGCGAGCGCTGGAATGGGCCCTGCGTGACCAAATGTCCCTTTGGGCAAACCCAAGTCCACTCTCTCCTGAGCGGTGTGTATCACTGTTACGGTGGCCTCCCAAATACAACGGCCGCACTGCTTCTCCCCCCCCGCCTGCCCCCCATCCGAGAGGAGCAGGAGACGGGCCTGCCTTTAATGCACCCTTAAGCATCTCCATCCATCCCGAGCGTTCCGTTGGGCCGTGGAAGGATAGCGTACGATGCTCAACGTCTCCATTCAAACCGTCACTTCAGCCGGATGGCTCTGTACAATTACCTTCCACAACCGGTTTGTGCCATGCAAAATATGCTTTTTAAGTCAGTTTTTTTTGCGTTACATTTTTTAATCAACTGCGAACGCACATTCGTCGCGCGACACTTCACAAACGGACCCCAATACGTCAATACGCGCGATCGCACTCCCACGCTCGCAGGCGTGCCGTGTTAAGTTTTGCTCTCACATTACGTTTTATCCTTCGCTGTCGCATTACGAATTGCCTGTGCGTCTCGCGTGTACGTTATGCATGGCTCAGACGCCACTGTAAATTGACTTATACATTTAGGATAGGTTGGGTTCGGCAAAAACAACAGCATCTTCATTGATGCAATGTCCTTCTTCTATAGAGACGCCAACATGCAGGTCACCTACGAACACAAATACTGGACAACAATGGTTCGAAGTTGTGTTCCCAAGCAATAGATATACCAATATTGTAGTACAGCCTGCAACCCAGTGTGTTACACGATTTCACAAGCCCACAGCTATGTTGTTTGCCTTCAGTGCGTCGCCCCATAATCACGAATCATAATTACACATAACCATTAAAAAAAAACATTCGACTTTTATCAGACGTAAACAAAATTTACCAATGCGATCAACCCCATTGAATATGCATCGAGAGTATGAATAGCACTGCAGCTTCCGTTTAAACGTATCCGCCATTCTAATCGGAGCTTTCTTCCCGTTCTATTTTTGTGCCACACGCCTGTGCACTCTTTCTTTAAATGTTACTTCAATATTAAAGCAGCGTCTCGCCAATTACCAACAAATGGGACATGCAGCGTTAGCGTGTGAATAGCTGATCCCGGGCGCACAGCGCTCACAGCCTGGGCAAAAGCACGGCAAGTAGACCGCGGCCGACGAAGCGCGGCAGCAGCCGGCTATCTCTTAGCCGTGCCACCGCGCACGGGCGTGGGCTGTTTCATCTTGGACGGCGTCGGGATCTTGGACGGCTTGAGTGCCGCGGCGGAAGAGGATCGGCCTCCCGTGCGGAGCGGCCTGACGGGGCTGCCGCTACCGGACGAACGCAGGAGGCCTCCCGGCCCCGCGGCCGTCGCGCCGGCGTGCGGCTGCTGCTGCTGCTGCGGGCGGAGCTGCGGCTGGAGCTCGCTCGCGTCGGAGCAGAGCGACGTGAGGTCGGACACGTCGAGGTCCGAGGCGTCGGAGCCGCGCCGGCTGCTCGTGCAGCTGCCGGCGCGGCTGCCCTGCCTGCTGCCCGGTCGGCTGCCTGCCTGGCTGCCTGTTCGGCTGCTGGGGCGGCTCGACTGCAGCTTGCGCGAGTCTGGGCGTTCGGACCGACGGGTGGGACGGACAGACGGACAGATGGTATGGACAGGCGGACGGACAGACTCATTCGCGTGTACATGCCTTACCCGTGGTTCCCATTCTTGGCACTGTTAGACTTTTAGTGCGTCATATACTGCACATGGAAAGGTTATGACTGTGTATCTGTTTAAAACTCTGCAAGAGACCACCCGTGTGGTCTCAATTGCGCCTCCGTTCACGGTTGGCTTCGTACGGTGTGAAAGAAATTCAACGTACAATATATATTACATAATATATAACAGCAATTCGAATTTTCAGCCCTGTGTCAATCCACTGCTGGATAAAGGAGTCTTCAATAAAACACTCTTTGGTGTTTTTTTTTTTGTGGCCGTGCCGTCTGATCGACATGGCCTATGTTATTTGCAAATTGGTGGTGTGTACGGCCGCATGAGTGAAAATCAAAGGTTCCGTCTCATTACCTGTGAGAAATCCTGGCTGCTTCAGTCGGCTGCTGTGGACCGGTGTGTTCTGGGACAAACACAACGAGGGAAGGGGGCATGGGAGAAGATGTCATTCATGCAAATAAGTTTGAAATTAAAAAAGTGTGTTTTTAACCTTTGACCCAATAAAACTAATTTCGCCAATCCGGCTCATCAGCCCCGGAGCTGCTTATCCACTGTACCGTTTGCATTAACACGGCACATAATGTTCCGTAAAAATGATGATTATAATGCTGGTCTCAAGACTCTCTTTCAGGAGGGTCCTGCAGTAGCACCCCACTTGCAGAAGGACATTACATAGCCGCAGTAGGGCACTATGTCATGTGTAACCCCAATAGTGTAATTTGCAGGTAGGTAATTTTATCAGCGTCAGTGATGTTTGACAGCAAAATGAATGTGCAGGCAATGCCCACATTTTCCACACGGACGCTAACGCTGACTTTGTGTTATGTAGCTTGGCCAACCCGCGACACTTTACCACCACGGCCAACGTGGCTGGCGTGCAAGTCCTCCCCGCCCGCTCACCTTGTTTCCATTGGTCGATCTGCCCGTGTTGGAACCCGTCTCCCCGTGGTTGTTGTTGTTGCTGCTGGTGGTGGTGGTCGCGCCGGACTTGCGCGTCGTGGTTGACGCCGTGTGCGGCGGCGGGCTCGTGGGTGCCGAGCCGCCCGGACCGCCGGCGCTGCCGGCCTGCTGCTGGTGGTTGGCAGGCGATGTGCTGTGGTTGCTGGGACTGGAGTTGGAGCGCGTGGGCGACGCGCCGCGCGAGTCGGGCCTCGACCGTCGGCCCTTGGGCCTGAAAGGGGCCAGCGCCTGGCTGACGCCCTCCGCCAAGATGAAGCGCTCGCGCAGCTCCAGGTTCGTGCGCCCTTTAGCTGCACGCGGAGCGCGCGGCCAGCACGGAACACGCACGGCAAAGACGGACGTCTCTTGTTTAGTCTCGTAGAACCTCGCGGGAAAGGCGAGTGCGGCTAGCGAGCACGTGCTAATGCCGGGTGGTGTGGCCAGCACCACTCTGGGCTGCCTACGGTGCCGATGTTCGTGCATCGCATGAGGTATCTGTTTCGTGGCCGAGTCAACTTAGGGGAGGCTCAGGAACGGTTCTGACGGCAAGTGCCACTGTACGTGAATTACGGCTGGGAGTAGAACCCGGGTCGCCAGGATCATAGCGCAGTGCACGAACCAACCGTGGCGCTTCGGCACGCATACCCATGCACGCACGAATATGCCGCGGCACAAAACAATAAATCACACCAAGAGCGCACTTGGATACCATGAGAAGGCAATGGGGGATGCGGTGGATTCGGCGTAACATCCGTCACGCTCATTTTCGAGCGGGCGACGATGATACTTTTTTTAGCCATGCAACTTGAGCTCATGCCGGCCACCGTCAATGCCTGCAGAGGGCAATGTCGGAGTGTGCAGCGGCACGCTGATTGTTACGCGGACTCCACTGCAGTTCAGTGTCAACACTACTCCTGAGACAAATGCTGAATGCGGCAATAAGGGGGTAATTCCAAGACATTGTTTCCAATCGTCGGCAAAAACCAGGGCCCTTGTTGTTGCTTCTTAAACTACATATAACTCGTTATGCGTTGTAGTGGGCAATCACGGGTAAAGTATGTATATACGTATAATGATGACGTAGGAATCAGTAATTTATATTTTGGGTCGTATCGCGTGAAGGAACGTGCCAATGAAAGTATTATTCCTTCAGGAGCAGCACTCCCGGGTGCTGTTGGAGAGTAACCTCGTGGCGTTTCACTCATAGTTACAACCAGCATCATCAGGTAGTAGCCAGAATTGTGTGAACGTCCTCCATTTTATTTTCGTGATCTGACACCCCCATACCCCCCCCCCCAAATAAATAAATGATAAATCATGATATTGGTCACAATATCCTACGTGTTAATCACACAGGAAGAGGTCAGGACTCAGATTGTAAATGTTGTGGCTTTGCTCTCCAACACACCAGTGTGCTGTACTAGTGACGAATTGGCCACGTTCTGTTTACGTGACAACCCTTACTAGTTGGCTAGTGTCAGGTGGTAGCGGGTTTTAACAACACATTTATATATTTACGCGATGATATTGGTTTGTGAAAGCCGACGTGTTAAACTCACACAAGAAGAGCATGTCTTGAATATTGAACAGACAGGAAATCTGATTTCAATATTACCAGGAGAACGATATATCTTAAGCTCTAGCTCAATGTTGTCCGAGTGAGTACATTTTGACACTGATTTTGTACGCGGTGGAATTGCGACATGGCAAAGTGGTGGATGCAGAGAGGTGAGCGGTGAACACAGAGAGGTCAGCGGAGACCGCCAGTGGACGGAGGGTGTTGACACAGGACATTCGGACATTACAAAAAATAAATACACACACACAGACACAGGCACGCGTGCGCAACCGTCAAAGCAAAACGTGAAATGAATAGAATCCATGGAACAAACGTCGAAGAAGCAATAAATAAACAAACAATGAAACACAAAAAAGAGAGCTCAGATCGGGGAAGAGTGACAGGAAGAGGCAGATGCATGTGTCTGGAGTAGCGTACATATTATCTGGCCATGCAAATCAACAGAGCAATGCCCTAGTGGCTAAGATTGGTGAATGGTCGTATCGCAGCCAGTGGCTTCCTCATGCTCCAGCGAACGATTTGGGACGATCTCCGGCGTGTGCATGTGCGCGTGCGAGTCTCTGCATGTGGCCCTACGCGGCCTTCAATAACAGAAGCAGCGAATTGAGGTGTACTACCGGGGCCCTACTTTGCCATAGCTTCGTTTTCGAACGCTTTCCAACCAAGGTTTCAATGTGTCGGTACATCAAGCCTTTTGTCTGTCTGTTTGTGACTGCGGGGTGGGGCACGACAGCTCCCCTGACGCTGATTCACTTGGTCCCCGTCGAGGCCTACGGATGGACGGGATTACTTCCTTGGCACGCCCGCCGGTGCCCGCCGCCCGCTAAACACTCGGGGGTGGTACAAACGCGTGTTGGAAAGCGTTGCAGAATCCATGCGAGTGCATGCTTTTTCTTACTTGTTGTAATAAGAACAAGAATCGCTCCCCGAGGGCATCCACTGGGGGAGTGGGTCCCCGCCGCTTGGCAGCAAGCGTGCCGCTCCGACGATGAGAGTTCACTTTGGCTCAGGTCTGCTTTGGGAGCCAAGTACAGGACGTTTTTGTTTTTCAATTGTTGGCGCTGTCAAATTTGTGCGCTTTCAATGAATCCATTGCCACTTATCCACGGGAAAGACCAATATGTGCGCGGTTATTTCGCAGCGTGAGCCCTTGTTTAGATGATGCAAACAGGAGCCTTAGTCAGTGACGGTTCGGCTCAGCCGGACACAAATGAGCATTGCATTCAGCACCCTCACACACTGTGCTTGATGCTTAAACAGTACAGCCTGCCGTTAGGAGAAAGCAAAACAGTATCCATTTGTTGCCGCTCTCTTATTCAAAGAATGTACGTTACTTCGGAACAATTACATCGTCGACACACGTTGATTAAACAGTTTGCACGAGTACAGCAGGCAGCCGAGTGTTCCTGCTGACATTGCGGAAGCAAACATGGCCAGACCTCAAACGGACATGCCGAAAATGTGCAGCAAGCAGGCCCCCATATTTCCCGCGAATGTCTCCGAATGCGAAAAACAAACAGCCGGCGAAACCATCGCCGCCGTCAAGCTTAAGCAACACGGGGTTTGCGTGCGGCGAGTGAGCGGAGTGCGCGAGTGGGCGAGCGGGCGAGCGAGCGCGTGAGCGTGCGGAGTGCTGGAGAAATGTCCATGGCTGACCGTGGGCACACGAGGGCTTCACAACGAACGAAACATGAAAAACGAGGGGATAAAAAACGGGTAACGGACAATCAGTGCCAAGCCAAGCGTTGAAGCAAGGCACGGAGAAGAGAGGCAGAGAGTCTGCTAACCTATCGCAGCGGGGCTGCTTACTGGGCCGACTATGTCCGAGCGAATCATCCTACTCCCGTAGTGGTGGACTGGCGAGAGACGGAGAGGGAGCGAGGACAGCGAGAGAGACAGAGGGACAAGCGGAGAGGGGAGAGGCAGGGTGAGTAAGACACGGAGGCAACGTCATGGGGAGACACGCGGGGCAGGTGTTATGGGGAACGGGACGGAACAAAAAGAAGATGGCAGGATGAAAACAACGTTTTAGCGATAAGAAAGCGAACTGGCACAAAATTATGGGGAGAGGGGCATTACACGTTCAACTCCACGGTGGGGGGGGGGGGGGGGGGGGTGGAAGTCACAGGAAGAAGCAAATAAACTTTTAACAAAAGAGAGAAAAAGAAACCGATGACATCGACACACGGGTGAACGAACAGTGTTGGCACATTGCGGTAAACAGAGGCGAGAATTCAGGGAGACAGTATCAGCCGGTGACCGGTTCAACGAGGGGGTCAAAAGGTCACAGCTGGCAGTGTCGTATCGCGACACACAAAGCACGGTCGTATGGCAAACTAATTACGTTAAAGACAGCCACTCATGTACCACGCTTAAAGCAAGACGCAACCCAAAAGACAAATGTCTCTTAACAATATTATCCATAAGAGGATTTTTGGGTTAGATCGCGTAAATATAAATGTGTCGTTAAACCCGCCACTACCCGACACAGCCAATTAGTAAGCTTTGTGACGTAAATAGAACATGGGTAGCCAAATGTGGCTGTCCGCTTGATGATTCTAGTTGTAATTACTGGCCAAACGTCGTACTCAGATTGGAAATGTTGTGCATTTGCTCTCCAACACACCGGTGTGCAGTACTAGTAATGAATTACTGATTGGCTGTGTAGGGTAGTGGCGGGTTTAACGACACATTTATATTTACGCGATCTAACCCCCCCTAAAAAACACTACCCCTATTATTAATTAATTTACAACAACAACTAAAAACTAACAATCGCATCCAGTTTGGCAGTACAGTAGCTGCTTGTGGAGTAACACTCAGAGGTGCCCATTTGTCGGGTCAAGTTTTATAATTGTAACATTACGCTGGTCAAAAACAAGGCCCCAATTTTTGTAATACCCTCTCAAGAATTCCAGCGGTAGCAAATTCCAAAACAATACTGAACATTATCCCAAATGCCGTCAAGGACGGTACATGTTTAACTGCCTTCGTAATCACACGCAGGGTAAGAATAAGTTAATGTTCTACACGAAAACCCAAAGGACAACCTAGTGAACATTCATAACTCAAGTTTTATCTTACTTCTCTCGATAAGAACGTGAGTTCAATTCCCAATCAGGGTTCACTCGACTCCATCATCCCACTGGCTTGGGTAGAAATAATACAGCCTCATATTCAGTCACCAGTAGTTTATTTCTGTCAACTAAACCTAACTATTTATTTTAAACTAAGTGGCTTATCATGTGGAAATTTATAGCAGCCAAATACTCTAAACGCATGTTTCTAAATGTGGATGGAAAAACCGGAGGATCCGGAGAAAAATCCACGCGACCACGGGAAGAGAGACACGCAAACTCCAAATATACAGCAGGCGTCAGGGTTGGGATCGAACTCACGACCTCCTGTATGCCAGGCGAGGGAGATAACATCTCGCCACTGTCGCGCCCACTCCCGTCTCCTTGTATCCTTCCAGCAGCCAAGCGGGCACAAATCTTAGCGATCCATCAACCCTTGCCTCCGATGCGCTGGAAGGAGACTCAGGTGCGCGGTGGCGGCGCCACCACCACCACGCCCGGCTCAATCGGTCAACGCCGGCGGTTTGGTCTCGTGGACTCGTACGCGGTGGACCCGGCGAGTGTGAGAGAAGGGGGGCACCTCTGCAGGGGTCGTTCTTGACCAGGAACTCGTCCAGCGCCATCCAGCCGCCCCCCACTCGAACCATGACGGTGCTTCGCAGGATGCGCACGAGACGCAGCTGCTGCGAGTCGCCGAACTGTCGGGACACGCGGACACGCGCGCGCACACGCACACGTGAATACACGCGAGATGCACGTACACGCGTGTGCACTGGGAGGTGTACACAAACCCACACGCGCACGAGATGTACACACATTCGGAAATACAAATGGGTACTTCCTTTAGCAAGAATAAAATGCAGAGGCTTGGAACACAACACACATGCGAACACACGCACACAGACAAACACACGATACATACACGCGTGCATATGCAGAAGTCCACGCATACACGAGACACGTTCGTACTCACAGAGACACACAAACACGAGCCTATATACACGCAGAACATGCACATGATAAACACGTGCACTGGGTGTGCAAATACAAACATACATACAGAAGCACGGTTTTACTATCACGAAATACGATGTCACCGCTCCATCCACACACAAAGAGTGCACACAGACACGAGCACAGGCACAAGGACCAATACACGAGGGTGTCCACTGAAATGCACCCACTAACGCACACATCTGCAGGCACACCGCACGCACACAGGGCGGCGCCTAGGCACGAGTATAGCAATCATGTGCACAGCCAAGCGGATGGGTCCCGTGGCCAGATGATTGAGCAAACGCACTTGTAATCACTCGGCGGTCGCATTGCGTAAATAAGACTTCAGCACGACGCCAGCGTTGGAATGGAAAGGAATCATAGCATTGTGATTTCGTTACATATTACAGCCTTGTTTAGGGCCTAGTCTCACGAGTGTCAGACCAGCGAACGATAACAGGCGAACAGTATAAAGACAATGCACATTCAGGGTATTTATAGCTCGGGGTGAGCAGCTACAAAATGAGATATTTTTTGACAGTATCAAAGTATGCAACATTAAAATAGGTTTTACCATTTCTGGCAATAAAACAGTTGTGTTAAGATGTTCAAATACAAAATGGAAACCTTTTTCAAGGAATAAATCGTATTAATCACGTGTACTTGTGGTGAACATGCAAACAAAACATGCTCTGATCACGTAGGTAGAAATAAAATAAAATAAATCATGTTTCGAAGACAACACAAGCGCCCGTCTTCAGGTGAAAATCACGACAGTTGCGATGTCTGCTGCTCACAGCACGATGTCTGCTCCCTTTCACATTGCAAACTGTCGCGATTTTATTTTATTTTCTACCTACGCGACTTCACCGAAAGAACCAAAGAGTATGGATTCCTGCAGTCACGAAAGCTTCAAATCAAGAATGCTCTGATCATATATGGGCATTGTTTTTTCCAAACTGATTGGCCTACACCAGACAGCCTTCTTTATAGCCTCGTCTCACCAGTGTCAGATCAGAGAATGCCAAAAGGCCATAAAGAAGTCTATCTCTGGTGTAGGCCAATCAGTTTCAAAGACTGCACCCATTATAATCAGAGCAATTTTGTTTGCATGTTTCACCCCAATCACGTGCGGTTAGTGCCGTACTTGATTCGTTGCAAAAGGTTTCTATTCGGTGTTTGAATATCTTAACACAACTCCTGTTTCATTGTCAGAAAAACCTTTCTTACTTTTGGTACTTTGATACTGGCAAAAAGGTCCCATGATATTGCGATACAAGGTTGTGATTTTATGAAAAAATACATTTTTTTATAATTCGTGGTGACTGTAGCGGCCACTAGTGGCTACAGGGGGGGCACAGCAAACCCATAACGTACGGCACACTCGAATCGAAAAATTCCGATTGTTATTGTTTGGCGCGCAATTTCACGCGTGAATTGTGAGCGTAAAAAAATCGGCATTAATCTACGTGCCGTTACACATGTAGTGATCAAGGAGCTTTAGCCAGTAGACAAGATTGTTTAGTGATGCTGCTGCTGCGCTGACAGTAGTACAGAAGCACAATTGACAATTAACAACAAAAACGCATGTGTCAATACCACCGTGCGTGGCCTTAAAATACAACAAATATATTATAGGCGACGCTTCGGGCAATGGCCCATCTTCCTGCGCTATGAAGAAGGGCCAGTGTTATTGACGAATGCATTGGGATTTATTTGCTTTTTCTAGACGGTAAATCAGCCATCGATTTCAATATTGATCAAAAGGCAACCACTTCAGACTGCATCAAATCACCGTGCACTGTCTTTTAACTGGTGATTGATAAGTGTTGGTCGTAAAGCAATGAACAAAACAAAAATAATGTTACATTTAAGTCCATCAAGCCCAGGGCCTTGTTTCCCAACACAGTGTTCAGGGGAGGGCTTTTACCGACAGCAGCAGCAGGCAACCCGGCAGCATTTGCTGAACATGCCACAGTCTGCTGACGATGGACGCTCGCAGAAGTTTACGAGACTTGTACGTGGAGCAAGATGGAATAATTTATACATTAACGTCTAAAATAACGACGCACTCCCAATCAGTTCATAACGACCGAGTGAGTGGACGCATTGCTCGGACAATTTAAAAATGTCTTTTTCTGGAATTCCAATTGGAGCGGCGGGTGCAGAGGTTTTGGCGGCGCGCTATGAACCCGGCCGCCTGAATCCGATGCCAGGCCACGGTCAACAACAGCAGCAGGTGATATCGGAACCAGTCTCCGTGCGCCATCCTTCACCAATCCACTACTAGATGAAGACCCCCCTGTGGCGTTTCGATCAAGGTGGTGGGGACTGGCGGAGTTGTTTGACTGCACTATGCCAGGTCGGTGAAGGGAACCGGGGCAGATATCACGCGCCGCTGACGTTCGGTGTGTGACCGGGAATCGAACTCAGGCTGTTGTGTTCATGGCGCAGTGCGCTAACCACTGCAGGAGCGCTCCCCCCACCCTGCACCACAACTAAATATAATTTAATAGAAGGACTTAAATATCTTTTTTTGTTTTAATCGGCAATAAAAAAACCAGACACTTGTCAATCTTGCTAGATTTGAAGATTTCGTGACTGCAAGGATCTCTTTGGTTCTTTCGGTAAAGTCACGTAGGTAAAAAATAATAAAAGTAAAAAAAGAAAAACGAAATAAAGAATAAAACAAATGAATGTATTTTTAAAAATATTTTTTTCTTTTTATTAAAATTTTATAAATATTTTATTTTTATTTTGTAAATGTATTATTTTTTACCTACGTGACTTTACCGAAAGAACCAAAGAGTACTTGTCAATCTATCCACTTGTTTGTTCACGCATCGATTCATTGAGATGTCAGCTCGTGCCAGTGGTTGCGTGAGCACTGAGACAGTGCCGAGCTGTATACCTGATTCCCCAGGAAAAACTTTACAGGGGTTAACGTCCAGGGCGATGCAAGAGAGGAGACAGACACAACAAGGGAGAGCATGTGTGTTAGTAATCGCGTTCAGACATCGCGCCGCACGTAAAAAAACACAGCACTGCACTTAGTCGATTGCCGCTCAGCGCAACAACGTCAACGTTCATTTAAAAAGACGGTCACCACATTGTGCGCTTTCAGATGTGCTTCTGTGGCCGTCTGGAACGCTCTTCCTTCCAATATTAGGAAGCGAGTGGCTATATGCACTTTTAAATCATCTCGACTGAAAACTCATTTCTTTAGAACTGCTTTTTTGTGTTTAGTTTGTTGTCCTTCGTCCGCACCTACGATTAGCATGGTTGGCAGCATACATAAATAAAAAAAAACGCTGTGAATGTTTTTAATAAAAAATATAAAACGCCGCAAAATCAACGCAAAAACATACACGCGAGTTACGTGAATGTATACGCGGCAATGTAAGTGTTGTACACCGGATGTGAGCAGCGGGAAAAGTACACAACTTGCGGTTTTACGTGTGGAGATGGTATTTGGTACGAATGGCACGCGCTCATTTAAACGTCGGCATTTGAAAAATAGAAGCTCATCGAACAAAACAGCCGAGCAACTGTGTTGGCAGGAGTGCGCAAGCAGACAAATGGATAATACATATTTAAAAAACTCTCTCCACATTTGTCGTGAACGCTGTCTTGCAACTGCAAAGTATACAGCAGCCTGATGATGATTGTGGCAATGGGACTTCTTATGTGGACATAACTTGGAATAAAAAGAAACAGAGAACCCTGAAGAAGAACCATTGCCCGGAACATCAGCTGACTGTCCAGTATATTGTTTTACTTTTATACAGGGTGCTTCAAAAAAATATTAACACTTATATGGGACTATCGTTTTGAATGGAAAATAACGGATAATGCTACGCTGTAACGTGATAACAAATGTATGTTAATAGCTTTAAAAAGTCAACTGTTCGCCATCATTGTCAACACATGCCTGGAATCTTCTCCAGGTGGTCTCCAGAGCCCAGAGGTACATTTCCTCTGGTATTGTTGCCAATTCTAAAAAGTGTTACATTTTTTTGGAAGCACCCTGTATATGATAATTGTACAGCCCCTTTTGTAAATCCACTGCTGGATGATCAATGCCTCCCCCACGCCATTGTCGGTCGCGAAGGCTGTTTACTTTAAACTATTTAAAAGCTATAAACTATTTCAATTTTACCAGGTAAGGCCCTCTGAGCTATAAAGCACTTTTTCAGAAGTGACCTGGCCACAAATGACAGCTCAACAAAGTGCCTTATCATAACGTGGAAATGTTTCGCAGTAGTCAAATTGTCTAAACACGTGACGTTGATTCTTAATGTGGAGGGAAACACCGGAGGACCCAGAGAAAATCCACACGATCACGGGAGAGAGAGACATGAAAACTCCAAATATACAGGTGTCAGGGTCGGGACGGAACCCACGACCTCCTGTATACCAGGCGAGGGAATTAACATTTCGACATCGTGGCGCCCCTGAGCATACTTCACTACGCTGCTCAGCGTGGGTTGGTGATGGTGAGGTCCAGGGCCTGTTCAGTAAACACTCACCTCTGATGTTAGCCGTGGTCGGATATCAAACTCAGATTTCTGTACTCTTAACTTTAAAAGCAGTCCACCACCACTCCACTTTTCTGTTCGAAGACAGTGTCAACGACGAATGTGGTGGATGTTTCATTTCAATTTGAAGCTTTTGCGAAGCTACTATTCTGGGTAGGCTGCAAGAAACACTAAAAAAGCTACAAAAAAAACCGTTATATTAATAACAATGATATCAAAATAAATCTTAAATGTTGCGGGAAAAATTATGAGATGCAGACGGAGTAAGGAGAAACTCAACACAGGTAAGCCGAAAGGTTACAGGAATACCGTGGGAGGATAGCAATAGGTAAGCACGCAGAGCGAATCCGATTAATATGCAGACTGCATCGGGTAAAAAAAAAAGTCATTATGTTCTACTGTAGATCATTATGGGTAAGTTTATGATTGTGGCACGGTCATTTTTAGTAAAATTCGCTGCCAAGGTGGGGGAGGGGAAACGATATTTCACTGAAAGGTCACAGAATAAGGAGTATCAGCGCCCTCCCTTCCACCCCCTGCCCCCCGCCAATATAACATGGAGCCATTTCCAAGATTTTTGCGGCCTGATTCAATTGCATTATTCCGTGACCTCTATGACCTCCGTGCAAAACCCATAGCCTTAATCATGGGCAATGAAACCAAATAATTAAATAAACATACTTCGGTCAGTCTCTCATCAGCCTAATTGCCTTCCTGTCCAATATTACCCAGCAGCCTTTGTTTAACCGAGTCAACTCTGGAGCAGTTTTGACTTCCCGGGGTCTAATCAGCAGAGTTGGGCTTTTGCTTTTTTTTTTATCTTAATCAAATGTCGCTGGGTTGCCAGATGTTATTGGCAAGAGCATTCTACATTCTAGATGGGTACTCTGTTCACTCCGCTGCTGGATGAAGGTCTCCCTATGCCATGCATTTCACGGGGGTTATTTTACAAAACTTTACCAGGATGGCGAGTGTGGGGTTGTCTCTCCACGTAGAATATCTATGTTTGTAGCCCATCAGCCTCTTGCACCTCTACAGCGATGCTGCACCGAGGTTGGACAGTGACATCATTGAAGGAAGCAGGCCTGAGATGACCTTTTGATGACTACGCATGGCCATAATCGAAATTCAGGGTGAAGGGTCAATCGATGGGTGGCATAAAACACCTTCAGTGAGGTTTCCCCCCCCCTCCCCTTAAGTGGCAAATGAGAGGGGGAAAAAAAGACTCAAATTGAGATGCGAGACAAAGAAAGAACTGGCGCTTATGTCGCAGACACATGCCTGGCCTGTGTCCTCTGTCGTCTGACACGGGGTTTGAAGCTTGGTTCGTGAGCAAAAAGAAAGTCACCCTAAAGCGGCCTCTCGTCACTTCGGTACGGATAAAGGGAAATAGTGCTGCCCCCCCACAATGTGAATAAGAGGGCACTGTAAGGAAACTCGGGAGGTAGTTCTACGATATCCGCTTCTGCGTGCTGTTCTCTAACACGAAGAAGGGGTCGCGCTGCTCTGCTGGAGATCCGAACGGTTGTCTCACGGCCGTGACGCCGACAGCACGGTCGGGATGAGATTCCTGGAATAATGACGACAACAAAACTCTTGGCTGAAACACAGCTGTGGCGCGATGGGCCTTAGAGTCTTTTTTTTCTCTCTCATTGATGAAGATTTCGTGCGCGTGTCAGACAGCCAAGGGGACGCACGAGCCCTCGGTAAATAAAATCGCGAAACACGAGCCATCCGTAGTTTTTTTGCGTGTGGGGGAGTCCAATCTTAAAAAGACGTTTTCATGCAGCCAGTTGCCCGGCCTTTCCCCCTTCGAGGGCCCTGTCCCAGAACGTGCGAGCCAAGGCCTCGCGTTGCCAATTCCGCGTTGCCGACGAGCGCCGATGAAGTGGAGGGAGAGGGGGGGGGGGACAAAGAAATGGCAAAACGCAGGGGAAGGAAGAGGTGCTGATGGAGGTGGCGGCACATCACACAGTTCGTGTTTGATGTGGGGAGCCTCAAGCACTTTGCTCATTCCTCCAGACATCAGAATTAGAATGTGTATTCATGCTGGGGGAATCTGAGGAGCTATAAAGCTCTTTTTCACGTAATATTTTTTTAATATACAACTGGAATCAACTTGACATGCAAGTTAATCCACAGCACCAAGAGGGCTCCTGGTAGATATGCAAGTTGTTCCGTTAGAATAATTCATACCTTGGAAGCGTTTGCATAAAGCGTGTGCACGAATGGGATGTGTATTTTGTTCGGCCAGAGAGAACTCAAGACGGCTGGGATAGTCTCGTTTGTAAGAGAAAAGCACGTGATCCAGCACTCTGGGGGCATTAGGTCGGCAGACCCCGTAGATCTGTCATGTGGCCACGAAAATGGAAGTACAGCTAGTGGGCTCGTGAACCTGTGTGTGTTTTGTTTTTTTCGACACGCGCCTTAAAGGAATTTGGCAAACGTCGCGATGCAGGAGGACTATTCTGGCAAAGGGTCTCAAGCGACGCTGCACGGCATTTTACAGTTTTACGAAGAACGTCGGGCCAACGAATCGAACTTTGGCACGTTTAATGTGGTGTAGTCGTTGTTGTTAAATATGACTGTAAGAACGATGCATCTAGGGCTCGGCTTGGAGGCAGTGCTGCGTGAATGTGTGATGTCCCCCTCCATGAGGGCTCACTGACTTTTCGGATCAAGACCAGCTTGATCGCTCCCGACTTACCATGCACATTTTAAGCGGCAGGAGATTAGAATGGTTTTTTTTCAAGATGTTAAAATCGAGACGGCAGTGAAGAAAGAAAAGAGAAGAAAAAAAATATAAATGAGCAAGTAAGTAAAGCATTGCGAACTCAACAAACGAATGATCGGCATGCAAACGGTTTGACAAATATGAAAACACCGGACATAAAAAGTTATGGAAAACCGTGCGAGGGAAAGTGTTAAAATCGGCAAAACTCGAGACGTTGTCCTGTGCGGGGAAAAAAAAAAACACTTGACAACAACACTCGTAAAATGTACTAATATTTTAAGATAATCCATTATTGCTGCATTGGAACGCCGTGCAATCCACATGTGGTGGTTGTCACTGCATTACCTCCCCCACAATTGACTGCAACAATTAGCTTATTTTAGCAGGTAAAGGCCCCACTGAGCTACGCAGCGCTTTTTCAGAAGCGACCTGGCCACAAATGATAGCTCAACGAAGTGGCTTATCGTCGCGTGGAAATAATTCTCAACAGCCAAATGCTCTGAACGCACGTTTTGTGTATCGCGTAGGAGCCTCCCGTCTGGCACCAAGCGTGCGTGCGAGTCGGAGCGAGAGGCAATGGGAGACAGATGCAGTGGCTCACTCACTCACTCACCGGGCCCCGCCAGCGGAATCCGCGCTGCGGCGTAAACTTACCCGGTACTTGTTGTCTCCGATCTGCTCCACTTGGAAGCGCTTGGGACACCGGCACTTGGACACCTGCCTCGTCACCTGCAGGGAGACAAGGACGCAAGAAAAACAATGACGTCATCGTCATCGTCATCGATCCACTGCTGGTTTATGACCCCTCCAAGTCACCAGCATCCTTCACGGTCCTGCGATACGACAATCCGTCCGGCATCTGCGAACGAGCCGATCTCATAGCTCGTTCCTTTGGCTGCCATTCAGTAGTTATTTTCGCCGATCAGCGATCATTCGTAAATGTACATTTGCGAAAGACGAAAAAAATCTGTACATGTCAACCAATACGCGAGGCGGCTCAACAACGGAGCGATAACAACGATAAACTGCGGTTACAACAATGTTCACGCGTTTGCTGCTTGGTCACGGAATCCTGCATAAAGCAAAAAAAATAATACAGAGCGGTCAGATGCTCCTACATTGTCCTCGGCTTGTATTTTCAAGCTGTACCGCTTTGCTGTTCAGCACGGCGTCCAGTGTTTTTTTTTTTGGCTACATGCCGAAACGTCGGGCGTCATGCCGTACAACAGGCCGGTTACAACCCCCCGAAAATATTGCGATTGGTCCCTGAACACCACCAGGTGGTATGTTAGTGGCGCTTATGGGGCGCCACGGTGGCGAGATGTTAACTACCTCGCCTGGTATTCAGCAGATCGTGGACTCGAATCCGGTCCTGACGCCTGCTGTGTATTTGCGTGTCTCTCTCCCCGTGGTCACGTGGATTTTTCTCTGGGTCTTCCGTTTTTTTCCCTTCGCATTTAGAATCTAGATTCTTTGGTTCTTTCGGCAAAGTCACGTAGATAGAAAAAAATAAAAGTAAATAAAATAAAAACTACGACGTTTCGATCACAACACAAGCGATCGTCCTGATGACGTGACTTTACCGAAAGAACCAAAGAAAATGAATTCCTGCAGTCACGAAAGCTTTAAGTCAAAATTTATAATCTACGTGCGTTTAGATTACTTGTCTGCTATAAATGTCCACGTGATGATGACAAAGCCGCTCCCGTTGAGCTATCATTTACGATGACCAGGCCGCTTCTGAAAGAAGAGCTGCCTAGCTCAGTGAGCCTTACACCTGGCAAAGTAAAAAAAAATATTGAAAAAAAGTTTCTAGTTTAACGAGGAGCCTTACCTCATCCTCAATCTTGTCGGCGTCGGTGAGCGGGCGGTAGGCGTCCTTGTTGGGGTGCAGAGCGGCGACGAACTCGTAGTAATCCATGCAGCCGTCGCCGTCCTGGTCGAAGACGTCGGCCACCGCGCTCATCTCCAGGCGGTTCGTCGGAAATTCTTCGTTGACGGCGGCGGGGGGCGGACAGGACAACAGGCGCACACGCAGACGCACACGCACACGCAGACGCACACGCAGACGCACACGCACACGCAGACGCACACGCACACGCAGACGCAGACGCAGACACGCGCAAAGAAGAGGCACGCGCAACGGAGGCAAAGAGCACCGACGTACAAACACGCACGCGCCGTACGAAGACGCGTGTACGGACACACAAGTACAAAGAGACGAGAAGGCAAGGACACGCGTACGGACACGCGTATGGACACGCGTACAGAGAGACACACACACACACACACGAAGAGAGACACGTGTTCGGAAACACACACACACAAGTACAGAGACACACATGCAGGGATGTTAACAATGAAGAATAGATACGTGGACATAAATAGCGCGCGTTTGATAAATGTTGGGAACACGTTAAAGCTTGGGCCACACCGTAAACCTGATTTGCTTGTGTTCGGTTTGAAGGAAGGGTCTTGCTCTCCTGCTGCTCAGCAGGTGTGCGAAGGTATTCTGTGTAATCATTAAAGCCTCCTTTGGTCACACATCATGTGCTCTGGGAACCTTTGAACTGTACCCTTTTGCCAAGTTTTAAATGATTCCACAAAAAATAAACCTGTAAAACGTGTCAAAAGCCGATACAGTGCTGATCTCCTGTTTACAGGCCCCTGCCAGTGGTGGACATTCCACATTCCTACGCTGGGGACAGGGAATCCCAGAACACAACCACTATTGAATGCCTACAAAGCAGTTACTCATTTCATCGACCAAGGAAGCAGGTAGAGTTGAGTCGACCCCCCCCCCTCCACCTGGGACGTGTAAGGCGAGCGCTCAAACCACAGTAGCTCCGGCAAAAACAAAATGTTTGTGCTGGCAGTGCTGAGTCAGTGTCCGGAATCTAACATTGGTATGGAACGAGCCACTGTTTCCATACAGCAGTGGTGATGGTATTGGTGGTTGTGTTTATGGCGGTGGTGGTGGCTGCGGTGGCAGTGGCTGTCACAGTGGTGGTGGTGGCAGAGATGACAGCAATGCAGAGGGTGGTGACAGTGGTAGTGGCGGTGATGGTGGCAGCGGTGGCATCAGTGATGATGGTGGTGGCGGTCATGATGATGACATCGGCGGTGGAGATTGCGATGACGGCGGGAGTGATAGCGGTGGCCGAGGCTGTGGACGGGCCTTGGTTGTGGTGGTGGTAGTGGTGGTTGCAGTAGTTGCAGTGGTGGTTGTGGTGATGATGGCCGGTGGTGGTGGTGTTGGTAGTGCCGTGTGAAGCGGCAGGGGCCTCACTGGAAGACAGGATGCCCTCCATGAACTCCTGCCGCGTGATTCGCCCGTCCTGGTCCTTGTCGATGCGGCGGAAGAAGTCCATGACGCGCGACTTCTTGTGGTTCATCCAGCGCATGTAGCGCTTTCGCCACACGTCAAAGTCAAAGCTGGCAAATTCCTTCAGCTGGAGCACAGCACAGCGGGAGATTTGGGCGGCTTTTAGTGTCTGTGTTACGTTGATCCACAGGTTACAGGTTGCAATCTTTTCCCCTGAATTTTAAACAATAAAAAAGGCCTGGGGTGCATCTTATAATCCAGTCACCTGGGTGTGAATGTCCAAATCTGTACAGCATAATTGATACTGGGCACAACTTTGGAGTGCATCGTACTTTCTGGAGGGTCTAATAATTCAGAGAAAATAGTAAAAAAAAAATTCCTCCAGTTTTGTCAAGAGGCGAAGAATTAATTTGGATCGCTCATCGAGCGATGCAGCTATTTGTGTTCGAGAACCATCCGCAGAAGTGGATACCAATGTACGACCTCCAGGTACACCTTCAATAAACATTTACCCCCATGCAGTAGGGGGCAGCACTTTCTTACCTGCTCTGCTATACATCACAATGCATGAGAGTCAAACTAAGATATCTATTTCTCAGAGCTAATATTAGGCAAATTAAGGGATGACAACCAACATTATATATATTTTTTTGCATGTGCGGTTGTTGGCGACCAGGCTGAGACTCCCAGTTAAATCACCACCGTGACGTGGCCAGGCGGCTGCCTGGATTCGAACCCAGGTTCTCAACGGTGCCAGCTCAACGGCAAGTGAGCGGTGACGTCACATCTGTGATGTCACCCTCATATCGGCAGCGTTACGCAGTGTGCCTACTGACGTCACGCATCCCCCCCCCACCCACCGCGTAGGCCGTGTATTAATTCAAGACAAGAATCCAAGTCCCGGGCGAAGCCGGGTAGTAAAGCTAGTGGTTAATGTGCCTAACTCGCCAAGAATGGGGCGCCACGGTGGCTAGGAGATGTTAACTACTTCGCCTGGAATACAGGAGGTCGTGGGTTCGATCCCGACCCTGACGCCTGCTGTATATTTGGAGTTTGCGTGTCTCTCTCTCACCGTGGTCGCGTGGATTTTTCTCCGGCTCCTCCGGTTTTCGCCTCCACATTTAGAAACGTGCGTTTAGAGTATTCAGCTCCAATACATTTCCGTTTAAAACGCCTCGCCGTTGACATATCATTGCCGGCCAGGTCGCTTCTGAAAAAGAGCCATTTAGCTCAGTGGGCCTTCTTACCTGGTAAAATAAAATAAAATTGTTGAGCATAGCAATGCCCTTCCGCACGCACACGCCGGCGCTCGCCCGCTCACCTCGGTGAGCCGGTCCAGCTCGTCCTGAAGCTTCCTCTGCCGGTCCCAGGCCATGAGCCACACCTGGCGCCACTTGTTGAACAACAGGTTGACGCGGGGGTTCTGAGCGTCCAGGGGAGAGGGCCCCAGGGTGGGACCCGGAGACGGTCCGGCCATGCCAACTCTTTTCTCTGTTCGACGCGCGGACAGGGGGGAGAAAGGGGACGATTCATTTGCACATCTTCTTGTCGTTCGCTGTCGCCGGTCGTATTCGTGTTTGCCACCGCGTCGGTTGCGAGTGAGACGAACTTGTCGATGTGCTGCCCGCGCAGCTTTCTATTCACACGCGATGCTTTGCATGGATTTGCATTTCATGTGAAGAGCATTGCAAGCAATAAATGATTATGACAGATTAATCGTGATGTGTAAGCCACAGGGTGCCGTGGATGACGATGACGACGATATTCTACGAATGAGAACATAAATGACCACGATGACAATCACATCAAAAACCTCTTCATTTGTCTTCAATGGCCCTTTGGTGGTGTGCGTGGAATTCCTGAACCTTACACAGAACCTCGCATGATGCCGGCCAACACTACGCTCGACAGGAGTGACACACAGCTCAGTTCAAACTTTCCTCAACCAACGCAGCGTGTGAGTGGGTGGAGCGGTGGTGCAATGGTGAGTGCACTACGCTATGAGCCCAGGTACCTGAGTTCAAATTCCCGAGCCAGGGCTAACGTCGGCGAATGGAAGGGTCATTGAGTGAGCAATCGGATGGGTGGTTGAGTGAGTCAATGGGTGGGTGGTTGAGTGAATGGGTGGATTGCTTGAGTGAGCGGATGGCTCGTTGAGTGAGCGAGCGAGCGAGTGGCGGGGATGAGCAGGACGGAAGATGGCCGGTGGACTCACTGCCGCGCGTCCGGTCGAGCGTGGGGATGTGCGAGTGCGCCTCGGTTGGCTGCTTCCTCTTGAACGTCTTGGTCAGCTTGTCCACGTCCGGCTGCTTCTGCGTCATCTCCTCCATGAACGCCTTGAGCCGGCAAGGGGACAGGGGAAGGGATGCTTTGAATTGGCATGGCGGGGTGACGTCGATTCTATCGGCCGAGAGGATCACGTCGCGTCCAGTGTCCCAACGGGGATTATCGAGTGGAGGAAACCCCCTGAGCTGCGTACACTTTCAAACTCTCCGGAACTAAGAGTGCCGTTGTAAACACGAATTCAACCCCTAAATGACAACATCAATATATACACGTCCCAGCCATAACGTGCTGCGTCCACCTAGCGGACCCATGACTGCTTAACCCCACCAAATCTTCACCATAAGCTAACCGCATGCTCATTCCATCAGGGTGTCGGGGTCCAAATTTGCCAAATTCGAAAATGACCCACATTATTACTCAATTGGGATGTCACGCAGCAGCAATCATTGCCCCCCGACTGGCAGACTAATGCCCCAGGTCACTCTTGGTCTCATTGGGTTCTCACCACGTGCTCTCTACATCCTCACCACGTGCTCACCGCACCCTCACCACGTGCTCACCACACCCTCACCACGTGCTCACCACACCCTCACCACGTGCTCACCACACCCTCACCACGTGCTCACCACACCCTCACCACGTGCTCACCACACCCTCACCACGTGCTCACCACACCCTCACCACGTGCTCACCACACCCTCACCACGTGCTCACCACACCCTCACCACGTGCTCACCACACCCTCACCACGTGCTCACCACACCCTCACCACGTGCTCACCATTTTCCCACCACGCACTCGCCAGACCCTCAGCCACAGGCTCGCCATGTTTTGACCGTGCGCTCACCCACCGCAACCCTCACCAACGCGGCCTTCACACCGCGCGGCCCTTGACCACGCGGCTCACCTGGTGCTCAGCGATGAGCGTCTTGACCTGGTCGAGGTCTTGGGGCACGGGCTGTGCCTCGCGGCCCGCGAGCGTCTCCTCGGCGCGCTGCAGCCACGACAGCAGGCCGTCCATCAGCTGTGCGTTCTGCAGCAGCTCCTCCAGGAACGTCTCCAGCCGCTGCTGGTGCTGCTTGGCCCAGGCCATCACCTGCACGCGCGACGATCGATCGATCAATAATCGATTAACGGTACACGTATACGCCGTTCGGTTTTCGGGTTCCGTTCCCATGACGTGCGTGTATGTCATGGCAACGGAACCGGGAGAAAAAGTTAAATATAATAATGTTCTCGGTACCGAGGCTGTGCCACAAGGCCACGCAGGAGGGCGTGTGGCGGTCGCGTCGCTACGGTTCTGTGCGGTGATTACGATGTTTTTAAGAACAACGGCGCGACGCTTCTCTGAATAAAGTGAACGTTCGCGCGTTCCGACATTCAGCGGCGAAACGGGACAACCCACACTGCAAATTGCAGTCGTCTCGGATCGGGCGAGGGTTAATTAATTAACGATTACGTTCACTTGCGACGTCTAGATCATTCGCTCCTCGCTCTCGAAGGGGGAGGATGACTCAGAGGCGCGAGGAGGAACCAGTTTCACTTGTTGTCCTTCCCCCCGCACCGCTGATTGGCACGGTCGGCTACGTGCGGTGCGAACGAAAGCTCAACATGCACGCGCACGTGCGGACGAGCGGAGAAGGCGGCAAGCCAACGGGCTGCGGGCGACCCGTTGACCTCGGGCGTGCGTTTGTCTACGGGAGTATCTCGTGAGCGACACGGAAGCCGATGGGGGGGTGGGGAGGGTGGGGGGGCGGAGGCCGGTGGGGTGCTGCACCTCCTCGAAGCGGGCGCGGATGATGGTGAGCCAGTGCTTGATTGTGGTGACGGCGTCCGGGTGGCTGAGCCCCAGGATGGCCTCCCCCATCGCCGTGGCCCGGTTCAGCTCCGCCAGTCGCTCCTCCAGCTTCTTCATGAACTCCTGCGGCAATGGGGGGGACGGCGTCAGGGGGTGGGGGCGGGGAGAGAGAGCGATGGGGTGGGCGTTCTCCGGTGACTGATGTAACCGCTGGCCGTATGTGCAGTGCTATCGACAAATGCGTTGAGATTTTGCGTGTTGTGCTTCTGCATCACTGCCAGGGCTAAATTAAAACTAAACAAATTTTTTTTGTCTTACCAGGTAAGGCCCACTGAGCTGTGCAGCTCTTTTTCAGAAGCGACTTGGCCACAAAATGATAGCTCAACCAAGTGGCTTATCACGTGGAAATGTATAGCAGGCAAATACTCTGAAACGCAATATCAGGATTATTGTGCTGTCATTCTGATCCATTCGGCTGCTTGTCTGTATGTATGTTGAACTTCTTTCGGACCGCACGTAGCCAACCTTGCTGATCAATCTATATGATTTAAAAGTGCCATCCTAATATCGGTGATCGGTGCGGCGACCGTCTTTCAGCTGACCGATGGAATTATTGGAAATCCCATTTGGGCGGGGATAGGGGTGAGTGGTGGGGTGGAGGGGGGGTTGGCATCACCTTGTGCGTCTCGATGAGGGTGCAGAGGGCCTCCTCGTCGTCCGGCAGCGTCCCGTGGAAGCGCAGCGTCTGCTCGGCCTCCGCCAGCCACTCGAGCAGCGAGTGGACGGCCGCGTGGAACTCCTCCGCCTTGGGGGTGGGGGGCGCGAGAGCGAGCGAGCACGGGGCACGCGCGCGTGTAAACACGGGGCACGAGCCACGTACGTAGCATGGCGTGGCGTGGTGTGACGTCGTGTTATGGTGCGGCACAGTGTGGCGCGGCGTGACGCGATACGGCACAGTCCGGCGTGGCGTAGCGCGGTGTGCCGCGGCGTGGTGGCGACATGGCGTGTTGCGGGACAACAGCGTGGCAAAGTGCGGCGCGGGTGTGGCGCGGTGTAGCACGGCGTGGTATGGCGCGGTGTAGCACGACGTGGGTGTAGTGGGGCGGCCCCGGCGCAGGTGTGACGCGGGTGTGACACGGGTGTGACGCGGCACGGGGCACCTGCTTGAGCGCCACCTCGAGGCGCGCCTGCTTCGTGACGGACAGGCGGCACACGCTGTCCCAGCGGGCGCCCAGCTCCGCCATCTGCACCTTGACCCAGGTGGCGTCGTCCCGCGACGACTCGGCCAGGTCGCGTGCCGAGCGGCGCAGGGCGGCCACGCCACCGCTCCGCTTGCCCAGCTCTTTCTGGAACACCTGCGGCGGTGCGGCGGGGGGGGGCGAGATACAACAACACAGCACGAAAGAAGTTCAACGTACGTACGTATGGCGCAACGTGGATTCCCACCGTCCGTGGTTCTCTTACGTGGGTCACTCCGATTTAATTTAAAATCGCGTCTCAACACGGACAGCGGCGTAGAGACGCTATACGGAAGCATTGGGCTTGTTACGTTTCCAAAGAGACGCAGCCCAATATCTCTATGCCAGTTTCTACGTGAGCCAATGAGTGTCTGTGCGAGTAATCACAATACAGTTACGTATACGGCAGCGGCCGTGCCTCTCCGGGACAAGTTCAAAACTTCAGAGGTGTAGCCCGCAAGCAACGTTACATCACTTCCTATGATCTCAGTTCCTGCCGAGCCAATTCCTTCCATTCTAGATTTGAAGCTTTCGTGACTGCAAGGATTCATTACTCTTAGTTTTTTCGGTAAAGTCACGTAGGTGATTTCATTTTTTGCCTACGTGACTTTACCTTCCATGTCGACCCCCCACCCCGCCCACCCCCGCCGCGCCCCACCCCCGGCCCGCACCCTTGCCCACCTTGTGCGAGTCGATGAGGTTGAGCACGAGGTCCAGGTCCCCGTGAACGGGCTGGTCCTCCGCGAGCTGCGGCTCCACGCGGTACAGCCAGTCGACAAGCGCCTGCAGGGCGTCGGCAAACTGCCCCGAGAAAAGCAGAGCCTCCTCCAGCTTGTTTTGCCTGTGAGAGGGAGGGGGGGGGCACGGGGGGGCGCGGGGGAGGTCATGTGGGCATTACTAAACTAGACGGGTGACGATAATATCAATGATGATCATCTTTATGATGATGATAACACTATTCATCTTCTTGGTTCTTTCGGTAAAGTCACGTAGAATGGAATAAAAAAAATAAAAGATAATAATATATTATTATATTATAATATTATCATATTATTTGATTATATAGATTTTTATTATTTTATTATTTCCATTCTACGTGACTTTACCGAAAGAACCAAGAAGATGAATCCCTACAGTCACGAAAGCTTTAAATCGAAAGAAAACACTATTTTAAACTATTTTTAATATTACCACTGAGCTATATAGCTGTTTTTTTCAGAACGACCTGTTCACAGATGATAGCTCAACGAAGTGGCGTATCATCACGTGGAAATGTTTCGCAGTAGCCAAATTGTCTAAACGCGAGACGTTGATTCTTAATGTGGAGGGAAAAACCGGAGGACCCAGAGAAAAATCCACGCGACCACAGAGAAGAGAGACATGCAAACTCCAAATATACAGGTGTCAGGGTCGGGATGGAACCCACGACGTCCTGTATACCAGGTGAGGGAGTTAACATCTCGCCACCGTGGCTGGCACCTCCTCCCAGAGCGCCCGCAACTAAGTAAAAATGCGATGATTGCAGTCCCTTATCTACAGCACGTAACCTACCCCTGGCGGTGTGTCACGGGCGGCGCTTTCGCTCACCTCTCCACGGACTTGCCGCACACGGTGTCCCAGCGGTCGCGCAGCTCGCTCAGCATGTCGTCCAGCCGCTGCTTGTCGTCCTCCTGGGTGGCGCGCTCGCGCATCAGCCTGCCGCCGCGCGCCGTCCCGTCGTACGACGGCTGCTTCCCGCCCAGCGCCCTCTGGAACTCCTGCAGCGCCCGCGATCGGATGCAAGGGTTAAACGACGCGTTCGCCGCGACGCTTTTTCCGAGGCGTTTGTTTGTTCTTCGGTGTTCGTTTGGCGGAAGTGACGTCGCCGCATGCCGGGCCGCGTGGCGAGATGCGTGGTGGCGTCGCGGAGAGGCGAGGTGCACACGTGGTGAGTGACATCGTTGCCTTGGCCGGAGAGGCTTGTACATTTAGCGCTGGACGTTGATATTTCTATATTTTTTGCAACCCTTTGGCTGGATTTTTATCGGGTAAGTCGTGCATAGGAATGCAACCCTAGACTAAAATGTAAGTTACCCTGGACTAAAATGTAATCAAACTAGAAGTGGATACATTCTGTAAATTATTTTATGATTTTTTCCATAATTTCATCAACAAAAATATTTCACTCTAACATCTCATCGAATCCAAACGCTTGATAACATTTTAAAATTCATCATCCGGATCCGGCTGTGCCACCTCTGCCCACCTTGTGCTTGGAGAGTTGGCACTTGATTTTGCCGGGGTCGTTGGCGATGTCCAGCTCCGTGTCCAGGTTCCGCTCCGCCTCTTCCAGCCAGCCCATCAGCCCACTCCACGACTCGTGAAACTGAAAGTCGCGCAACCATCGAATTACAACGATCAATTACGGCCATCGTGCAGCCCCCGGCTCAGAAGATCAGCAGGCACTGTGAGATGTTTACTACCTCGCCAAGTACACAGGAGATCGTGGGTTCGATCCTGACCCTGATGCCTGTATATTTGGAGTTTGCATGTCTCTCTCCTCCGTGGTCGCGTGGATTTTTTTCCAGGCCCTCCGGTTTTTTTCCCTCCACATTTAGAGACACACGTTTAGAGTAGTTGGCTGCTACTATCAATTTTCCAAAAATAATTAGCCACTTTATTAGGACATCATTTGTGTGGCCAGGTCACTTTTGAAAAAAAAAGCGATATTGTTCAGTGGGCCGTACCTGGTCAAACACTTATATACTTGCGTCAATTGCACCACTGCCACATGCAGCAGAAAGAGGAATCATTTCAAGTGGGTGCAGTGTTTTTAAGCGTTGAAAATACTTAGTTAGAAATAATAACACTGATGCGAAAAGGAGGTAGGATTGTAAGACGAAAGAGATAATTTTCAACGGCGTATGAATACCTTTACGCACTGTTTAACTTTGAAGTGTTGTTTATTACCATTTGCCTGCATTGTCGACAATGTACATTGTATTTGTCTGCGATCACTTCCTCACTGAGTGATTAAGTGATTCTGTTCGTATTTTATTACCTAAAATTCCTGTTTGTTCCGGCTGCTCAAGACACACTGTGTGAGAGATGCGGTATAAATAATAAATGATGCTGATAATGCTAATGGTGCATGTACACGCACGAAAAGTCAGCGATTTCCTGTTCAAATCAGCATTGAGGCGGTGCCCATCTCCGAGTCAGTCGTGGAAATTCCACATTCGTATGGCAGGTGACGAGTCCATGCATACGACAATTGCTGTTCACTTCCCAACAAAGTCCAGTGCAAGCGGAGACCTCCAACACATCGACCGTGGCGGGACGACGGGGGGTGGAAGGGGGTAGGCGCAGGATTTGAACTCACAACTATTCTCATTTGCGAGCCCCGCTCGCTGTCTCTCTCACGCCAAGCCACTAGGCCGGTCTGAAGTGGCCGGCTACAGACGAGGCCGGTAATGGCCGGGGCCGGCTACAGAGCTTCACCGAACCCCCCGCGGCGATGTCGACCCGCGGGCGGCGCCGTCACCTGCTTGGCGCGCTTGCGCGCGTCCTCGAGCGCGCGGCTGCGCTCGAGGGAGCGCTGCGCGACCTTGTCCCAGCGCGCCGACACGCTGAGCAGGAGGTTGCGGATGAGGGCGCCGTCCTGCTTGGGCGCGGCGAGCTTGAGCTGCGCGCCGGCTCGCTCCAGCTCCACCAGCGCCTCGCGCCGCCCGTTCAGCTCCGTCACGAAAATCTGGGGGAGCGGCGGCGTAAGTCGGGAGAAGTTAAATAAGAAACGTGAGTGACGACGACGACGATGAATTCGTGTGGTCGATGGGGAGCAGCTGTTATAGATTCAGCTCGAAGTGATTTAGCCATTCACAGATGCTTTGTCTGAGACTTGGTGAATTGCTGATACGCTCATTTGCTCACCCTTCACCCACCTATTCACCCACCCACAAACTTATCCACCCACTCAACCACGCACTCAGCCACTCACTCATCCACCCACCCACCCATCTACTCATTCACCAACTACCTTCACATTTTTTTTATTATACCTTCACATTTTTATTTGGAGCAGAGCAAAAGTTCTACGCTCCCTGGTTTGGTGTCTGTAGCCGCAGTCGCACTATTTTCCACTTGCGGAATAATTGTGATGATGATTAGAATGAGTACTCACTGCAAAAAGTAGGCAACAGCTAGCAGGCAGAGACCACACTCTTCCCACTAATCATCCTTCTCGCCTTAACGCTTAGAGACAACAACCAACAGCGCCTTCTGCTCTCATTGGCCCAATGATAAAACGGATGGCACTGCTCAGGCGATAACCATCCGCCACCCATCGCTCGCAGGAAACGAGCAACCCTCCGTCCAGCGCGAGCTGACAGGCTCCACCCATCCGTGCGGGCCCCACCTTGTGCTCGTCGACCTGGAAGAGCGCCGTGTCGAGCACGAGGCTCGGGGCGGTGGCCGTGCCGATGGCTCGCTCGGCCGCCGTGAGCCACACGATGAACTCCTGCAGAGAGTTGTGGAACTCCGTCGCCGACGAGACCGCCTCCTCCAGCTTTGCCTGGTCCACGGCGCGGAGAAAGACGTCACGAGAGAGAGAGAGAGAGAGGGTAAGATGGTGAGGCTGGTGATGGTGATGATGAGGCCAATGATGACAATGGTGAAACTAATGACGATGACCCTGATGATGGAGATGATGGTGACGATGAACGGTGCTAACAATATGCCCCGTTACGCACGTACGGTGTTTTGAGCAGTGCCGGGCCCATTTCTACCACGGCATATGTATAGAGAGATCTATTCACGAATGTAGAAAGACACACGCGGACAAACACACGCACACGATACGCAGGCAAGGCGCGCCGGTGCCTGCCCGCGCGCACGAGCCCGCACCTTCCTATCGTTGAGCTTGGCGCGCACGCAGTCCCAGCGCTGCTGCAAGGCGCGCAGCCCCTGCTGGGCGCCGTTGCACGACGACGGCGGCGGCGGCGCGGCCCCCTCCTCGCCGGTGTCCTGCAGCTGCCGCCCGCGCTCCAGCAGGTCGTAGTATGGAGCCTCGCGCGCCTCCATCTCCCGGCACAGCTCCTGGAGGCGAGCCCCGTCACGCACACCACGTCACCGCGCGCACGGCCGCCATTCACTGCTAAGTGGCGGTGACGTCACCACGGCGCTTTTGTGCAGGGCTGCGTGAACTTCAAGGCCACGTGAAGTGTCGAACGGTGGTCACGGGACAGAGCCAGGTGCCACGCGTCGACTGACTGAGATGACTGGCAGATGTAGCACCTGTGCCCCCTACTGTGCCAACTTGCTGTGTTTTAGCCGCCCGGCACTCTGGTCATTATTCCGCAGAGACAAGGCAAAGATCCCCCGTATAGCCTTCACATAGTGTTATGGCAAGTGCTGTTAGCGAGCACCTATGAGGGCCGGCACGACAAACAAGGGGGTGGGTGGCCAGCACCACTACGTTCGGCCGCCTTTGTCTCCCCAGTGGTGATATTTACACACCGCACCAGGCACTCATTTGAAGATGAGTCGACCTAGGGGAGGCCCAGGACCAATTCAGATAATCGTCACTTGTGTTGGCCAATGGCGGAGCCAGGATTTTAAGGTAATGGAGGTGGGGGGCAACCCCTCCAGCAATGAAAAATGATAGAGGAGTTGTTAGTAAGTAAGGAGTTGTCCCTTGCTGTGTGTATATTCGGAACTCTCGCAGAGCAGTGCATCAACCAATGTTAGAGGACGGCCTGCAGAATGAGATGCCGATCACACACGAATCGTGTGTGATTGGCATCGCGCTCGCTGAAGGTGAATGCCTTTAGGGAAGTCGTGTACTGTATATGCAACTGCGCACAAATCTGTGAGTCACTTATAACTGCTTTGCCGTTACTTATTGCCGATTATGGACTCAGACTATTGTCCTATCATCTCATAGAGTCCCTGGCACATAATAATATTCTATACAGTGGCAGTGGGGGTCGCAAAATGCCGATTTTATTACTAATAAACCCCAATGATCATTGGGGAGGCACGTGCCACCCCACCCCCCCCCCCCCCACTGTTGGTGGTGAACGGTAATCGAACTTGGGTCGCCAGGTTCGTAGCGCAGCACACCAACTCATGCTACCGCTCCCCACTCCCAACAGCGCTTACACACACACACACAAAGATCCCCTGTTTAGCGTTAACACACACAAAGACAAGTGCTGTTCACGAGCGCCTGTGAAGGCCAGCACGGCACACACGAGGGGGGTGGGTGGCCAGCACCACGCCCGGCCACCGTTGTCACTCACACACACACACGCACACACACGTACACACACATACACACGCACACACACGCGCACACACGTATACACGCGCACACACGTACATACGCACACACACATACCCACGTACACACACGTACACACGCGCGTTTACCAGGTGGGCGTTGAGCTGCTCGCGCGCTGTCTCCGGCAGGCCCCCCGGGGGGCGCGCCATCGCCATCTGACCATCCAGGCGTGCCAGCCACGACATGAGGCCTTGCACCTCTCCCTGAAAGCCTTGGGCCTGTGGAGGCAGAAGGGAAGTTGTGGGGGAGTGGTGGTGGGGGGGGGGGGGCAACGATTGATTCAGATGATGGTTTCATTCTTCGATATATTTCACTCGACGTGACACCCTCGGACTATAACAACATCTCCCTGCTTCTCCAATGTGATCACGTGAAAAAGTCTGTCATCTAGCAGCGGCATCTAAAAATATAAACGTACAAATATTATGTTTTTTTACGACCGAAATTGCACTCACCTATGTTACAGCATTATAAAAAGTCTCGTTACTTATTTCAATGGCCTTGTCTACAAATTACAGCCTAATCATTACGAGAGATGGCGTTCGCGCTATTAGGAGGCTCTTACGAACGTGCCGTTTGTCACGGGAGAGGATCGTCTGCAGTGGTTTCACAGCGATGGTGCCTCGTGCTTTCTACCCAATGAAGTAACCTCCCTTTCAAAAACCGTCACGGAATCTGCGAACGTTCACCGTGAAGCAGACGACGCTTCAACACTTGTTTTTATTATTTTATTTTTTACCAGGTAACACCCACTGAGCTATACAGCTCGTTTTCAGAAGCGACCTGGCCACAGATGATGATAGCTCAACGACGTGGCTTACTTATCGCGTGGAATTTTCTAGCAGCCAAATCATATGACTGCAAGTTGATTCTCAATGTGGAGGGAAAAAAACCGGAGGACTCTAAGAAAAAATCCACGTGACCACAGGGAGAGAGGCACGCAAACTCCAAATACACAACAGGCGTCAGCCTCGGGATCGAACCCACGACCTCCTGCATACCAGGTGAGGTAGTTAATATCTCGCCACCGTGGCCGCCGCACACACGCAGTGATAACCAGGGCGGCCGCTGGGCTACAACCGCGAACCTCCGCAACGAGTGTCAACAACGACGACGCATCGAGAGATGCTCGTCTTCACGCGCGCGGACGTCACCTGCTTGAGAGCGGCCTCCAGCTGACGCTGCCTCTCGTCCGTGTGCTTCAGCACGGCCTCCCAGCGGCGGCCCAGGTTGCCGAGCCGGCCCCGCAAGGCGCTCGCCTCCTCGCCGTCCGCCTGCCGCACCAGCCGGCCGCCGGCCTCGCTGACGCTCTCCACCGTGGACTTGTGCGCAAGCACGTCATTCCGCAGGACCTGCCGGTGCGGGCGGGGGAGGTGGGAGGGGGGGGAGATGCACCGTCGCCGCGTTTGTATGCGTGGTGAAATTCTTTCCCTCCTACTATCAATTTGCAAAATTAATGAGCCACTTCATTGGGATGCGCAGGGGAAGGACGAGAAACTAAACACAAAAAGCAGTTCTAAAGACACGAGCGGCGAGTAAGCGAGCGAGTGGGTGAATGAGCGAACAAGTGAGCGGGTGAGTGAGCGGGCAAGCGAGTGGGTGAGTGAGCAAGTAAGTAAGTGAGGAAGTAAGTGAGCGAGTGAGTGGGTGAGCGAGTTGGTGAGTGAGCGGGTGAGTGAGTGAGCAAGTGAGTAAGTGAGCAAGCGGGTGGGTGAGTGAGTGAGTGGGTGAGCGAGTTGGTTTGTGAGCGGGTGAGCAAGTAAGTGAGCAAATAAGTGGGCAAGTGAGTGGGTGAGTGAGTGAGCGAGCGAGTGGGTGAGTGAGTGAGTGGGTGGATGAGCAAGCTAGTGAGTGGGTGAGTGGGTGAGCGAGCGAGTGGGTGAGTGAGCGAGCGAGTGGGTGAGTGAGCGAGTGAGTGGGTGGATGAGCAAGCTAGTGAGCGAGCAAGCGAGCGATTGGATGAGTGAGCGAGCGAGTGAGTGGGTGAGCGAGCGATTGGGTGAGTGAGCGAGTGAGTGGGTGGATGAGCAAGCTAGTGAGTGAGTGAGCGAGCGATTGGGTGAGCGAGCGAGCGAGTGAGTGGGTGAGCGAGCGAGTGGGCGACTGGCGCTGCGCTTACGTGGTGCTTCGCCAGCTCGATCTCGATGTGCCGGGGGTCTCCGCTCGCCGTACGTTGCTCGGCCAGGAGCTGCTCCGTGTGGCCCAGCCAGGTAAGCACCTCGGACAGCGCGTGCTGGAACTGGCCCAGCGCCAGCAGCGACGCCTCCAGCTTGTGCTGCAGCACCACGGTAACAACAGAGCAGAGAGATGTTAACTACCTCACCTGGTATGTAGGAGGTCGGTGGGAGGGGGGGGGGGATGTGGGATGTGGGGGGGCGGTCACAATTGTTTTGGTCTTCATCACCGCGATGATCAGAATCAGAATATTTATCCTGAAAAAATCCGATGAGCTATGAAGCTCTTTTTAACAGATGTCCAGTTGGGTCGGTGAGGGGATGTGGGACGCGGGAAGTGGAGGTCACATTTGTCTTGGTCTTCATCACCGCGATGATCAGAATCGGAACATTTATTTATCCTGGGGAAATCCGATGAGCTATGAAGCTCTATTCCACTGGCGGTGGTGTCAGGGGAGGGGAGTGAGTCTCATGTGGCTGCCACCGACTGCAGCCAGCGGGCGGCACCTGTCGCGTGACGATCTTGCCGTCGAGCGAGTCCCACCGACGTCGCAGCTCGACCAGGGGAGACCTCAGCACTTCCTGCTGCGGGGGGTCCTCGCAGCGCCGCAGCAGCAGCTCGCCCTGGTGCGTCAGCCGCTCCATCTCCATCTGCTGGCCGTACGCCTCCGCCTTGAACGCCTGCGTGCGGGGAGGGAGGGAGACGCGGGCCGGAGGGAGGGAGCAGGCGGTGTGTCAGAATGACAGGAGCGCGGAGAGGCTGGCCATTTATCAGCGGCATAGCATGTAGGAAAGTGTAATACTCCTCGTGGTCACTTGAAGGGATCTCAGAAGTAGTTCTGTGATATCTCATTCCGCGGGCCGTCCTCTAACATTGGTTCTGAATATACACACATCAGCGTAACAACATGGCGCCGATAGCCCACGTGGAATAAAATTGTAAAAAAAGACCAAACGAAAACTCTCGGTGGCTGTGTGACCTGTCGATTAACGCGCTGTTCTCCGAGCCTGTTCGCACTGCATCCGACAGTTCCACAGCAGCAAGACGTACAGCTTTCACAACAGATCTACAGGTATAATAGTAGGTTTTTACCCTTTTAACTGGTACAAAACTGACACCTTTATTCAAGGCATCATGTTTGCAATGACCACAACACAAGTAGTCAAAAAATCAAACAAAAAGAAGCAACTCCGAGACGTCTCGGGTGTGGACCAATCAACTTCAAGGACAGTGCATATTATTATCATTATCAGAGTTGCTTCTTTTTGTTTTGCTTTTTTGACTACTTGTGTTGTGGTCATTGCAAACATGATGCCTTGAATAAAGGTGTCAGTTTTGTACCAGTTAAAAGGGTAAAAACCTACTATTATATTTTGCCACTGGTAAAAGAGATCTCATAGATCTACAGGTGTCGTTTGTTTCCGGAGAATATATCAAAGCGTGCATCATGCCCTAAAGTGGACATGAAAGGAGTCCTCACCTTGAGCTCCTCCATCTGCCGCTTGACGCTCTCGAGATCGGTGCCCACTGGGGGCATGGCTGCCAGCTTTGCCTCCGCCATGTCCAGCCAGTCGAACATGCCCTGAGCACACGCGCGCTTCGTTCAGTTGCCGTTTCATCGTCACGGTGCAGCAACCGCTCGCTCGCTCGCGCCACCGCTGGCGGAAAGGCCTCCACTCGTCATGCGCGGACCTGCCCATCGGCTGCGGCGTAACCGCTTACACTGCTGGGGAGATTGAACTCATGACCTCTGGATTGCAATTCCAGTGTGCTACCCACGACATCAACGGCACCCATTGACAATGGTAGTTTTGTTATTATCTATGGGTATAAAGATACTAACTGGGGTTGAAAGAGTGCCACAGTGCTTCAAGTGCACTACTCATTTTGCGTGCTGTGAACCCGGCAAGCTGAGAATCAAATCCCGGCTACGGCTAACATCAGTGGCGAGTGATTTCGGAACTGGTCCTGCGCCCCCTCCTTTACCAACCCACGCTGCCGAGTATGGTCAAGTTCGGTCAAATAGCCCCCGTGACCGACACGGCACAGGGGAAACTTTTATCCAGCAATGGATTGATCGTGGCTGATGGTGGTTATGATGATGCATTTCCTTATCGATGCCTGGTATCAATTTTAGACAGATGGTATCAACAGGAATTAACGGGTCCTACTTTGGACACTACTGGACATCTGTGAAAAAAGAGCTTCATTGCTCATCGGATTGCTCCAGTATAAATACATATTTTTATTCCGTTTTCGTCGTCGCTACATCTCAGAGACAATTTACGCGACCTTTCCCAATATCAAACAACGAACGATGACGGTGGAATTATGTAATATGTGTATAACATATGGGCTGCAAGGCATCTCGGGAATATAATCCCACGATTTCTTTGCACGCCCTACTGGGCGCGTGGACGAGTGGCGAGGGTGGGGGAGCCTCCCACCTGCAGTGCATCCTGAAATTGGATGGTGGCCTGCATGGCGTCATCCAGCCGCTCCATTCGTTCCCTCCACGTGCGGTTGACGGTCTCCCACAGGCTGTTCAGCTGAGAACGAGAACACGCACAAAACAGTTCCATGAACACGCAAAGACCTCCCTCCCGCAGTAGCCTTTAACAGACTGTTAGTGAGCGCCTATTAAGGCCGGCACGGCACGTGAAGAGGGTGTGGTGTGGACAGCACCATGCACGGTCGCCTTTTTATCCCCAAGGGCCAATGTTTCCACACAGCACCAGGTACTCATTTGAGGCTGAGTCGACCTAGGGGAGGCCCAGGACCGGTTCAGATAATCATCACTGGTGTTTGCCGTGAGCGGGAATCGAACCCGGGTCGCCAGGCTCGTAGTGCAGCGCGCTGACCGCTACACCACCGCTCCCCGTACGTACACACGCACACACGCACACGTACGTACGTACGTACACACGCACACACGCACACGTACGTACGTGTTTCAGGTCTCACCTCGTCGATGCTCTTCTTCACCTCTGGCTTGTCGGGGTCGCCGCAGGCCGCCATGAGCTCGCAGCCCACTCCGCCCAGGGTGTCCAGCTCGGCCTGCAGCCCGTCCGAGTCCTCCTTCAGGGCCTGGTGGGGGCCGTGGGTGGCGGGGCGAGAGGCAAGGGGAGAGACAGCCCCGGGCGGCGGGGAGAGAGCGACGGCCATATGAGATTTGGCACTCGTTTTTATCGACGCCGCCGTGCGGACGTCGTGGGCGAGTTGACTCCCTGCCGCGGACTGAACTACGACTGAGAACAAGTCACACGCTCGGTGACATGCGTACGGTGATCACGTCATGTTCGAGCTATCCATATCACGTTTCTATCACCTTCATATTGAATACAGAGCAAGCAAGATTGCATCATTACAAGTCGTGCGCTGGTTAGCGTGTGCTGAACATACACAAGGTGTAAGATGCAAATGGTGACCATGAAAATGTGGCTAACAGTGGTGATGACAATGGCTAAAATCATGATTAATGGTGATGATTATGATGAAGATGATGGGGATGGTAATGTGCAAGATGGTAAATGATTGCAATGGCAATGATAAAGAATGTGATGACATGAGTTTTTTTTTGGTCAGATCGCGTAAATATATAAGTGTGTTCAATCTTAATTTTAGAACTTTCGTGACTGCAGTAAATGATTATTTGGTTCTTTCGGTTAAGTCATGTCTAAAGATAAAATAATAAATTAAATTAAATAATAGCATACGACGTTTCGATTGCAACACAAGCAATCATCATCAGGTATAATGAAATAGCGACATAAAATATAAGTGTGTTGTTAAAACCCGCCATCACCCGTCACAGCATATTAGTAAGATTTGTCACGTAAACAGAACGTGGCCAATTAGTTAATGCTTCAGCACGCCGGTGTGCTGCAGAGCCAAGCCACAACATTTACAATCTGAGCACGACTGAAAGCTAATCAAATACTACGTAAAGATTGTGATGACGTTGAATGAAACCATGACAACGATGGCGAGCGTATTACGGGGAGATATACTCTTAGTTTTTTCGGTAAAGTCACAAAAAAACTAAGAGTATGAATCATTGCAGTCACGAAAGCTTCAAATCTAGAAGAATTACGGGAAGATCGCGTTCATGAGGATGAAGACGATGATGACGTTGACAGTGACGACAACGGACAACAACAACAACCATGACAACAACAACAACAACAAACGACTAAAAAAAAATCCTGCCGCTTCTTCACCTGCATCGCCTCCTGCTGGAGTTTGATGAGCGAGGGGTCGAGGGCGGGGTCGTCGAGGTCGCGCAGCGCGTCGTGGGCGTCGCGCAGCGTGGCCGCCAGCGCCGCGTGGTCGTACCAGAAGCGCTCCGACAGCTCCAGCACGTCGAGCAGGTGTCCCTCACGCTCCTCCGCGCGCACCGCGATGTCGCCCCACAGGAACACCAAGCGGTCCATGCGCTCCTGTACGCCTGGTGGGGTCGGGGGGGGAGTGGTGGGGGGGTGAAGGGAGAAGAGTGAGCGGGCAGATAGAGGCGAGGGTCGCGATGATTCGCGGCGATGTTCTCCGCGAGTCGACGATTTGCCATGGGTTCGAGGTCAAGATTCGGTTGCGGGTGGCCAGGTGCCACTTTTTTATGGACAGCTGTCAAAAAGAGCTTCATAGCTCATCGGATTCCTCTAATGCAAATACATATTCTCATATTTATATATATATACATTCGTTACACCTGCCGGAATGGACAAAACGACGCAGTGGCATCGTGAGCGTGAGAATCGAAGTGGAATCCTCGAATCGTTGCACGCCCGGCGTAAGTTCGCCTGACCTAATATTCACAAGTGTCTTGAATTTTTTGTTCATTGACAAAGATGACACCAGAAATATAACTTCTCTCGCGAGAAACGCGGAGAGCTGCTCGCACTTCTGTGTCCAACCACCCCCCCCGCACCCCTTCTGCAGTTTAAATCGAATCGCAACGCAGCCTCAAATCCGCCCACAGTGGTGCAAGGCCCTCGCGCCTATCCTGGGACGCGCCGACCGCGGTAAATGCAGCCTCAGTTTATGTGTCTGACAGCTGACACCACCGAGTCACCACCCCTGAACCTCGGTGGAAATGGACCGCGGTGACGTATTTCTCATCGCCTATGTTTAGAAGGTTGACTCATAAAATGTTTTTTTTCTGTTTTATTATTAATGTTATTGTTGCCCGTGGCTGGGGAATGCTTTGCCTGAGCAGTACCCCGGCGGAGAAACGAGTCCAATGTATTTAAGGCAACTGCATTACAATCCCTTATAATCCATACAGTGCCATATGATAATGTAATAGATGGTGATGGTTCTGTTCATCGCAATGATGAAGACCAAGACAAATGACCCGCATCCCACATCCCCCCACTGCCCCTAACGGACATCTGTGTTGTAACTTTCTGTCCTCGCCCTGACTGGAAACAGAGCTTCATGGCTCATCGGATTCCTCCAGACTAAATCAAGATTCCCATTCTGATCATCGCGATGACGAAGACCAAGACAAACACGAGACGTTATCCCCACCGCATCTACGGGACATCGTTGAAGAAGAGCTTGAGAGCTCATCGGATTCTTCCAGTCTAAATACACATTCTGATTCTGCTCAGCGCAACGATGAAGACCAGGACAGAAGGCTGCGGTCCATCAGGACCAAAACCTCACGTCATAAAAACAGTTTCTTCCCATCCGCTGTTGGCCTCTTCAACAAAGCCAAGGGCTTAAAAGGACTTTTACACTTAAATGACTTTTACACTTACTATAACATTTTATCTACATAATTACACCTAGTCATACTTACAACGTGTTATCTTATTTGTATTTTTGTATTCTAAGATTGTATATTATGGCTAATTCACATTTTACTTTTCACATTTTATATGGTCTACTTATTCATAATTTTAAATACTTTAGCCCGTTAGTATTAGTTATACTTTGTAACGTTAGTATAGTTAGACTGTACATCACCTATTCGAGTTTTTAAGATTGCTCAATGTTCCGGCCATAGTAAATTCCGTGTACGTGTAAACTTTCACGGCGATTAAAACCGTTTCTGATTCTGAACTACGAGACCCACATCCCTCCACCGCCACCAAATCCTCCCCACCTCTCGCGGCGAATCCCTCCTCGGACGACACCGACGCCGTCCTCTGCCGCGCGCCATCCGGCGGCGGCGCGTCGAGGGCGAGCGAGCGGGCGATGAGCTCCTCGCCGCGCGCCCGCAGCGCCTTGAACGACGGCTCCAGCTTGTCAAGCTCGGTGGCGACGGCGCGGTTGTCCGACAGGTGGTCGCGCAGCTTCTCCGTCTCGGCGGGCACGGGCGGCGGCGAGCGCAGCCGCTCCGAGATCCGCTCGAGCGCCTCCAGCATCGGCTCGATCTTCTCGTGGAACTGCGCGCTCGCGAGGCAAAGCACCCGGCGTCACCTGACGGTCGTGCTTTCACAGAATTCTTCAAGAGGGTGCCGTGTCGCGTACACCAACAGAGGGCGCACTTTGCCACGCGCGCTCTGCGGTGAGATCGGCGCTCGTCGCATGACAGTCGAAAAGATGTTTAAAACATTGCAGAGCTGGAACTTACACAAATGCAAGTGTATAGCCTAATTTTTTTGTTGCAGTTATTAGTGACTCATGAAACCTGACACCCAGCTTCATCACGGAGAAGCTGAAACCTGGATTCGAACCGAGGACCTCAGCGGTAGCCGTCAAACAAAGACGGTCACCGCATTGTGCGCTTTCGATGTGCTTCTGGAACGCTCTTCCTTGCGATTTTACGAAGTCACTGGAGCTATGCACTTTTAAATCATCTAGATTGAAAACTAATTTCTTGAGAACTGATTTTTGCGTTTAGTTTGTTGAACTTCCCCCGTACGATGCGAAAGAAGTTCAACGAACACACATGCCCTCGCATTTCAAACACTGACATTTATATATATATAAAAAAACCCGAGATACACTGCAAATAGTGCCAATGACTCAACAGAACCAACGCTATCCAGTTCGGCATCTCACCTGGCAAGCTCAGCCGTGAGCTGTGAAATGTAAATATAATTTAAGCACGCGTTTGTTTGCTTTAGTTTTGAATCTCATGATGGTGTTTGGACGACAGCAGATTGGGAGTGAGCCAGGGTGAAATTGAAAGCAGGACCCCCCCCGTCACTTCACCACTCGGCTCTTGAGAAGAGAGGCTGACAGCGGAGTTGGGAGGATGAGTGAAGTTAAGGCGTGTTGGGTCCTCTGCTGCCATATTCGCCACACGTTCAGCCGGCAGGACTTAATAAATGCCGATGACGACGATTCGTATAGTCAGCAATCCAAATTCAACCGCATTTGAAGACACTGTACAGAACAATGGCACATGGGCATCCTGGGGAAATGATGCAAACTGAGTTATTTATTTGTTTTGTAGAGAGCGCGCAAGGGCCGGTCAGTCGCAGTCTGAAAAAAATAGGAATGTCTCGAGCCTGGACTTGAACAGGAGGCAGGGAGTTGACAGCACGGATGACTGGGGGATTGAGTTACAGGAGCAGCAAATCAAATTTTGTCAAACACCGCACGTGTGCAGGAACGAGAGGGCAGGGGGAATAAAGGGGGACACATCCCTCCATCATTCCCATCCCTCCCTCCCTCCCATCCGTCCATTTCTCCCTCCCTTCCATCCCTTCCATCCTACCTCCCCTCCCTCCCCTCCCTCCTCCTCATCCCACCCCATCCCCCACCCATCCCTCCATCATTCCCATCTCTCCCCCTCATCCCTCCCATCCTTCCCTCCCTCCCCTCCTTCCTCCTCATCCCACCACATCCCCCACCCATCCCTCCATCATTCCCATCTCTCCCTCTCATCTCTCCCTCCACTCCCTCCCCCTCATCCCATGCCTCCCATCCTTCCCTCCCTCCCCTCCTTCCTCCTCATCCCACCCCATCCCCCACCCATCCCTCCATCATTCCCATCTCTCCCCCTCATCCCTCCCTCCCATCCCTCCCTCCCTCCCTCCCTCCACTCCCTCCACCACATCCCATCCCTCCCATTCCTCCCTCCCCTTCTTCCTCCTCATCCCACCCCATGCCCCACCCATCCCACCTGCGAGGAGAGCTCGACGGCCTCGTCGAGGGCTCGCGCCCGCTGGAGCACATCGTCGCGGATGGCGGAGTAGAGCTGCTCGCACGACGCCTGCTTGTCCCGGACCGCGCCGCCCTCGCCGGCGCTCAGCTCCGCCAGCCGGGGCCCAGTCTTGCGCAGTCGCTCCACGTGGGGCTTGTGCTCCGCGATCGTCTCGCGCAGGTGCTGCGCGTGCGCGCGCGGACAGTGCGGTGCGGGTGTACGAGGGAATGGGGCACGCGTCCACACAAAGACAAGAGGTCTGCCGTCAGCGGCGCGGCGTGGGTTGGCGTGGGCCTCGGTTCAAGGAACGGAACGAGATGGATGATATAATTTTTATGATGGTGGTAAAACTATTTAAACTATTTTATTTTACCTGGTAAGGGCCCACTGAGCTATATATCTTTTTTTCTGAAGCGACTTGGCCACAAATGATAGCTCAACGGAGCGGCTTATCACGTGTAAATATATCGCAGCCAAATATTTTAAACGCATGTGATTCTAAATATGGAGAAAAATCCACGTGAACACAGGGAGAACATGCAAACTCCAAATATACAGGCGTCAAGGTTGGGATCAAACTCACGACCTCCTGTATACCAGGCGAGGTAGTTAACATCTCGCCACGGCGGCGCCCCCCTGATGACAACAACAAGGTCGAACACCTCTCGAAGCGCTCCTTTGGGACATATTACGATGCTGACAATGAAACTGCCAACAACCACACAAGTGGAACAAAATCGAGAAATAAAAGACCCAAGAAACATTTGAAACACGGTCTACAGGAAAGCCACCCACACGGATGCCTATCTAAAGCCTGACTCCCACCACCATCCAGCCAAGAAGAATTCCCTCATCAAAACACTACACCATAGGGCCAAAATCTTAAACAAACACAGGAACCAGGTTCGTTTCTGCATCAGCAGCAGACCATGCTTTCCCACCTGATGACGGATGCTTGTGTTGCGCCCGAAACGTCGTGATATATTTTATTTAATTTTATACCTACATGACATTACCGAAAGAACCAAAGAGTAACATGTTTTTGCAGTCACGACGGCTTTTCAATTGGGCAGGTCCTATCAGCGTGGATGAAACAGGGGTCGTCAGGTCTCTGTAACTCTTGCACACAAGAGGTCTCTCCCGTTTCACCGCGCAACTCGGCCGATTATTCTCTCATTAATCAGCCCCGACACTGATTATGTCGCCGACATAAGCATCTCGCGTAGGCAAGCGGAATGAACACCACAACTTAAATATTCAATTTAATTAGCAGCGATCCTGCATTTCTACATCAGCCAACCTGCTAACCTTTATAAGGTTACGCGTGACGAGAACACGACAGCAGATTGGTGGGCGATGTATGTTTTTGACATTTACAAAAACATACACACGCACATCCATGCATGTGCAAAGACAAAGATCCCCCGTATAGCCTTGACAGACCGTTGGGGCAAGTGCTGTTAGCGAGCGCCTATGAAGGCCGGCACGGCACACGAGGAGGTGGAGTGGACAGCACCAGCCCCGGTCGCCTTTGTCTCCCTCGTGGTGATGTTTATACACCGCACCAGGTACTCATTTGAGGCTGAGTCGACCTAGGGGAGGCCCAGGACCGGTTCATATAATAGTCATTGGTGTTGGCCTTGAGCTGGAATCGAACTCGGGTGGCCGGGTACGTAGCGCAGTGCCGCTAACCACTACGCCACCGCACCCCGTATGTACGCACACATGCACGCACGCAGATGCGCACACGTGCACGCTCACGTCTCTCAGAATGACAGCACTGACCGGGAACATAATGACAACCAGAATCACGGCGGGGATGAGACGCTTCCACAATCCACAAATTCCTTCCTTTGTTAGTCTTCTTGGGCTCCCTTGAGGCTGCACTGGATTAACCCAGCGGCTCCCAGGGGGGGGCCCAATCGAGGTCTCTGGGCCACCAAGAGGCCCAGCAGATGCTGCTATCTTGCAGCTGCAGCGGAACTGCGATGATGGGGCAGGGCCGTGCACATACCGCGCGTCTCTCTGAGTGACTCCGGTTTGAATGTTCGAATCCCGCCACCTGCACGGCACGGCGGTTGAAACGATGGGCACGTTTGTTTTGTTTCATCCCCCATCTCATGGCTAAACTAACCTATTAACTATTTTAACTGAACCAGGAAAGGCCCACTGAGCCACCTGGCTATCACAAATGATAGCTCAACGAAGTGGCTTGCCACGTGGAGATCAATAGCAGCCAACATACTCCAAACGCACGTTCCTTCTAAATGTGTTGGGGAAAAACCGGAGGACCCGGAGAAAAACCCACGCGACCATGGGGAGAGAGAGACACGAAAGCTCCAAATAGACATGTGTCAGGGTCGGGATCGAACCAACGACCTCCTGTATACCAGGCGATGTTGTTTACATCTCGTCTTTATCCAACAATGGATTGACAAAGAGTTGTAAAAATAATGTTGGTTAAACGTAGGCGCACAAAGGCCTTCTCTTGCAGAGGACCCAACCGCGTTTATATTTTTCCTACATTACGATTATTACCGTACTCGGAACCCATCGGAGAGAGCTCGTGTGCAGATGTCAGACAGATCCTCACATCGCAGCATCAGGAGGTGCGGTGGCGGCGTGGAAAATTAAAGACACAAGCCACGGCAGTGCGACTGTGGCCATGCAACCCAAACCATGGACCAAATCGTAAGCCGCTGCAGTTTGCGCCCAGTCAACGGTGAAGGAACAGCAACACGACACGGACTGTCTCCCGAAGCCCTCCCGTCGCGGCGAGCGGACCTCGGACATTTGGTATTTAGCCCCTGAACATATCGCTGCTGCCATCGTGCGAAATAATCAAATCAGTTGAGCTCACAGTGACTTGTTTTTTTATCATTGCCATTGTGTTCTGATTTACTGGCTCACAGATGGCCTCCTGGGAATCCCTCGGGGTATCCCTGCCCCCACAGAATCCTTCCTTCCAACTGAGACTCCCGGCATTATCAGACGACCACAAATATTTACAGAGGCGAACACGATGTTACCCGCCGCGGCACCCAACCCCCATCCAACACCCCCCCCCTCCCGGTAATCCTGGTCTGTATTCTCAATTGAGTAATCCGTGACAGGGATGAATTTACTGTGTGAAGCACGGGCAACCTGCACACTCATTGGTTACGGATTCCGAATTGACAACAGCTGCCGTCACACTACACTTAGTTTGGTGCTGAAAGAAATAAAATGTTACAATTTCTGTGATTCTGTTACTTGCACACACACACGCAAAAAAGTGGGCACATTCGTCAATAACACTCGAAAAAACAAACGCATATATAATAGGGAACGTTTCGGACAAAGGCCCTTCTTAAGAGCACAGCAGTTTGGAGTGCCTCTTACAATCCGGTAGACGTGTAAGCATGTTCATAACCAGATGAATCGGCGGTCCAAAATTCACACGCGTGCATCGCGACTGGACAATTCATCGTGTCACAAAAAACGCCTAATTACGTCGAATGCCCAAATAACCCACCCATCAATTTCAAACATAGTTCGGTGTTTCGCAAATAGGCTGCTTGTTCCGCCATACCAGTACAAGAAAATTAGCGATGGGGAAAACCCAATGTTTAAACGGTAACCCGAAGCGAAAGCTCTGCCAAAAAAGTAGCCGCAGAGGACGAACGCTCGTGAATATGGCTCACTCTCCATGCTGCAATTTGACGAAGGCCAATATGTACGCATGTATGTTGAACTTCTTTTGCACCGTACGTAGCCAACCGTGCTAATAGGAAGTAAAAAAAATGGCAGGGTTTTACGGTGCAGTGGCGTACTTTGAAGGCATCGTCGCCCAGCACGAGCGGAATGAGAAGAAACCACCTTTTGTTTTCTGCACATTTTTCCATCTCGTTTGGTCGGGCGGCTCGAGGGGGGTGACGATGTCGTGATTTAAGATCCTACGCTCGTCGGTGCCGGAACGCAATGGCAGAAAATGCCACGTATATATTTTCCGGCGCTTTTGACTCCGGCCTCGACGTAAATAAAAAGGACGACGATTCGCGAAAATAAATAACGGGAATGGAATTCGCGCTGCGTGTATTTATGTCAGCTCCGGTACGCACGGTTGGCCATGTACGGCGCGAAAGAAGTTCAACATACGTGCGTACATCACGCGCGCTGCCGTGAAACGGCGTGGTTTGGCCAACGAACGTGCTCCGGCAGAGTCCCATCGATCAGCAATTGTGGACCTCACTTAACAAGTCGCACGTTTTTTTTATAAACAACTCAACGTTGCTAAAGCAAAGGGAAGAAATAAATCAATTTTGTCCATTGGGGCGCCGTGATATATATTTTTTGTTCAGTCGCGCGGTAAATTTTCTAGTGTAAAAAAAAAAGCGAGAGATTATTTTAAAAAATCCCCCACTTTGGGTGCGTGTTTTTTGTGCCGTACAAAACCACTACAGTTGTTGCAGCTGTGAACCGTAAACACATCGCAGCATTCCTTGGATCCAGTCGTCTAAGCAGCCGCGAGCTCTCCTGCTCAACACGCCGCCACCTAGATATTTTTTAAATTTCACATTATTTTGTTCAGAGAATGCTGTGATAACTTCACACGTAAATAAAGGCAAGAAAAAAAACAAAGACAAAGATTCCCCCGTGTAGCCTTAACGGACTGTCTGGGCAAGTGCAGTTAGCGAGTAGCACCTACGAAGGCTGGCACGGCAACACCACGCCCGACCACCTTTGTCTCCCCAGTGACGATCTTTTTACACACTGCACCAGGTACTAATTTGAGGCTGAGTCGACCTAGGGGAGGCTCAGGACCAGTTAAGATAATTGTCAGCCGTGATGTGGGAATCGAACTCAGGTCGACGGGTTCGTAGCGCGGGGTGCTAACCGCTACACTTCACATACACACGCACGTGCACTTCAGCGCTTATCACAAGCCCAAGTAGGCAGTGCTCGAGAGAGTGATTGCCTCTCTCGCGCTCTCTCTCACTCTATCGCTCTCACACCAAGTCGCCTTCTTATCGCTCTTCTATCACCACGGCTCCTGTTCCCGTTACATTCCTTGGTCGATTTCTCCACCCAAGTGGAGGATTCGGTCGACCAGAGTGACTTTTCCATCTCATCCATGCTGTCTTCCACCACCACACTAACTACCACACTACAGGTCCAAATACTTAACTTCCTGCTTCTTACCTCGCACTGCTTAGCCTTCGGAATTCCCTTCCATCGTCTCTTTGCCCAAGTTCTTAAAACCTTGCTCGACTGAAGAAGCGTATCAACTCTAATCTATTCAAAACTTTAAGAGCGCCCAATTGGCCTTTTGGGCCTGTGCTCAGCAACCATGATTGTGGCAAAAAAACTAAGCAAAAAAAAAAACTAATTAGCATCTATTAAAACTATTAAACTAAACAATTTTATTTTATTTTCCCAGGTAAGGCCCACTGAGCTCTATAGCTCTTTTTTTCGTAAGAAGCGACCTGTCCACAAATGACAGCTAAACAAAGTGGCTTGTCATCATGTGGAAATTTATAGCAGCCAAATGCTCCAACACGCACGCTGATTCTTAAATGTGGAGGGAAAAACCGGAGGACCCGGAGAAAAATCTACGAGACAACGGGGAGAGAGAGACACACACGCAAACTCCAAATATACAGCAGCAGGCGTAAGGGTCGGGATGAAGCCGACGACCTCCTGCATACCAGGCGAGAGAGTTAACATCTCGCCTCTGCGGCGCCAGCTGGGCCCAACTCTCATCTGCTCTAGCAGTGGGTATCACTGGGGGCAAGTTCCCTCCGATCTGGGGCAGGGGGCGGGTGGGGGACTTCCCTTGTGTCCTTGATGGCATCACGGGTCAAGGGTTCACGAAGGCGAGCTGGCGAGGGGGGGGGGCTGCGATGGGAACGCTGGGGGAACTCTAAACTCCACTCCGCCAACAAGCTGCTCGGCCATGACCTAACATTTCCAGTGTGCGCCGCATATGCAGCTCAGGGGACATACTTTCCATTCAACCCTCGCCGCTGCCTCGTCTCCCCCCCACCCAACTCTCCACCCCAACCCTTCTGGTCTCAACCCCTTGGCTCTGTAATGTTGCTATCGCTTGTTTCGTCTTTCATAAACCTCTCCACCTCCGGGGCGGTTAAGAGCACGCGGTGGCCCCCGGACTCCGCTTGCTAACGGCACGAGCGGAGCGCCGCCTCTCACCTCCTCCGGAGCCGTTTGCCCATCTGTCAGGTTTCAGGCAACAAAAGCCGTTTGGCCATATATTGCGATCGGGCGGCTTAGCGAGAACGTCACCCCACACCCCTTCCCCCCCCATTCATTACCCCGCACAATCCGTTTGGCATTTTCATGCCCTGTTTACGCGACACTTCAACGGCTTCTCTCTCGCTCTCTCTCTTTTTTTTTTACGGCTCGCTTTATTTTAAGGATGTTTTTTGGAGTGGAGGATCATGGAAGCTTGCGGATGGACCGCCGGCTTAACCCCGCTTTGGTGTTCACGTAAACGAGGTTTTATGTCGCGACGTCGGTGGATAGGCACGCAAGCCTCGCTTGTGCCGGGCGGAGGGCCCATCGAGGCCACTTTGACATCTGTTGCGTGGCAGGTATGAGAATAACGCTGGGAGGAAATGGTAGAGAGCAGGGCGTGTGCGAAAATAATGCACAACTGCAAATTGTGCTGTGCAAATATACCGCTTAGAATGTCAACGTCTGCATCATCCTCAGCCAGAGTCTATCCACTGCTGGATGCAAGTCTCGCCATGCTCTCGCCATCCCTCACGGTCCTACCGTGCTACAATTCAAAATTCGCAAGGACGTATTTCCGCGTGTATGTTGAACTTCTTCCGCACCGTACGTAGCCAACCGTGCAAATCGGAGGTGCGGATATGCCAGTTATGTAAGAATTATAAGCGCCACGTAGAGCTAGATTATGCCTCGTGAACTCTGAGAAGCGGAGGAGAAAGTGTCGTTGAATCCCGCCACCACCCAATACAGCCAATTAGTAAGGTTTGTGGCGTAAACAAAGCGTGCCAATTCGTTACTAGTTCAAAACCGGTGTGATGGAGAGTAAACCCAGAACATTTACACACCTTACTAATTGGCTGTGTCGGGTGGTGGCGGGTTTATATTTAAGCGATCCAACTTTACCGAAAGAACCAAGAATACCAAAAACCTCCGTGATGGATAATATTTGCCGCGAAAGCCTACGTGTTAAACCAAGCGATGGAGAGTCAAACACTTTGTTACTGCTTGGATAGGAGACCACCAAATTAAAAAGCCAGACGGTGGCAGTCCAGCAGTGGAGGTGCAGTCCACGAGGATAGATTTTGGTCCACTGATTGGATGGAGTCGCTCCGCAATTGATTCCAATCTCTGTGCGGAGCTGTGAGTGTAAATCCCGCGCATGTTGTGTGTTACAAAACGCGCGCTAATGATGGAATTTGGCCCCAAAACATCCCGCCGACACAGAGGCCCTCCTTAAAGAAACATCCTTGAGCCTCGGTGAGGCCTTCCTGGGCAAGTCGTCGACATCGTAATGCTCACCAACAACGGTGGCTATTTAAGTATGTGAGTGAAGCCCATTTGACCAGAAAAAAAAAATTCACATGGAGCAATGGCCAATTCAAGGGCAAAACACTAATGACGTTCAAATAGCAAGGAATTAACATTCCAGATTTTTTTACATGCTGTATATCTGTAACGCCAACAGGGCTATATACAGTGAGGCTAAGGGTCTTTTTCTTTAGCGAGTATCTTAGTCATTGAGCGTTAACCGCTGCATTTGCCCACCTGGTTTTCCATCTTCAGTCCGCGCGCCCGCACAAGATATTTCACTTTTGCGATGCCCCATTTCTTTACGTGGCCAATGACGGTGAATCACGTGACGACTATTTGACAACGAGTGGGGGGTCATCGAGTAATTCACTCTCGGTAGCTGTGTAAATACGGAGGTGTCACTCAAAAAAGTTTTGCCATCTTCAGTAGTACCAATTATCTGCTGTGGCCCACGAATTCCCCCCCCACCCCGTCCCACCTGCTCCCCTGCCTCCTCGGGGGTTGTCTCTCCACTTTTGTGACCGGGGATTTCACCCGGCACGGAATCCGGTCCGGGGCTCGTTGCCGTGTACCCAGTCCGAACCACGCTCTCGGACAACGGAGCAACAACAACAACGACAACCGACGGCAATGCCTTCGATTTCGCCGCGCCTCCGATTTAGCACGAAAGAAGTTCAACGTACAAACATACAACAGCGTGGATTCAGTGCGTTTAAAAAGACAACGCGTTCGGTTGCTCACCCCCCCTACACACCCTTTGCCCTCCTTGTCGTCCATTCTGTTCCGCCAACAACACTTCCCGCTGGGGCGACTGTGAACGCGTCCCCGCTGGCCCGTTGATAGCCGCAGCTAAGTTGTTTTTTTTTTGTCGGAAGCAGACACGGGTCCCCGTGTCGCTGACGTCGAGTTATTCACGGTGGAATGCGGTGCGCCGCGCGCTGTGCGGGGTTCGGGTCACTGCTTCACCCTCCCCCCCCTCCACGTTATCTCAACACTCATTCCTCACTCAGGCGAGAGCCATTGTCCGACGAGAGCGGTGGTGGTGGTGGTGGTGGCGGTCGGGCTGATGAGGGGGGAGCAGGAAACAGCCTCCTTTCCGTCTCCGCGCAGCAATAAAACAAACGCCGCCTTCCCCCGAACATCCTCCCCCCTTTTGACGACACCTGCCCCACACGCGCCCCAGAGCCGCAGAAAATCCATCCCGGACATCAAAGTTCAAAAGCCGTCCCTCTGAACGCAAGGAATTAACTCTATAGGCCACACGAAGGCAGCATCGAATTTTCATTAACCCGACGTAGATTGTTTTTGGCATTGAACAGTTTTTGAACAGTTTATATGGAGTGCTCTTGCCAATAACAAGCGATAAATCACGCAGTATTTGTTAACAAAGCCTGACCCTGCTGATTACACCCAGAAGGTCAAAACTCGTTCAGGAATTTCCCTGCTCAAACAAATGCTGCTGCATAATATTGGTCGGCAAAGCCAACGGGCGTCAGGGTCGGGGTCCAACCCACGAGCTCCTGTATACCAGGCGAGGGAGTTAACATCTCCTAGCCACCACGATGTGTATGAGATTTGGGGCGTGACAATAGACTCAGGCCACCGTCGCTCCTGGGTCTGCGAGTAACCTTTTGTGAGCATTTTTTTTTTTGCTTGGCCGTGTCGGAGGCGGCGGAGGCTTCTTAACGGCACGCAAATTTGGCCCAGATCGTTACGGGACCCGACCTCGAAATCAAACTGCGAATGACGAAAACCGGCGAGCGTCCCGCCCGCGCCCGGACGTACCCGCAGCTCGTCCTGCTGCTGCCGCAGGGAGTCCGGGTCGACGGCAGGTGGCCCCAGCGCGGCCAGGACGGCTCGCGTCTCGCCCAGCCAGGGCTCCAGCTCCTCCAACGTCTCCCAGAACTGCGACGCCAGCGTGTGGGCGCGCTCCAGCCGCTCCAGCCGCTCCGCGTTGGCGCCGCTCGTCGCCTCGAATTCGCCTCGCAGGAGCGCCAGCTTGGCCTGGGCGTGTCGGCGGGGAGGTGCGAGAGAGAGAGATAGAGATGATATAATGAAAAATAAGAATAGGTTTTGCCCTTTCTGGCAATAAAACAGTCGAAACGTCGTGATAATTTTTCGATTTAAATGCAAATTCTTTTGTCAAGGCGCTCTTCCTCCTCCCTCCCAGCTTCAATAGACGCTCCAAGCCCAGGAGGTGTCATTCAGACTCTGTCTTATCGACAGACCTGTTCTTCACCTGAGGACGGCTGCTTGCGTTGTGGCCGAAACGTCGTGAGAATTATTTTATTATGTAATATTTTTATTATTTTATTATTTCCATTCTATGTGACTTTACCGAAAGAAGCAAGAAGATGGGTCGTGAGAATTGTTATTGTTATATATTTTATTATTTTATTATTTCCCTTCTACGTGACTTTACCGAAAGAACCAAGACTATGAATCCCTGCAGTCACGAAAGCTTTAAATCAAAACGGGAGGTGTTAAGATGTTCAAACGCCAAGGAATCAGGTCTACATTATCCACACGTACTTGTGGTGAACATGCAAAAAAACATGCTCTGATAATACATGCACTGTCTGTGAAACTGATTGGCCTACACCAGAAAGGGTAAAACCTATTCTTATTTTCATACTTTGATACTGGCAACAAGGTCCCACGATCGAGGTGATATTGTTGTTTAATCTCTCAAACTTCTGGACCTTAAATATAAATTCGACTTGCACCGGTTTACCGATTGCATCGGTCTGCCACGCACTCTGACTAGTCGTGGCCATTTCGGAAATTGTCGAAATAAAATGAATTTCACCGGTTCAACAACCGCGTGATTCTACCACGTGCTCCACTAGCAGTAACCTTGTCCTCACTATCCGAGTCTGGATTCAAGAGGTGTTACTGCACAGGCCGCGTTTGAATGCAAGCAGCGGGCTAAATATGGGTTGAAAGGGCCAAGCCCTGTTAAGATCCACACATGAATATTGTGGTGTGCTCCTCCAACTGCACGAGGAGGAGCAGAAAAACGACACTAAATTCTCTTCTGAAGCCGTCTCGTCGTGGCGAGCAGCAGATCCCGACATTAGCATCGAGCTCCTGAACATGTTGCTGCCGTTACACGCAAGACGGGTGAAGTCGTGGGTCCATAGCTTTGCAACGTTAAGTTACGTGGAGCTTCTTCTTGGTTCTTTCGGTAAAGTCACGTAGAAGGGAAATAAAATAATAATAAAATAATAATAATAAATGTATAAAAATAAAACATGATAAAATATTCTCACGACGTTTCGGCCACAACGCAAGCAGCCGTCCTCGGGTGAAGAACAGGTCTGAATTATTTTATTATGTTTGTATTTATGTTTTATTTTATTATAATTATTTCATTATTTTATTATTTCCCTTCTACGTGACTTTACCCGAAAGAACCAAGAAGATGAATGCCTGCAGTCACGAAAGCTTTGAATCGAAATTTACGTGGAGCTGTTTGCCGGTGCTCTTTCTGTAGATAACACAGAGAGCCCACCTGTGTTTCCAGACACAACGGGGGTTGTCCCGCGGCAGGCCGTGTTTTCGCTCATCTCTCTCCGCGTGTGTTGTGTTTATTTTAACTTGGTGCGGTGGGATTTCGCGTGACACAATCGTGAGAATACAGAGCGCATTCCCCAGGGGACGGCTCTCGACCAAGTTGAATTAAACACCTCCTACGCATTCTTCACGCCAACACGGAGTGAGCGCAATGCCTCGTGCGCGTTTTTCGTTTTTAGAATGACCAGCGCGGCGCTGGTGATAATAATGATGACGATAATAATGATGGAAGGAAGAGGTGACGGCGGCTCAAGGAGGCCTTCATCCAGCAGTGGATTGACTAAAGCTGACGATAACGATGATGAATAATGATATTGGTGGTGGTGGTGATGATAATGATGGTTGTGATAGTCGGTGTGTGATCATGATGAGGGTTGTGATGATGATGATAGTGGTGGTGTTTTCTAGATGATAATATTATATAATAATGTTGATTACGGTGGCAATGACAGTGATGATGAATGATGCTGAAGAAGCTAATGATGATGACGGCGTTTGATGATGATAATATTTGGTGGTGCTAAACCAGCGGTAGTATTCATGAGGATGATGACAGTGGTGTTAATTAATGATGATGATTTTGGTGGTGGTGTGGTGGTGGTGGTAGTAAACCGGTGGTGGTATTGATCGTTCATTGATGACGATGTTTGGTAATGGTGGTAACACAGATGACGTCAGCAATGCTCCTGCTGACGATGGCGACGACGGCGCATTTTACGACAACGCTCGTGATTGTGATTACGACGTTTGACGACGGATATTGCGATGATGGTGATGACGATGACGACGATGACGGTGACATCCGCAGCCCACGTGCCGTCGCCGCCCAGCGCTGGCGGCGTTACCTGCAGGGCGCCGTTCTCCTCCTCGCTGCACGACGCTCCCACCTCCACCATCGTCTGCTCCAGCATCTCCAGCGAGTCCTTGTGTCGCAGGATGTCGATGGTGAATGCCTGAAGGAGGAAGACGTCGTTCGTTCATTCATTGCCATCGAGAGGATCGCGGTTGCATTACTGGGAGGGTGAAGAGACGGAACTGGCAACCGCCGCCGCTAACGCAAAGCGTCTGCCTTCAATTCAGCGGCCTTTATTTAATGACACGCAAAGTGATGGCCACAAATGAACCCGCAAAACCTCGCTGATGTCGTCATGGAGCATAAACCATCACGTGAACTCCGGTCATCCTCGCAGCACACATCGTGCGCTTTCAGGTGCGCTTCTGCGGCCGTCTGGAACGCTCTTCCTTCAGATATTCGTAAGCCACTGGAGCTATGCACTTTTAAATCGTTCGACTTGAAAAACTCATTTCTTTGGAACTACTTTCTGTGTTGAGTTTGTTGTCCCTTCCCCTCAGGCTCGCTTGAATCGATGCTAGGCGAACTGCCAGATTTGTATCGGCAAGGACCCTCTCCTGAAGATATGCGTCTTCAGTTCGACGCAACATTACATGATGCGTAACACAACGTTCCCGTACTGCAGGCGTCCTCATGGGGCAATAAGACGCCCTGATGGGATCCCAAAGGAAGATTGAGGTCCTTTCGAGAAAATCACAGTAGTGGGAGAAATGGCTCTCACCTTCTGCACCTGCAGCTGTGACATGGTCTGCTCAGGCTCCAAGCGGATGTCTCCCAGGGCCTCCAGCTTCCGCAGCGTCTCGGCTGCCCAGGCCCTCTCAGCGTCCAGAGCCTGCTCAAACTGTGGCAGCACCAACGTGTGGGCAGGGAGGGAAAACAAATTCGAGTGGTGAGGGAGACGGAGGCAGAGAGATGGATGTGTACACACGCGGGACAGATGAATAGACGGAAAAGACGGGCAGAAAAGCAGATATTTAGACAGACAGATGCATAGACAGACAGATAGACAAACAGGCAAGCATATGAGATGGGTGAACAGACAAATCGATGGCGAGAAGAATTGACAGCCAGACAGACAGGCAGATAGATGTATAGGAAGATAGATTAATGAATTGGCAGATGAAGAGGCAGTCAGGCATGCATCTAAGCATATGGGAAAATAGATACATGGATGATTGAACAGGTATATACATTAGCCAGTAATTGAATGAGTGAATGGATGAATGGGTGAGTAAGTGAAGAAACGAGTGAGCGATTGAGTGAATCACGTGAATGAGCAAGAGCATAAGTGAGTGAGCGAACCGGCGAGCGAGCGGGTAAACAAGCGCACAGACGATCGCACGCACACACGCACGCACGCACGCAGGCACACACACACGCACGCACACGCGCACGCACACACACACGCACACACACACGCACATGCACACACGCACACACACACGCACACACACACGCACACACGCACACACGCACGCACACACGTACACACACACGCACACACACACGCACACACACGCACACACGCACACACGCACACGCACACACGTACGCACGCACACACGCACACACATACCCGCCACGCACACACCACACGCACGCACACACACAACACACGCACGCGCGCACGCGAGCAACAGAGTGCGAGCGGCGGCACCTGCTGCGACCGCTGGATGGCGGCGTCGACGCGCCTCGTGCGCGTGGCCACGGCGTCGCTCACGGCCGCGTAGCGCTCGTTGTCCTGCGCCACCGCGGTGTCCAGGCCGTCGCGCGCCCGCCACGGCACCAGCGCCAGCAGCGCCGTGCCCACCTCGTTCACCGTGTCCAGCAGCACGCGCCGCTCCATCACCTGCTTGCGCAGGTCCTGCACCGACGACAGGACGGAGACAGAGATAACCCCGTGTAGCCTGCAATGTACCGTCGGGGCAAGTGCTGTTAGCGAGGAGCACCTATGAAGGCCGGCACGGCACCACAAGGGGGTGGGTGGCCAGCACCACGCCCGACCGCCTTTGTTCGTTTCCCGTGAGCGCGCTAACCACTACACTACCGCTCTCCGCACCAGCACGACCGGTGTCAATTCACACGGGAAGCCGAGGATTTGTCCACGCTGTGGTGTCGGGGTTTGGGTCCCGTGCTGTTTCATGGGACATGTCACAGCGCAGGGGTGTCGGGGGTCGGCATTGCTGAAGGCAGCCACACAGACAACACGGACAGATACCACCGCACCTGATGCTACGTCGTGCAGTACGTGCCGTGGCGTCCGCACTGCGTTGTGTTGCAATAATCGTTCCTCTCAGGGTAGACATCAGTAGGGGGATCAAATAATCGCTGATCGGAACAAATATTTGTGTCCGCGATGGGACCCTTTCGTCAGTGTCGAGGAATTGAATGATAAAAATGGCTAATTCCTGTTCTGGCATGAATATATGTGTTTAAGATGTGCATTATCCTTGTGCTGCGCACCGTTTGGCAGCCTTTGGTCAAGCGCTGGTGAGGCAGTGCCATAAAAGAGTCTGTCTCTGGGACAGGCTAAATAGTTTCAAGGGCAGTGCACAAATAACCAGGCATATGTTTTCAGTTTCTTTTTACCACAACTATGTGAGGTTACGCAGACATGATGCCTTTTAATTGGTGTCTATCTGATGATGTTCGAACATCTTTAACGCTTTCCCGAAACCGGAAAAGAAAAAAGAAAAGAAAATAACTTTACCAGTACCGAGGCTCCCGCAAGGTACAGTTTGGTGCCAGCTACCGTAGAGTGCAGCGGCCGTGTCGCTACGGTTCTTTGCGGTGACTAACGATGTCTATAAAAACAACGGCACGTTCCGAGATTCAGAGGTGAAACGGGACCCAACCCTGCAACTTGCAGACGCCTCGGAACGGGAAAGGGTTGACACCTCGTGCATTTAGGTTAGCAAGGGTAAAAGCCTTTTAATCATTCCAATATCAATTTTCCCGCACCTGCTGCCTGCCCTGCAGCGTGGTGAGCTGCTCCCCGCCGGCCTCCTCGTCGCGGTCGTAGGCCGCGATCGCCTCCTCCGTGGCGTCGAGCCACTGGCCCAGCTCGTCGCGCGCCGCGTGGAAGCGCACGGCCAGGCCGAGGGCCTTCTCGAGGGCGCGCTGGGCCCGAGCGCCGGAGGCAGACACCTCGCCGTAGCGGCCGCGGAGTCCGTCCAGCTTCTCCTGGATCAGCAGGACGTCGTCGCCTGCGCGTCGGATGGATACAAAAAAAATAATCTGTCGATTCTACCCCGTCCTTGCACGTGGACGATGGCAGCAACGCATGCTCAGGAGCTGGATGCCGACACGTCGAGCGGCCGCTAGCCACGACGACGGGAGGGCTTCGGGGGAGAGCTCGTTGTCTCAGCGTGTGCTGTGTGCTGTGTATGTTGAACTTCTTTCCCACCCTGCGGAAGCCGACTGTGCTAATTGGAGGTGTGCTGCCACACTCGGCCGGAGGGCTGGCTTCAGAGGGGAGGTTTGTAGGGCCCTGGCCCGGCAGTAAACACATCTATAGACGGTTACATAAAGTCACGCTGGTTGTAGGGTCTGGCCTCGCGCAGAGAAATCATTCATGTTGCCTTAATTCCGTGACGGTATAGAAGAATGATCACAGTGGTATGGTTAACTCGTCCAACCACACACATACTTTTAGTCTTTATTTTCCAGTTAAAGCGATCGTAACTTTGCCAGTCAATATCTCACGGTGTGTGTCAATATCGCAAACTTAACTGCGCTCCCAAATAACAAGTTACATGCTAAACATAATAAGCACAGATTTACATTTTAAAATATACCACCTATAACAGTCTCTGTAGAGAGGGCCACATGATCGGCATAGCTGAACATATATCAGCCAGTAAATTACACACAAATACAGAACGTATTGGAGTTTCTTAAATTCTCCCACCTCTGTCCACCCAGCAATATTAAACGGGTGCATCGCAATTAGCCGATTATTGGCAGGCCGCGTGTGGTGCGGTAAAGTGTGAGCACTCTCACCCTCTTCAGGATGTCTAGCCAGCGTGGAAGAGTAGGCCAAGTACCTTCTTTTGAGGCTCTCGAGAGCTTCCTCTAGTGGACGCCCTTACACCAGCAGTGCCATGAGCGAGCTCTTTACCTCTCCAAATATGTTACATTTGTTATTTTTTTTAAACGTTCAATAGTTGCTCAAAGTAATAAACTAAGCAATTTTTAATTTAACCAGGTAAGTACCCACTGAGTTACAAAGCTCTTTTTGCAGAAGAGACCTGGCCACAAATGATAGCTCAATGAAGTGGCTCATCGTCACGAGGAAATGTCGAGCAGCCAAATACTCTAAACGCGTGTTTCTAACAATATAATATACATCGTTGCAGATGATAAGTGGTGGCTGTTTTGCCTGTGACTTGGGAGTAACCCACCTGTTGTCTGCTTTAGCAGAGCGTGGCCGTTTTTGATGGCCTGATCCACATCCTGCTTCCGTGACACAATCTCCTCGTGTAGAATCTGTACGGTGATCAAGCGGCGGTGAGAGATTAACAATATTCAATAAAAAAATATATATTCACACGGCCCGTGAATACGCCTCGAAATCAATTAAAAAAGCACCCACGCAATGCTAAAATAAAATGTTAATTAAAAACAGATGAGAAAAAAATGTAACTTCTTGAGTATGAAGTGAAAAGCTCAACTGAAAAGGTCACGCCAATGCAAAATGAAAAAAAAAACAACCATCTGTGAATTAAGGCACACTTACTGATTGAAATTAAATTCAGAAATTTCAAGATGGGAGAGTGATAATGCATGATTGCGGTTAGGAGGAGAGGTCTGCCAATTTGTGTCTGTGTCTATATCCTAATTGCTGCACGTTCTATAATGGGAAGTGCAGTGTACCAGATGTTCATCGTATTGGGCCTGCAGAGGCTCAGGCCTGTAATCCAGGATGTTCCGTAGAGCTGCCAGCCGGTCCTGGGTTTGTGCCAGCCAAGTGAGCAGGGCCACTTCGTTCTCCCCGAAGATGCGAGCATTCTCCAGCGCCTCGTTGAGCAAAGCGGCGCGTCGCTCGCTCCTGAGTTGGGCCTCTGCATGCCTGGCCTGGGCCACCCCCAGCTTCGCCTGGAGCCGCTGCCCATCCTCACTGCAGCTCAGTCCCATAAGTGCTGAGGATAGTTCCTGGGCTTCTTCCAGAGGTTTGGCCCTCGAGGCAATGTCTTCTGCCACACACTATTGTGTGTTCAGTGTCGTTATATAATTAATAGTTTTAATTGTGCGCATGTCCAATTTTGTTCGGACGGTTTGTTGTTGTGTTTGTGGCGAAACAAAAAAAAACAAAATTAATCAAAAGGGGCATGCAAGGATTATAAATGCAAAACATAAATGTAACAAAACACAATGGAATAAAATATAATAAAAAAACACAAGCACATGTAGGTACAATTTCAAGGAGTAAACCCTTAAGTAACTATTTTTAAGGAATATAAAGATTAAGAATATGCTGGCCTGATATGTCTGTGACTAAAATCACGCAAAATGTGACCGATCTCATCAGAGATCAGAAGCCAGCAGGCACCGAGCCTGGCTAACACTTGGATAGGTTTCCACCAGGGCTTGCCAGGTGCTGTAGGCATGGTGCTGAGATGGCCAGAAGATAAAAGTGCTGAACGTCACCCCCTCCCAGATGCTGCCATGGAATTGGTCAAACTTGCCAATGCAGGACCCTCCTGGATATATATAATTGGCAGTATATGAATTGCTTATGAGATACAATAATTACATTTTCATTGTCCATAAATACAAACATGCCACTTGAGTGATAACGAATTCTGCTCTGGATGAGAGCATATCATGAACTACCTGCTGCCACACCACGTGGCATGACAATATCACGTCTAAAGCCAGTGGTACAAAATTCCACATTCATATGCCAGAGACCAGTCATAAAGGGCACCTGGTCTGATCATGAAATCTGCCACTCTACGGCAAAATAAACGGGCAACGGGTAGTGGACAGCTGTGGTTGTTGGGGAAGGCCATGGGCGGTGAAGGCCGCACCTTGTGCTGGTCTATCTGCTCCTGGATGGCCACGGTCTGCGTGCCGATGGGCTCGGCATTGGACAGCCGCCTCTCAACGGCCGTGAGCCAGTCGAGCAGCGGCTCGAGCGTGTCGTGGAATCGCCGCGCCACCGACAGGATCGCTTCCAGCTGCCGCTGCCTAAACGCGAGCGCCATGTGTGAAACGAACGTGCGGTGGGGGGGGGGGGGGAGACGCACACACGAGCAAGAGTGAGCGAGCGAGTGCATTCTGTTGGAACATGAATGCAGCGCAGCGATTTGATGAATCGTCGTGATTCTGACCCGCCATTCTACTCAAGAACGGCTTCATTTTCTGTCCCGGGTTATGTACGTCTCAAGCAGTGGTTAAATGTTAGGGTAGAGCTGTGGTTTCGTGATAATTATTAGTTTTCATATCGCGTCGTCGTTCAGGCAAATTGTATCTCACAATCGACTACAGATGAGCAGGAAACGAGCCAAGCGGTGAGCGAAGTGCGAATCCTGGTGAAGGATTATTAAGACCTGGGATTGAACCCAGATTTTTCAGTGCTCATTAAATCCTTTGAGTGTTATTGTATACATTTATTATTGAAGGTGTATTGAAGATGGTATCTTCAATACACCTTCAATCATTTTCAGGAGTTATTAATTATTACAAGACGATTTTTTCCCACAGATTTTTAAACAATATTTCCATTCACGTGGTTACTTTGTAATTTTCTCGTCATTCAACAGTGCGGGTGAAAAATGTGGAGTGAAATATAATAATGATTAATTAAAATCGCCATTATCATCTCATCATATGCATGGCTTCCCGACGAGTTAGATCTCCTCTCCTATACAAAAAAGCCCTCATTAAGGCCTTGGCCCAACATCAGAATGCGAGACGCATGCTGCCCTGGTCGCTTATAACCACGGCTAATGGCAAAGCGATGACTCTCCGCCACTCGCGAGACCCGCGAGTGAGTCAAATGAATTCCATTCGCATTCATGTTCGGCCGCTTGTTGAAAAACCGGGACCTCGTCGACCGACCCCCCCCCTCCAAAAAAAAAGTCAGGAGAAGTGTGCCACTCATCCGTGGCGAAAAATGTTTTAGAGCTGCTTAGCTCTTTTTATGCTCTTTCTGCCGTCGCCCCAAGTATCCCCAAGGCCCATCAGTGGCCCCATCCTCTCTGTTGACCCCCCCCCGACCCCGCCTCTCTCGCCCTCCTCAACGCCCATTCTTCTCGGTCCCAAGCAGAGGTCGCAAACGGGTTTTGATTCCTTACCCGTACCCGTACCCGCACCAGGGTCACAAACGGCTACCCGTACCCGTACCCTGCCGGGTACGAGTAGCCGGGTATCTGGATAGGGTACGAGTATCGGGTACCCGGTTGCGACCTCTGATCCCAAGTCGCCGCATCCGAACTGCCCAAGCTGCCCCCGACACACCCGTGGCAACTCGTGGGTAGCCTGACCGTGCGCGCCCGTCCGTGTCTGGCAGCTGGCACGAGCCAGCGCGCAGATGCGTTCTAAATATACGAAACGCGGGGGGAGGGGGGCGGAGGCCCTCTCGTGTTGCACGGGGATGCAATACGCGGGCGGAGGGCGCGGACGCGAGTCCAACGCGACGTCGACCCGCAATGCATCGCGACGCGAGCCGTGGCGCCACGGAGGACCAACGAAAAGTTCCTGAAATAGCTTTCTATTATTAGCGCATTTGCGTGCGTGTGTGTACGTATGTTTTTATAAACAAAGATTCCTGTAAAAAATGTCTTAATGGACTGTTGCGGTGGTGGGGGAAAGTGCTGTTAGCGAGCACCTATTAAGTATTGAGGCGCGAGCAGCGCACAAGGGCGTGAGGTGGCCGGAAACCGCACCCCTGGCCACATTTGTCTCCCTAGTGCTGATGTATACGCATCGCACCAGGTGCTTATATAAGGCTGAGCTGATCTAGAGGAGACCCAGGACCGGTTCACAATTCGCAAACTGATGCTTGGCCGTGGCCAGGAATGGAACTGGGTTTCGTAGCGAAGCGGGCGAACAGCTACACCGCCGCGTCCCCGTGCGAGCGAGGCGTGTATAAACGCACGCGCCGCCGAAACTTGTAATAATGAAAATCTCGAGGAAGTCCGCAGCTCCTTGCGGGCATTTTTCCTGACAGTTACAAGAAGAGCGTTTGGCCGTGCAGACCGTGAAAAAAAAAATTCTCTGGGTTTTTGGGAATTGATTACAAGAGACGGCTAATGCGGCTTGACACGAGGGCTATGATTAATGGCGCAAGTTGATCCGCCGAGGGTTTTGGTTTTTTTCTTCTGACACTTTTTCCAAGAGCTCCACAAGGATCCTGATACATTTCGAGACTCTCCTTGCAGACTCGGCACATCGGTGTGTTCCTGGAGGCCAGGAATTGTTTCAAAGACGAGCCGATCAATCACGGGACACGCCAACGCATCCGCCAAAACCCACCTTGGCCGGGCCTCTGCAGAGCTTCAAAACCCGACCGACAGAAATAAATTGCACATTTGAAATATGTCGCTCGTTAAGACTCTATCGAAGGAAAGGAAAGAACAGAGGGTTTTGTTTTTAAACTTACCAGAGACGCTCGCACAAACGACTGAATTTAATCCAACGACGATGACGTGAATGTTATTTTGTTCTAGTTTTTTTTTTTAACCTGTGAGCAATCAGTCCTGTCCTCTGAGAAAAACCTATCAGTCGAGGTATGGCGCAAGTCTTCGGACAAGTTGTTGCACAACCTTAGTTTGAAATGTACACTGCCTCAGCCAATATTTCCCATGACAAGTTGGCAAAGCGCTCGGCACTTAGCCTCCGTGGCATTAATCAGGCGCAGTAAAATGTGCGTCAGCGTTGTTCGCTTCGAATGTATGCAAATATTATGCAAATTATACATTCCTGTTACATTTAGAGAAAATTGGCGCAAAACAAACAGTCAAAATAAATGATTGTTTGCGAATAGAAGCACTGCTTCAAATTGTGACAAGTCATTACATCACTTGGAGAGGTGAGGGTGGGAGGGGCGGGTGAGTAAACATCAACACAAGGTACTGCCCTTATAAACCCGCTGAACCGAGTTCAGTTTCTGGCTCTGGCTAAGATCAGGAGTAAGTGATGTCTGATCCTGTCCTGCCCATCCCCTTCTTCGCCAACCCGCATTGCCCAGCGTGGTGAAGTACGGCCAAACAACCCCCACGGAGCGACGCAGCGTGCCGAGGGCCTTCATACAGCAGTAGATTGGCACTGCTGCATGTAACTAAGTACTCTACTGCATTCATCGCCGGCCAAAATACCCCATAGTGTCGTGCAGAGGCGGGGATCGTGTTTCGGTCCGGGGTGAATCAGGGAGCAGGCTAGAGGCTGCGCCGCGTGCTGGCGTGTTGCGGCACGCCCTCACGCCTTGTCGTCGTCCTCATCGGCGTCGTCGCGTCACCGCGAGGCAGAGCGGCGTTCTCGCGCTGCGGCCTTCTGCAACGGCCGATTCGCACGAGGGCGACCGGCCTCAGCGCCGTTTCGGTCATCGAGCGCGATTGACTCGGGGCCCCCTCCTCCTCCAGCAAGCCCCTCCCCTCACCCCCCGCCCCTACCCCCCCCCCTTCCTCCGACTCGTACAACCATCGCGAACGCTCGCCGCCGTTACCTCTCCTGGGCCGCGGCGAGCAAGGCCTCCCAGCGGTGCGAGAGGGAGGCGAGCTCCCCGAGGATCCGCTCCCGCTCGGCGGGCTCCGCCAGCTCGGCGATCTGCTCGCCCTCCCGCCGTAGCACCTCCACCCTCGGCCGGTGGTCGTCCAGGAGGTGCTGCAGAAGCTGTGGGCGGCGGGTGGGTCAGGTGACCGACGCGAGTCGGCGACGGAGGCTCAGCGGTGAGACGCAACACAAAGGGCAAGGTGGTCTGCCTCTTTGCGGGTTACTTAGTTTGTCGACTGTCTTGTGTCTGAAGGTGGCCGGGCAGCTCACTGACGAAATCCTGGGTTCAAATTAAGTGGCAGGTGATGGCAGTACAGCAATGGATTCTTGAGTCCATATGTGCGGAGCTTTGAGAGTTATCCCATCGTATGCCCGGTGGGGTTTTTTTCGACGGGTACTCCAGTTTCTCCCGATACAAACAAACCACCTACGCACTCCTTAAGAAGGACAGGCTGAGTGAGGCATCCCGGCGTAATTAAATGGCATTTTTATTGAACGTATTTCAGACGGCCAGTGTCAGGGCTCATGAGTTACTCAATAAATTATATAAGAGGCAATTGCTCACGAGGCTTAAATATAGGCTCCACCACCTCTGGCCGTAATCCTAGCCCTTACTCAGCACGAGATAGCCCAAGCCATCCATCAAAACCCTGACCCCTCAGCTCTAACCCTTGCCCTCAGCTTTAACCCGTCGCGAGAATGGTCAGAGGTCATGGCAAACCCACCTTCTGCTCCTGCAGCTGGGCCCGTACCACCTTGTACTCGGCCGCGGGGGGTTTCTGCCCGGCGATGAGCTCCTCCGTGTCGGCGAGCCAGCCCAGCAGGGACTCGAGGGCCTCCTGGAATTTTCCGCAGTGGAGCAGCGCCTCTTGCAGCTTGGCAGCCCGCTCGGCCACCTTGCAGGAGAGACATTCCGACGAGGCGACAGCATTCGATGCACGCCTGCACCTCTCTAGCTTCACCCGAAGCGGCGGCGGCGGCGGTCAGCGCCGTCGCAAGGGGCGGGGGGACGTGCCGAGGCAGCTGGTCGCACGCGGTGAGTTCTTGGAAGTAGATTCTGCAGTGTCGCCTTCCGCGACGATGCACTGCTTGCTGAGAAACTCCCGCGTCGACACGTCTTGAGATGTGCAGACTTACCACGGAGAGAGACGCAAAGACTAGCCTAGGTCCTACAAAGTGACACAGGATCCATGGGAAATAGTGGCGTAGCTATCGAGCGTGTAGGCGGTGGGCGCCGCGGTGGCGAGATGTTAACTACCTCGCCCGGTATACAGGAGGTCGTGGGCTCGATCCCGACCCTGATGCCTGTTGTATATTTGGAGCGTACACGTCTTTCTCCCCGTGGTCACGTGGATTTTTCACCGGGTCCTCCGGTTTTTCCCCTCCACATTTAGACTCAACATCACGCGCTTATTTGGCCACTATAAATTTCCACGTGATGAAAGGCCCCTACGTTGAGCTCTCATTTGTGATAACCAGGCCGCTTCTGAAAAAGACCTACATAGCTGCTCAGTGGGGCCTTACCTGGTAAATAAAATTGTATTATTTAAAAATGCACGTGGGGGCCCTTAGGCAGAAGGGGCTCCAAGCTCCGGCATCAGCGAGCGGGGGAAAGGCCGGACGGTGTACGGTGCCGCCCCCGCTCCGTTGCAAGCACCAAAGGCCAGAGGTCGCAAACGGGTTTTGATTCCTTACCCGTACCCGGCCGCACCAGGGTCGCAAATGGGTACCCGTACCCGGCCGGGTACAGGTATCCATTTCCTACCTGTACCCATACCCTACCCGAAATGAGTGACAAACAGTTACTCACCAGTGACTCACGGCCTACCCGCACCCAGCCGCACCAAGATCGCAAACGGGTACCCGTACCTGGCCGGGTACGGGTAGCCGGGTATCGGGTAGGGTACGGGTATCGGGTACCCGGTTGCGACCTCTGCCAAGGGCCCACGGCGACCGCGCCACCGCGGCGGCGCACGCACCTTGGTGTTGAGCGTGTTCCAGCGGCTGTTGGTCTCGTCGGCGTCGCTCTCCAGAGCGCCCGTGTCGGCAGACTTGGCCGCGCTCTGGATGAGCGCCTGGGCCTGGCGGTTGAGGGCCTGCATCTCCACCTGCAGCGAGTCCACGTCGCTCTTCTGGAACGCCTGCATTCACGCAGGGAGAGAGAGAGAGAGTGAGAAGGAAGCCCGGTTATTTCACGATACCTCTCTTTACACGGGGGGGGGGGGGGGGGGGGGGGGTGCGGTGCAATGGTTAGCGCACGACGCCATTCACTGCACCACCTCACTTAAGTATGAAGGCTTTTCAAACTGACTCGCAATGCCTGCGCATTTGCGGGGAATACATGGCCGGTGTGGTGGGTGGGTTGGTGGCGTGACCTCAAGGCGCAGGTGTGCATGATGATGTCACAACCGCGCACTTGCCCGCCAACTAACCAGCCAGCCAGCAATACTTTTCTTTGAAAATAATAATATAGTATGCAATGCAAGTATTAGTATTGACAAATGCTTCTAGCACAATATTATTAGGCCTTGGTTCGCCATTAAGTGATAAGTGACATCACCACGGCGCTTGTGCCAGGCTAGGTGCACTTTGAGGCCACGTGAAGTGTGGAAGGCTCGCCGGCAGTAGGTCTCAGAACAGACCCAAGTGTTATGGGTGGATTGACCGAGATGACTGACAGTTGCACCACCTGTGCTCGTCACTCCACCAACTTGCTGTGCTTAACAGGTACAACAAGAACAACTGCCATTCGCCACTGAGGAGGAACCACAGGTGAGCGGGAAAGGCAGCAGCAGCAGCGACGCTGATGAACCGGTGCCCAACAATTGCCCAAGCTCTGCTGACCTCCACATATTAAAACTCCTTTCTCGAAAACTCATTTTTGAGTTCAGTTCGTTGTCCACGCCCCGCACCTCCGATTGGCACGGACGGCTCCGCACGGTGCGAAACAAGTTCAACGCACGTACACGCAAGCGCCGCGGTGACGTCACCGCGGCGCTTGCGCCAGGCTAGGTTCACACAGACATATCTGTTGAACTTCTTTTGCGCCGTACATAGCCAACCGTGCGCAGCGGAGGACCACAAACAAAACACAAGAAGCAGACACAGACACAAAGGGCCACAGCTCCCCCATGCATCATCATGAAAGAGCACTGGGTGCTCAGTGCCGTCAACGAGCACGTGTTGAGAGGCTGGCGGATTACGAGCGTGAGATGATAACGTGGACCAGCACCACGCACGTGCCTGGCCGCCTTTGTCTCACTACTGCCTGGCCACATTTGTCTCACGAGCGATTAAGGGACGAGCGAGGGGGGCGATCCATGGGGCAAGTTGATCCCTGGACGACCATCGTTACGCTAATGCAGCTATGCTCAAGGGGAATGGGGGCACGGGTCAGGGTTCATTTACCAAGGGAGAGGTCACACCAGTGGAAGAGCACTACAATCACTCTGCTATGTGGATGTGGCTTCCAAGGCTTAAAGGAAGACCCAGCCACAAAACAAACAGCGCTAATCTCGTGGAAGTATCTCGTAAAAATAAGGGTCGTGTGCGAAGAGGCCAAATGCCCTTTCTAGAGGGGCTCTCTAGATCTCCCCCGAGCGGAGGCCCTTTCCGCGAGCAGTGGCACGGACAAGAAATTGCAGGGCTGCACCTTTGCCTCACGAGACAGAATAACTATAAACACCGTGATGTCTAACCTCTTCTTTCCCGTATGCGGGTGAACCGCTGAGGCACGACCACAACAGCTTTGCACACAGCTGTGTACAAGGTTAAATAATTTATCTGCAAATGCTGCGTTGGCAGTGGTGCATAAGCACAGTGAACAACAACAACACCAACTTACACATTCGTCAACAACACTGCAGCTTTAGCAAAAAAATGGATACGACAGCCGACGTTTCGGGCAATGGCCCTGCTTCAGGGCACACAGAGAGACCAGGGGGGTAGTGGTGCGCACAGAGTCTGTGTTCCCACTCGGTTCCCTCTGCTGCTGTTGCCCTCCAATGTTGGAGGCACTCTGCTGATGTCACGGTGCCATCACTCCCGCACGTTTTCCGATAAGCACGGTTTGGCTACGTACCGTGCGAAAGTAGTGGAACACGATGTTGATTTGAAGCTTTCGTGACCGCAGGAATCAATACCCTTCATTGGTTCTTTCGGTAAAGTCACGTAGGTATAAAATTAATCGATCACGACGTTTCGATCGCAACACAAGCAGCCGTCATCAGGTGAGATAAACACAGCAGGAGAACTGCTGATGTAGGAGAAAGAGCTGCTGCAACAAGAGGTTATATAGAACAAACATACGCCACGGTACCATCACTCCCGCACGTTTTAATACGCACCTCCGATTAGCACAGGTGGCTACGTACGGTGCGAAAGAAGTTCAACGTAGTTACGATGTCACTGGCAACTTTAAAATCTCTTCTTTTTTTTCCTTCTCACTAACGACGCTTCAAAGTGTTGTGGGACAACGCAGGACAACACGGGCCTAGGTTTTGTTGGGGTGTGATGATGCATGTACGTACATGCGCCGCATCAATCAACTCGGGGAATAACATCGGACATTCAGCTAGAGACACGCGCGTCTGCCTGATGCCTGAGCCACCAGAGGCGCTACCATTCAATGCGACATTACAACAGCAACAAGGATCGATTCTCAAATCCAAAATCAACCCCCGAATTGCAACACGTCAGGTGACTCATTCCACCTCTATTAGGCAGAGATCTCAACAATCTTATCTGTCCCTACAACTATTTTTGTTTTACACATGGCTGATGGAATGTGTTGATAATACTCTTGATTTCCATGCGGAGGGAAAGATACGTTTAGGGGCCGTCCATAAATGACATCACGCGATTTTGGACGATTTTTGACTGCCCCCCCCTCCCTCGTCACACGGCGTCACAAAAAGTCAGACCCCCCCCTCAAATATGACGTCACAAAGCTCTGCCCCCCCCCCTCCAAAATAAAAAAAACATGCTTCAAATCGCTTTAAACTATTGTCATTGTGGTGCGTATTTAATGTGCCGCTGCACTCTGATGTTGTAGGAGAAAACATTTACTAAAAAGTATATTTAATTAAGTAGAACGTGTCGTCTATATTTATTTCAAGTTGCGCATTTTTATGTGACGTCAGATTCCTCAAACCCCCCCTCCCCTCGTCACACATCGTCACAAATGTCTGACTCCCCCCTCCCCCCAGGTGCGTGACGTCATTTATGGGCGGCCCCTTATGTGGCGTAGTCTTCTTCTCCCCCATAAGGCTGATGTTGATGTCGAGTAACAGCTCTTATTTGACCTGCGGCGATGGAGCCAGACAATTGAGTCAAGGGCAGCGTTGTGCTGTGTGAGTTTGTGGGTCTCTATGTCAGCCTATTGGTCTCTACGTGAGTTAATGGGTCTCGATGTGAGTCTATGGGTGTCTACGTGAGTTTATGGGTCTCGATGCGAGTCTATGGATCTGTACGTGAGTTTATGGGTCTCGATGTGAGTCTATGGGTCTCTGTGTGTACATTTTGGGCCTGTGCAAGCCTCTGGGGTCTCTATGTGAGTTTATAGCTCTCAGTGAGAACCTATCGATCTTGACTTAAAACTTTCGTGACTGCAGGAATTCATATTCTTGATTCCTTTTGGTAAAGTCACGTACAAACAAAAAACAAGAAATACAATTAAAAAAATAAAAATGTAAAATAAAAATTTAAAATAATAAAAGTTTTCTATCTCCGTGATTTTACTGAAAGAACCAGATAATTGAGTCAAGAGTAGCGGTGTGGTGCATCGTTGTGATGATGCCTCCTTCATATTTGTGAATCGGGTCATTGGATCTCTGCTTGTTATATGCTGCACAGGTCTGTTCTGGGTGACCACAGTCTCCGCGTACTGCTGGAGAGGATTTAATTTTCCATGTGTGACTCAAGTAACCGCATCTGCCACGGGGCCATAGTATCGTCTGCTTAGTTATTACGTGCTTAATATACTCCGCAACTGGCGCGAACGATTCTTCTTCTTGGTTCTTTCGGTAAAGTCACGTAGAAGGGAAATAATAAAATATTAAAAATAAAACATAATAAAATAATTCTCACGACGTTTCGGCCACAACGCAAGCAGCCGTCCGACAGACCTGTTCTTCACCTGAGGACGGCTGCTTGCGTTGTGGCCGAAACGTCGTGAGAATTATTTTATTATGTTTTATTTTTATTATTTTATTATTTCCCTTCTACGTGACTTTACCGAAAGAACCAAGAAGATGAATACCTGCAGTCACGAAAGCTTTAAATCGAAAAAGGCGCTGAACGATTGTTTTATGTTATTTACGATGTACGTTCTGCTGGTTTTTTGAAGCTGTGCGTTTCGTCATTCGGCATCGTCATTCACAAGAGTAGGAAGCCGCGGCGCCCACAGTCAGGAGGCCAAATATAAAAGGTGAAAATTGGCAGTAAGAAATAAATTAGAAAGAAATCCTAACGATAATTGTTCCCGCTGTCGCCATGGTTACGGGCATCTGTCGCTAAAGACGAAAACGAATGTTAATGCGGCGTTCGCACGGTTAAATAAAGGACGTCGATCAAATCGCAACCTCAAGGGACATCCCCCTCCACCGCGCCGCTCACAGGGGGAAACAGCTCACTGGCGTGGCCGAATCGGAACATAAACAAACGCACGCCGTCCGGGAGACATGAGCGAGCCCATGAATCTAATGCCGTAAATCCCAGGCTTTTAAGCGGCGAAGAACACATGAACTTGGGATAGCCGGCGATAACTAACCGCGGATGAGACTGTAAATAAAATTCTAATTAATCCGCATCGCATCCGGGGGCACGGCGCCTGCACGCTGGCAAGGCGCAGTGTTATTGGGGTTCAGAGGTCGGATCAAAGCAGGCTCAACGCGGATCCGAATTGATTACGCGCCGGAACGCGTGGACAGACGCACGTATGCGAGCAAGGCCATTTATAACCCACCAAGTCGCCTGCTTTATGTAATTGGACACTGCTCTTTTTTGGGATCTATTACAAAAATAAAATCAGCCCACGTACCGCCAACAAAACAACTGAAGCATAGTAATATAATAATGACTTATTTATCCAGGAAAGCCACACTGAGTTGGGAGGACTTTTTATCAGGAGGGTCATCCATTG